AAGGTAAAGAATCTTAAATTTGAGATTCAATATTTTCAGATTGTGATTAGCAACCAGATTATTATTCCTATAATATTTAAGTATTATTATTAGATTATTATGCTAATGATTATTATGGTTGAGAGAAATAATTTAAATTGAGAGAAAGATTATTAGAATTTCCCTTAGGACTAGATTATGGAGGAGATTATTAATTTATAGATTCAGAAGGAGGAGGAGCATATCCTTAATGATGAGATATTGCAGAATCATTTTAGAGACATTCATCTTGATTTTGCTATTTACTTGAATCTATAACTTTAAGATCTTCTTCTTATAACTATTCATTTAATTCTTCTTCTTAAAACTATTTTTCTTCTTAATCATCTAATTAAGCTTCTTCTTATTATTATATTAAATATTAGAGATAATCAAAAACTAATTATCTAGTTTTATAACCTCTCCATACCTTCTAAATCATAATTGCAGCAATATTTTATATTAGCTCCATTTATTCTTCATTAATTTCATTATATGACTAATCTTAATGTGAAGAATCTGGTTATTATTATATTTGTTATTTACTTTTATTACTTGTAATACTATCATGACTTTGATTTTATTCTAATTATTATTAGTATTAGTATTAATATTATTGTTATTGATTTTTAGTTTATTTTGAAGTAACTACTTAGAATCGGCCTTACAATTCTTAAAATCTCTCTTTTATAGTTAATTTAGATTATTATTCAAATTTTTCTTTTAAAAATTATTCTAAAAACTAATATAATTCTTATTCACTTAGCTTATATTAAAAACCTTAAATATTCATTTGCTCATTTATCATTTGCATCTAAGTTAATTATTCTTACAAATATGATTCTGGCAGATTCTGAAGCCATTCAATAAAATTCACTTAACTAGGTTTCCTTGTGTTTGATTATGTACTACTATAACTTGATTATCTAAGAGATCTCATTAATTCCTTATACTCTTTTTATATTTTGTTAAAATTTGGTGGTTCTGATGTTCGATAATGTTATGATTGAGGTTAAGCATGCTGAGAATTTGCTTAAACAGTTAAATTTGATTTTATTGATGTATTTCTTGATTTAGCAAATTATTTAGCTTCTTTATCTAAGTTCCAGAGATTTTAAAGGACCTTTTCTTTTTTTTATTTCTGGGATTGTTTTCTTAAATTTATATTTAAATAATACTTACTCTTCAATCTTTTGTTATCTTAAGAGTTCTCTTTTATACATCATATATAATTTCACATCCTATTCAACTTCCTTATGTTCACAACTATTTTTGTTTTTTTAAGGAGAAGATATAGATTCTAATACTTATTTAGATTTTTGTTCTTTTAATTTCATAAAATCTTACTTTAAATAATCTTTTAGATATCTTTTTCAGGTTTAGAGTTCAAAAAATCTAATCCTAATTTATGTCTTCGTATCTTTTCTTTTATGGCTTATTCTGTGCTAGTTTAATTAAAAGTTATCGGCTTTTCTAATTTATCATGTATTTCTAACATTTTTGTCCAATATTATTTCAGTTTATTTTAATCAGCCCCCCATGGTAACATAGATTAAGGAGGAGATTTTTACTAATATAATATTAGAATATTAGAATACTCTTGAAAATCTTTAATTATTTATATATCGAATTTGTTGATCAAATATTTTTCTCATTTCATTTACACTTGCTACTCTTTATTTTTATATCTCATCTTATACTTATTAATCATGCTTTTCCTCTAATTTATAATGATTAAAATTACTCCAATGTTTACGTAGATTTTATTTTAATAATTATTAAACTCTTAACTCTGATTACTACTTTTCTAATAGTTAAACTTTATTTTTCTTTTGAACTTTCTTCTTCTTTTTCTTCTTCTTTATCTAACTCTTCGATTTTTATTAAACTTATGTTTCCTTTATAGGCTCAGCTTATTAAATGATTATTTGTTGTTGTAAATTTATTATTGGACCAGACGTAGTTCTTTTAAGTTATTTTCCATGAAGAGGACTTTTTTTTTCAGGACTTTTCATTACATTGACGATTTCTTCTTCCAATTTATTTGTCTCGAGAGGTCTTTACATAAGTCTAGCAGAATTCATTATTACATTTGGTTCTACTTTACGACACTACATTATAAAAATTATTAACGATAATTGAAATTTCATAACATACAAAAATTGACTTAAAAATCAAATATTTAATTAGATTCAATATAATGAGAAACATATTTCATTAATATCTTTTCAAAATGTTAATCACAGGATCACTTGTTAATTAAAAATGTGGAATTGCTATTAATGCAAGTTTGATGTTTCTCATTTCTTTGACATTCCGATTTATCCAAAATGAATAATAAATCTGAAATAAAATCATATAAATCACTATTATTATATTATAATATAATAACAATATTTCGAGATCTTTCTCTTTTATCATTGATATATTTCCATCAACTAATTCTAAAAATCTTATAAAACAATAATAAGTATCTCTAAAATGAGACAAAACTATCACATTAAACTCAGAACTAGTTATCAATAATTATATTTCTGAAATATTATTAACATAATTTGCATTTTAAATTTCATAAGCATAATTTTATTAATAAAATTACTATATTGTTGTTACTAATGTAAGTATACCATGACCCAAAAACTCTACATTATCATCTTCATCTTGAAAAGTACCATACTTTTTTATAAACTCTTCAAGATTTTATGTTATTTTTAATTAACAAAAAGGAAGATAGTTAGTTAAATACTTACAAATATCAGAACTTAACAATCCTTCAACTTCTTCTTAAGAATATTCTAAAGAAAGATCTTTTATTATTTTTTCATATAATTCTACAAATTATTAATTAACTTCAGTATAGAAATCATCAAATAATTTTGTAATTTTTTCTTCATCTATCAATTCGTTCTCTAAATAAATATTTAAAGACTTTAATTTCTCAAATAAAATTGGTTTAGTTTTTGTAATTAGAGCAGAACTTGCTAAATTGTCTAATTTAGAACTAAATAATGCAAAATCATTTAAAAGATTACTCAAAGGTTGAAGTCTATTTTGTTAACTATTAAAAATTGCATATCCACCCCATATATAAATTTAATATATAGTAATAAATGCTAATATTTTTAAAAGATGAGAAAAAAGATTTATTTTAGTTTAGAAATTTCTTATATTTTTTTAGTTAGTTTACACTATTTACAATTTTTAACTTAAACCTAACTTTTATTTTGGATAATAGAGTTAGGAGTCTTATTAAAATCCAAAATTATAATAATTAAACCGTTTCCAAGAATCTTCTCCACCCTAAAAATTAAGTGCAATATAAACTAAATGTGCTCTTACTTAAAAATAATAATAAATATTTACAGATTTCAGTTTCAATTTCGCTATCTTTTACTCTTCCTACTAGCAATGCTAAATTTCTATTTTATTATTCAATATTATTCCATTATACCAATTGCACTAACATAATAAGAAAGATAATTGCAGTGTGAATCAAATGTTCAATAACAAAAACAGAACTTTCAAATTATTAAAGGGAAGCAGAATTATCTTTTAATTTTGAAAGTAAATTTGAGTTAATATCAATTATTTCTGGTAAATTTTATTCAATTAAAAACATTTTATCTATAAATTATCGATTAATATATTCTTTATAATTGCTGTAATCATAAGTGCTTATCTAAACTAAATAATGAATAACTTCTTCCAAAAAATATAATAATCTTGTGAATTCTACTTACTCAATATTATTGACTTAATATTGTAAGGTAATATTCTCTAATTTTCCATCAGATTCCATTTAAATAAATATCGGATACAATTATGTTAAATTTGTAAACACAAATTAATTTAAAAGTGATGATTGATATATGCTTTACTATATTAAGTATTAACTATTATTTAAAATATCATATTTATTTAAGATAAATATCCAACTAATTGATAGAGTCTTACAAAAATATCTGTTAAATCTTAATGGTCCCATAAATTATTAAGCTTATATTTATGATTACTTATAATTAGATACAAGATGATAGTTTGTATATCCAAATCCTCCAATGCTGATGAGATTGACACTATAGACAATAAACCATAGAATAAGTATGCTTTTAGGAAGTTAAGATTTTTGTTTAAATACTATTTAAAAGAAATAAGACTAATTATTAGATACTTTAGAAAGTCCGCTTGAATTTTGAGATTTATTTGGATTTTGTTCAGGATCTGAAAAATTATTGGTTTTACTAAATGATTTTATCTTTTTTTATTATTATTAATTTTGCTTTTTTGAGTCTTCTTCAGACATAAAATTGTCTAGAAATTGAGATTCTTCTGAACTTGAATTTCTAACTTCTTAAACAGATTCCATTTCAGAATTAAGAGCTATTTCAGGTTTAATAAAACAAGCCTTTGGTGTAAAATTTGTAGATGACAGTTATTGAGTCATTAATATTTCAGACTAATTCATTGATACTAATTATTTTGAATACATTTTTCTTTTACTAAAAACACTTTATAAAGCACGTTAATCACCATATCTTCTTTTTGAAACAATAAAATCTAATGTCAAATTAATTAATACCTTTAAGATGCCTCAAAGTTGATTTTTTCATTGTTGAATCAATATCTTATAAAGCAAATAATTCAGTAGCAATATCACCTAAATCATGTTTTCGATAATCTGATATTTGCATTATAAAAAATCCATCTGGACTATTTCTTTAATAAAATAAAGAAAATCTTATAAAACATGTTTTTTATTGTGTGATCTAAGAGAAATTATGATTGATTTATACATTCTAATTTATAAATTCAGATGCAAATTTAGCATATTCATCATTTAATAAGTTTATTTCTATAAATTAATTTGAATCTTTTGGGTTTGATGCAGTACTTTATCTTACTATTTTAATTAATGTTATCATTTACTTGATAATGATTATTTCTTTTTTATATTCCAAATACAATATAAATCTCTAAGATGATATTTCATTTATTATTAAAAATTTTCATGAAAATCTTTTATATTTGTTTGCAATATAAAAATTGTATCCTCTTATAGATTAACATTTTCTTATTAATCTTTTTATCTTTAATAGCATCTTTTAACAATTTCAAATAAATCTGGAATGAAGTAATATAAAAAACAGAAGTTATATAAAGAATTTATATCTATTGATTATTCATAGTGATCTGTAAATAAATCCCTATAAATTTCTTTTGTTATTCCTAAGACTCTTCCATTTTTATCAAATAAAATATAATCATATCTTTTGCCTCCTGAAAAAAAAATACCTTTAATTACATAATCATCAATATAACTAAAATCATTTGCAAGTTTCAATTACAAAGGAAAAATAAAATTTTATTTTGATTTTCCAAAAATCATCCTAAATTCTTAAAAGAAAGGAGAATCACCTTTAATTAAAAAATTAGTTAGCATTTCATTATGTTTAGAGGATATAAAATCAGGCATTAATTAATTTAAGTGAATGATATTTTGAAATTCCTCTACTTTTTTATAATTGAATATATGTCCTAATTATTGTTTATTAGAATTCAAAATTGATCCTAGACTTTTTACTAAACTTACTGTAACTATAGCTACTTTATCATGCACAAGAGCTATTGAATTTAACTAATCTTGTTAAAGGGTTTATTCATAACAATATATTAAATAATACTACTTTTCACATAAAAATGAATGAAGTTAATCATTCATTATAATAGAATAATATAATGATAACATTCTTAAGTGGTATAAATTGTTTACTTAAGATATATTCACTTCATATACATCTTTATTTATAATAAGTTTGAATTTTCTTCTTAATTTTTCTAATTCTTCTGCTAGCTTAATCAATTCTATTTGTAATTATCTTATTGTTTTAAAACCTTTAAGCTACTTTCTCCAAATATCCAATTTTGCTGATAAAGTTCTTCTTAGATTTAAAATCAATTTATCTGATTAAATATCTAAATGTACTAAATTTTCAGAAGTTAAATTTGCACTCTAATTATCTTGAATCAAAATCTTTTAGGATTATTATTTAAGTATTTCCTGCCTTAATTTATTTGAGATATCAATTTAAATTAAATTAAAATACCAAGACAATTCTGGTTTATATTTTATTTAATAATGTTTCAGTCTTGCTAAGCTTTATGAATATTATTTATTTTAAAATCCTAAATATCTAACTTTAAACAAAAAAAGATGTTCATCTTCTTTGTTCAAAACTTAATAATTTACAATACACCGAATAACATCTGAACTGTCGTATGACTATTAAATTAGAAATTTATTTACTTGACATTTCCGATTACAATGTATTATGTGTTAATTAACCATTCCAATCTAAAGAAGTTTTTCAGTTTGTGTTAATTGAGACTCAGCTTAAATTTAAAACTACCTTAGTACTTTAATTTACAAATGATGATCTTTTTCACTTGATTTAGTAAAAGTATCCAATCCCTTTGCATAAAATAATCTTTAATAAAATGTTTCTCCTAAATAAAAACACATAGATGAAAAAATAAAGTAATAAATATACTGAGAAAATGTTGTCTCAATTATTTAGGATAAATTATTCAGAATCAAATTAATTAGATTACATCCAAATTTGATTTAATTTAATGTAAAAATTAATTTGCTATCATACAAACTATAAGGCATGTATAAATAAATATCAATTTACTCTAATCCTATCCACATCAAAGCCGAAAGTTACTTTAATATTAATATTTCTTCTTAATCATGATAGAAATATAAAATTTAAGTTGCAAATTAAAATATTTAGGATACTATCTTCATTATACTTTAATCTCTTGTATAGGTTGATTAATTAAAATTAATATTTCTAAATAAAATACATGACATTAAAGATAATGAAAATATTAAACAAACATCAAATATTCCCCAAATATATATTACAATATGAGTTTCTGAGTTCAATAAAAAGGAGCGAAAAGTTGATGAAACAAATAAAAAACACATAATTTAAGGTAAAAGTGCTAAATATCCATTTAAAATTCTCATCAAATTTTGCAAAGTTCTTTTCAAATAAACTATTTAAAGTATGAATAAGAGAAAAACTATAAAGTTAAAAAAAGTAGTAATATATCCAATATAATCAGGCAGCAAGTCTATGTCTAAAATAGATAGTTTGAGAATTTAAAAAAAAATTGAAAAGTGTCCATCTTTCAAATTATTGTTATCATTTATTTCTTGTAGGGTTATTGCAAGATATTAAAGAAATTAAAACATCCGAACAAACAATATAAAAGAGTATGATTAATCAAAGCAAACGCTTTCATCGTTTAATAGTTTGCTAAGATTATTTTTTATTTTTTACATATTATATTATTTTCATTTTATTAATAATAAGAGAATGTTTAAATTAATTAATAAACACAATCTAGCAGTGAAAGTTTCTATTTCTACAATTATAGAGATTTAGAATCAATTTATTACCATGATATATTTCAAACACGATTTTATGATTAAACCAAAAATTATACAACTAATTAATTATTTTCATAGACTTAATGAAAAACAATGAAACAAGAAAAAGAGAAGATATTTTAATATAGCTTAAAAACAAATATACTAATATTGAAGAATTAAATAATCAAGTATTTGAAGAATTTTTTTTTAATAAATTAAAAGAATTTTGTTTTTCAACTCGTAATTATGAATTAAGTTCAACAATTCAATAGATTATTAAAAGAAATCCATTTTAATAATAATTAACTTATTTTACAAAGGTGCATGATTAAAAAATAATTAAAAGAGAAACAAAGATTTAATATTTTCAAGAAAAACTAATATTATTATTAAAACAAAACAGAGTTGTTCCTAAGATTTTGACTTCAATTAAAGTAAAAGATAATCAAATAAAATTAAAAAATCGTAATCCACCTTTATTAGATGATATACATAAAGCTTAAGAAAATGAAGAATATCTAGTAGATGAAGTCAAATTAGATTATTAAGAAAAAGATTTTGAAGATTTACCAATAGATTAATTGATTTTGTTATCCTTAAAAAAATTAGAATAAAATATTGAAAAATATTGTAACCCAAATTTTTTATGCTATTAAGATGTTTTATAAATTAAAGATATATACAATAAAATGGGAAGTATAGATTTTAAATCTAATCAGTATTATGAAGAAATTTATATAATATATGGTAAATTTGTTAATAAATTGAATTAAATTGTAACAGGATTTGATAATGAAGATTTTTTTAGAGTAGTAGGACCATTAAAAAATATTATTTTAAGAAAGATTGGAAAAATAGTATTATCTGAATTAGTTAAAAATTAAATAGCTTTACCTAAAATTTTGACTCAGATTTCTCTACTTCAAGCTAATGAATAAAGTAAATTTGTTTAAAAAAAAGCTTTTGAATTGAGATTCACTCATGATTTTTTAGATTAAATTTTAACAATGCCTGAAATAAAAGAGTTTATAGAGATATTTAATTTTCCTTATTTATAAAGATGCACAACTTGGAGAGCTATTAAGACTTACTATTTTTAAGTAATAGCTACAAATTTTAGGGAATAAGAGAATCAAACAGAAAATGAAATATTATCATTTTAGCTGTAAGAAATTTATGATAATATCAATTAATATTCTGAAGAGCTAAAAAAGTTATCAAGATTTGGTACAGTTGCTAAAATGTTTCTATAAGTTGAATAAAGATTAAATTATCTATTAGACAAACAAGTTATAATAGATGATTGTGATGATGAAACAAAAGAATTTTTATTGATTGCATATCAACTATTAAAGATTAGATCAGTTATTTACGCAAAATTTAATAAATAAAATGGGGAAATTATTTTAGAAGAACCAATTAAAAAAAAAAAATCTTATTAGAAAAGAGAAATAAAATTAAAAAAAGATTTAGATAAGATTAATTAAAAATATCGTACTATGACATTAATGTTAGCAAATTAAAGAAGAAAAATATCATATCTATTAAAATATTTTATATAAACTTTAAATTCTGGAAATTAACCTTATCCTTTTATATTAGGCATAATGGAATGGAAAAGATTCAATATAAGAGCAACAATTAATTAATAATCATTAGACTTCTTAGTAACAGATACAGTTTTTATGAAGTTTATGCATGATGAATATAAAATTGATATAAGTTTTGGGACCAATTAAGAAAGAATTGATAAAATCATAAATGAACCTTATTCTGATTATGTAAAAAAAACAGATTCTTAAACTTTGGGAAGTTGGACATAACTTTTAGCAAAGTAAGCTCGTTTAGTGAATGAATAGAAAGAATTAATTAGTTTATAAATAAGAAAAATTCTTAGTAATAATAGTTTTAATAAGGAAGTAGATAATCTTATTTAATCAGGATAGACAAGCACAAGCTATTCACAATTAATTTCAGATTTAATTAAAATAAGAGAATTTGTAAATCAACTACAATGATATATATTATATATACATAGATTTTATTAAAAATAAAAAATACTTCAACATGTTAGTTATTTTTTATATAAATTCAAAATAAAATAAAAATTAATATAAATATCGTTAATGATTGGAAAAAAAGAAATATAAATTTCTAATGCTACAAGAGATAGAGTTGAAGCTTGTAGATTATATATAGAACGTATATTATTTTAATATTAATTTTTAATAGGGAAATATGCAAAATAAATTTAGGAAGAACAATAATAATTAGAAGGTTGGTAATAATTATCAAAATTAATGGATGCTTTGCATATGAATCCAAAAGAGTAGGAAATTATAAAAAAAGAGATATTAAAAAAAGAAGCAGAATAAATGAGAAAAAAGTATTCAAAATTTCAAATTTTATAGGCGGACTAAATTAAGCATAGAAGATTTTTAACCTTTAGCTATAATAGGAAGAGGAGCTTTTGGTGAAGTTAGATTATGTAGACATGTACCTTCTTAATAAATAGTGGCTGTAAAGAAAATGAAAAAGCATGAAATGATTTTTAAGAATTAAATTGGTCATGTAACAAATGAAAGAAAAGTATTAGAAGAAGCAAAAGGAAATAATTGGATAGTAGAAATGAAATGTTCATTTTAGGATGAAAAGAATTTATATTTAGTAATGGAATATTTAGCAGGTGGTGATTTAATGACATTATTAATGAAAAAGGATATATTATCAGAAGCAGAAGCTCGTTTTTATATGGCTGAATTAGTTTAAGCTGTTGCGTCTGTTCATAAATTAGGATTTATACATAGAGATTTAAAACCAGACAATATTTTATTAGATAATTATGGACATATAAAATTATCTGATTTTGGATTATGTAAAGATGCTGAACTTCATTTTGATAAACCAGTTTTTTCATAAAAATTTAAATCAAAATAAACAAGAAGAGAAGTATAATATAATATAAAACTATTTATAGAAAGCATTTTCAACAGTTGGTACACCTGATTATATAGCTCCAGAAGTATTTTTATAATAAGGTTATGATGGAACAGTTGATTGGTGGAGTGTTGGAGTTATTTTATATGAAATGCTTGTAGGATATCCTCCATTTTATACTGATGATCCTTCTACAACTTGTTAAAAAATAATTAGATTTTAGTAATGTTTTGCATTTCCAGAAGAACCAAAAGTCTCTTCATTAGCTAAAGATTTAATTAGTAAGTTAGTTTGTGATGCTAGTACTCGTTTAACTTATGATTAAATAATAAGACATCCTTGGTTTGGTGGTTTATCTATAATTAAAATAAGAGATATGAAAGCTCCTTATATACCAACTATTAGAAGCGAATTAGATACTAGCAATTTTGATAAATATGATGAGGAAGAACCTTGGATTAATAAAGGTTAAAAAAGTTAGAAAAAAGAAATGACTTTTGTTGGATATACTTATAAATAAGAAGATTTTGAAGATAAAAGACCAATCTAAAAAGCTCTTGAAGAATTAGAATTATCTAGACCATCTAATTCAAGAGGTAATACTAAAACTACTAATTCTCCTTTTTAAAGTCCTAATTTATAATTCAAAAATCAAATTAATAAATAAACTCCTCTTACTTAATAAATTAAAACTGTTAGTGCTACTTAATCGCCATTTATCAAATAATAAACTGTTTCTCCTATGCCTTTAAGTAAAAATTAAAACTTCTAAAAATCTTTCTTAAATAATCGACTTTAAACAGAATAAAATGAAAGCTTTCATAATAATGTTTAATAATCAAATTTAAATACATAAGGTAATTTAGGAAATTTTAATAACGAAAACACAAACCCAAACTCTAACGCTTAAAATATTAAAAACTTTATATTTTCGAAGATATAATAACATACAACCAATTAATCCCAAAATACAAACATTAGTAATATATAAAAAACTGTTCAATTCAATGAACTACAAAAACTTGTATAAAATTAAAAACTTAGACCAGATAAACCTGATTAAGAATAAACAAAAGTCTTTAGCAACACAAGTAACAATATAAGTTCACTAAAATAAAATATCTTAAATTAATTTAGAGCTGTTAGCCCTTTAACAAAACGTTGAACTTATTTTATTTTTATTATAGTTTAAATCATCTAATGAAAATAATTTTTATTGTAAATATAAAGTGATAATTTATTTCATATCTTTAAATATATACAATGATAGTTAACCATATTATAAGTATTTTAATCAAATACTAATTATTCAATATATATATTTTCAAATTTTAATAATGTAGGAGTTAACAGAACTTAAGAACTTAGTTATATAATCTCTTGAAGCAAATGGATCTCTGGCTAAAATTAGAGCTTAAATAAGAGCTTCAGTCTTCAATGTAGTTGATTAGCAAGAGGGCAATAATAAAAAACCATCACCTTTTTTTTGGGAAAATAATAAAGCTTAAACTATTTACGAGTTAGGTTGTGGAAGAGACATGTTAGAATTAATAAAAGAATTTTTATTATTTTTTGAAATGCACTATACCAATTCCATTTTTTCAAGGTATTGATAACATCATTACTTTTATAGTGAGAGTAATTTAAGAGAAGATATAAATCGTGATTAAATAGCTAAAAAATTGAATATTGATGCTACTGATACTACTAAACCATTATTATACTTTTTGTTAAAAAATAGATAACCTGAAAAAAAATCGTAATTTTAAATTTTAATTATATAGAGAAGAAAAAGGGTAATAACAAAAAATTGCACAACCTTCTCCCAAAGATGTTCAATAATAATAATAATAATAATAATAATAATAATAATAATAATAATAATAATAACAATAATAAAAATTGCAAGAATAAAAGCTTTAAGAGTAAAGAAGATAAGATGAATTAAGAAAATAAGAAGAATTAAAAAAATAAGAAGAATAAAGAAGGCAAGAAGAATAACGAAAATAAGATGAATTAAGAAAACAATAATAAGAGGAGCAGAAAAAAATTGAGGAATAAAAAAAAGAATAATTAAGAAAACAGTAAGAGGAGCAAAGAAAAATGGATGAATTAAAAAAATAACAAGAATAATAAAAATTAGAATAATAGAAATAAGAATAACAAAAATTAGAACAATAAAAATAGGAATAGTAAAGAAAAGAATAAGAAAAATTGAAAGAACAATAAAAATAGCAGGAATTACTTAAATAATAATAAGAAAGAGAAAAGCTTGAGGCTGAATAGAGAAAAGCTCAAGCTAAAAAATTTGAACATAGAAATTATGAAGATGAAAAGTTTGATAATGAAGACTTAGAAGAACAGTTAGAAGGAGATGTATAAATATTATACTATAAAAGGATTTAAGAGATTCTTAATTGTAATAAGATTAGTTTTAAGAGTCAGATGAATATATGCAATAGTCTTAATCATAAGGAATTGATATGACTGTTGATTCTGCGGCATTAGAGGAGTTTGACTATTATGAAGATATAGAAGAAATGGATTGAATTCAATTGCTTATCATAAAAATAATAAATTCTTTTCAAATTCTAATTGAATTCTATTTATTTAAACTTAAGAATCTTTCTTTTTTAATCCATTTTAAAATTGAATAATTACTCTTTTATTAATTAAGATTGTAATTCTTTATTAAGCTTAAAAGTCATTAAACTTATTTATTTAAAATTTCACCAATAGAATCTCTATTATTTTATAAATGAACAATATTTTAAAATTAAGAATAAATAAAAAATGGGAACAATGGGGATCGAACCCATGACATTAAGATCTTCAGTCTTACGCTCTCCCAACTGAGCTATACTCCCAAAGCTGAGATTAATATCAGATCAAGCTAAAAGTATAATATTCTATACATCAATCTATTTTATTATTCAAATTTAGGGTTCATGAAAATACACAAATTGATGATTAATACTCTCAATTTTTTAAAGATCAATGATTTCTTCAAGGTAATTATATTATTGTCATATGATATTTTGAGGGATAAAAATTTTACAATTAATGAAGACATTATATTTATTCAATTGTTAATAATAATAATTTAAATATGTTGTATTGTAAAATAAATATACTTTGATTGATTGCATTTTTTTATCAAAAAATGAAAATAATTGAATCAAATTGAATAAGGATTTAAAGATTAATTAAACAGCATAATAATAATGAAAACTAATAATATTTTCATTTTTCATCTTCTTCTTCTATAGGATCACCTTTTTAAAATTTCTACTTTACTTGATCCATAGATGGACTTTAAGTATGATCAATATGATTAAATTCGGTAGTATTAAGTTTCTAGATAATTTTCTATTGGCTTTATTAAATTGGTCTATAAGTATTATCTTATGTAACAAAGGAACCCTTATTTTCAATTCTATCTTGAGGACTTCCTTTTTAATTTTCATTTTAAAATTCAGTAGTGAAAGCTTTTCCACAAGTTGAAAACATTTATTTTTTTTGAAATGGTGTTAATTTAGCTGGTCCTTAAATGCCACTTTCTTGATAACAAGGCATAAAAAATGGATCTTATAATGATTGAGTAGCAGTAATCCTTTAAGCAGGATCTTTTTCAAGCATTTTCTATATTAAAGTCTAAAATTTAATATAAAAATTACAGTAATAGAGGGATCAACTTTTTTCATTTACAATGGAGTTAAATCAATTTTACATTACTTATTCAACTTTAAAACTAAATTAAATCCAACTCCAGGGAAAAGATCCTTTCCTGTTAATCTTAAATTTATATATTATAAATTACAATTTAAAAAATATAACACCAGCACTAAAAATATCGCAAACTTTATCATATTTAAAAGTCTTATCAGTTAGATTAGCAATTTCTGGAGCAACGTAACCAGGAGTACCACATTTAGGGAATAAATATCTAATTAATTAAAATTATAAAAATACTTATTTACATTACAATATGTTGCCAAACCAAAATCAACAATTTTAAGAGAATTTAAATCATCCTTTCTCATAAGCATAATGTTTTCTGGTTTTAAATCTCTATGCATAATTTACTTATCATGCATATATTCAATTCCACTAAGGATTTGCTATAAAGTATGCTGAATTTAATTACCCACATGATATTTCTTACTGAATCTTCAGGGAATCCATTTTTATGATTATTTAATTCATCATGTAAACTTTTACCTTCTAATAAATCCATAACCATATAGAATGTATTATCACCTTCATAANGTCATATGATATTTTGAGGGATAAAAATTTTACAATTAATGAAGACATTATATTTATTCAATTGTTAATAATAATAATTTAAATATGTTGTATTGTAAAATAAATATACTTTGATTGATTGCATTTTTTTATCAAAAAATGAAAATAATTGAATCAAATTGAATAAGGATTTAAAGATTAATTAAACAGCATAATAATAATGAAAACTAATAATATTTTCATTTTTCATCTTCTTCTTCTATAGGATCACCTTTTTAAAATTTCTACTTTACTTGATCCATAGATGGACTTTAAGTATGATCAATATGATTAAATTCGGTAGTATTAAGTTTCTAGATAATTTTCTATTGGCTTTATTAAATTGGTCTATAAGTATTATCTTATGTAACAAAGGAACCCTTATTTTCAATTCTATCTTGAGGACTTCCTTTTTAATTTTCATTTTAAAATTCAGTAGTGAAAGCTTTTCCACAAGTTGAAAACATTTATTTTTTTTGAAATGGTGTTAATTTAGCTGGTCCTTAAATGCCACTTTCTTGATAACAAGGCATAAAAAATGGATCTTATAATGATTGAGTAGCAGTAATCCTTTAAGCAGGATCTTTTTCAAGCATTTTCTATATTAAAGTCTAAAATTTAATATAAAAATTACAGTAATAGAGGGATCAACTTTTTTCATTTACAATGGAGTTAAATCAATTTTACATTACTTATTCAACTTTAAAACTAAATTAAATCCAACTCCAGGGAAAAGATCCTTTCCTGTTAATCTTAAATTTATATATTATAAATTACAATTTAAAAAATATAACACCAGCACTAAAAATATCGCAAACTTTATCATATTTAAAAGTCTTATCAGTTAGATTAGCAATTTCTGGAGCAACGTAACCAGGAGTACCACATTTAGGGAATAAATATCTAATTAATTAAAATTATAAAAATACTTATTTACATTACAATATGTTGCCAAACCAAAATCAACAATTTTAAGAGAATTTAAATCATCCTTTCTCATAAGCATAATGTTTTCTGGTTTTAAATCTCTATGCATAATTTACTTATCATGCATATATTCAATTCCACTAAGGATTTGCTATAAAGTATGCTGAATTTAATTACCCACATGATATTTCTTACTGAATCTTCAGGGAATCCATTTTTATGATTATTTAATTCATCATGTAAACTTTTACCTTCTAATAAATCCATAACCATATAGAATGTATTATCACCTTCATAAACTGCATGCAATTTAATAAAAGAAGGATGATCTAGATCATTATTAATTTTTATCTCTTAAAACATAGATTCCTATTTAATTTTTATATTAATACCATTCCATTTTCTGTTTCGTTAACATATGATTTGTCAACACATTTTGCTGCATAATATATTTCTTTATTCTTATGTCTCACTAATAAAACTCTCGAAGATGCACCTTTCCCTAATGTTTAAAGAGGAGTATAAAAGTCTTGAATTCTTTAAAAAATGATTTTATTTCTTAAATGCTCTTTTAAAGTTGTAAGAGTTTTTTCATCTCCAAAAAATGTTGTTATTTTGGCAACAAAGTTATCATTTATTTGCTTAACCTAAAGAATATTAATATGAATTTAAAAACTTATTAAAATTTAAATGAGACTATTTTGTAGTACTTTTTTCCTTCCTAAGTGTCCTCCTCGACTTCCCATTTAATATGTGTTTATAGTTAAATTGGTAAAGAATATTTGAAATTTGTTTGATTTTCCTAAAATATCAAAATATTTCCAAAAATTTTACCTTGCATAAATCTAATCGATCTTGTTTTAAAATTCCGATGTATTTCTTATTTACATTCTTTCCTTTACGAAAGCATTCAAATTAATACACAATTGGTTCTTCAATTTACATTAACAAACAATAATTTATGAGGTATTAAAATTAAAAATAATTTTAAATATATGATATTATGTGAAATAAGAAGAATATAAAGAAGAAATGGGATTCATACTGAAACATAAAAATAATTCCTTTAGATTTTTAATTAATTTTATCTATACTACAAAAATTAACCATATAAGATGAGATCTCAAGCAATCTTTTCCATATCTAGAAGGATTCAGCATATTACATGATTTTTCATTTGATCTATTAAATTCTAAGCCAATCTTATACCTCAAAAACACTCTCGCTTTCTACTTTTCATATTTGAAGATTTTTCTATTAATTTAAAGAAATTGAAATCTATTATATATTCCTGAAAGGTTAACCTGATTGAGCTTTGAAGACATCTCACATAATTATAATACTACTCATTTCTTAATTTATTTAAATAAATAGTAAAAAAATAGAAAGTGTTTTAACATATATATTGAAATCTTCATAGCTCATTTAATTATTTCATAAATCTAAATTTTGAAACACATTGGCCTGAATCAAGTTTAAAAATATATATAATAATATTAAAATAAAATATAATATAATATATTTCTTATGAAAGAAAATTTAATTATTTAATATGCCTTAAAATTTATTTTTTCGTATTTTAAAAATTCAATTTATTTTCAACAAAACAAATAATTAACTGATCTACACAGATACCAAACTATATATATTAGATCAGAAAAATGGTTTAATAGCATTTTATTCCAAAAAACATTATAAAATATTATAACATATTTATATTAATAAAAACAAACGAAAAAGTATTTTTAATTATAAAATTATCATTGATCTCTCATATAATGATCATTTGAAAATCAATTTTTGTAATTAATAAACAAATTGATTTATGAAGATTACACAAACACTTTGTAAAACTAGTTTCAATATTATTAGATGTATTAACCTCTTCAATTTATGTATTTATATTTTTGTATAATAAATCAAATATATTTTAGATTAAGATTAGATATAATTTGATTTTTGAAGATTTACAGTAATATGAAAAAATTGATTATAAAAAATATAAATCATTATTTTTAATATGAATAATTTAAAAAATTTAGGATTACATACTTCATTGTTCTAGAAAGTGTATGTTTTCATGAGATCTAAGTTGTTCAAGTAAATTTATAATATTTTTAGTGCAATTTATTAAGTTTTGTAATTTGATAACCAATCTATTTATGTTACCATGACTCTCTCTTTTATACAGATGTTTTAATTAATTTATTTAGCTTTCGCTTTAAAAACTTCATATTTATGGAATAACCCTTATATAACAGAAATAATTACTTAATTTTTAAGGTAAATAAATAAAAGTGATCAAGTAGCTATTTTACAATTATGTTGCATATTGTTAATACTGATTTCTCAATATTTTTAGCCCTTTTGTATTTTTTCTTTTCCATTGTGCTTTTAACGATTATGTTATTATTTTTGGTGGGTATATTAGATAAAGATGCCCCATTAATTTTAATTAAGATGCTTTGTTATTTGTTGAAATTTTTGTTGACTATAGGTTATTTTCCACTGATGTAAATATTTTTTGGAGTAAGTTTTTTAGAAAATAATAGTTTTTGGCTTGTCATGATAAAAATGGAGTTTAAGTAATGGTGTATTTGGATTCTCAAGTTTGTTGGACTTTAGAATATAGTATCCATGCTATTTTTGCTGTATTTAGTCTAATTTTGAGTTAAGCTTTAATTAGCGTAGTTTCATTAATTTGCTATTAATCAAAAAAAACTTAAACAAATGCTTTTTCACAAAGAACTGGTAGACCTTACTCTTTTTATCATTATTGTATTCTAATAAATATAATGACATATTAATTGTTAGAAACTCCTTAATATATTTCATTGATTTTAATTGTCTTTTTAATTAATAGTTATTTGTTATTCTATTTAGTTAAGTCTACTTAACCATTTCATAATAAAAATATTTAAACTCTATGGGTTATAATAACTGCTCTTAATTTTTGGACTTCATTAATGCTTACCTTTGCTGCTATTTTAGAAGGAAATTACTTTAGAAAATCTTTATATGCATGGTTAATTGGTATACCATTTCTTACAATAATTATAATAAGAGAGCCATCTGAATCAGTTGATTTATTTGAAGCTAATATTCATCCTCATGAAAGTGGTGATGACATTATATAGTTATGTGAATATTTATTAGATATGATATAGAATGCACATAATGATCAATATCTTTAATTAGAATTAGATGCTTATATTGAAGTACATAAACATGCATGTCCAAAATAAGATTGCGTTCTTAAAGCTCGCTAAAAAACAGAAAAAAAGAAATCTATTAGATAAGGTAATTAAATTTTGTTGGATGTAATAAATTAAATATTTTTTTACGGAATAAAGTCTTTTCCTACTGATATTCATTTAAGACTTCATTATGCTTATTTTTTAATGGATTACTTGAAGTTAAAGTAATTAGCTTTAACTGAATTATAATAAGCAGAATAAAATAATGTTAGCTTTGATTTTTCTTTTATTATATTTAGATTTAGGAAGATTATAGAAGAAGATTTACAATAATAATAATAAGAAAGTTCTATACATTTGGATGTTTCAAATGAGATGACTTTTTTAGCATAGAGTAAATAGTTAATGAATATGGTTGAAAGAACTGCATTATTATTTATAGATTTTTGGTCTTAATTATAAGAGGAAATGCCAGATACTGGAAAACTACTTTATCTTGGTATTAAGATATAATAGTTTTCTTAAATAGTTGAAGATTAATGGAAGAGAATTAAGAAACTGAATTAAAAACATATGAAATTATACATATTAATGGGTAAATATTATAAATATGTATGGAATGATGAAATAAAGAGTTAATAAATGTTTGATATAGAAAAAAATAATAAGAATTCTGAATTTAAAGGAATATACATAATGGATGAAATGGGGAATTCTTTTTAAGCAATTTTAGTTTGTTAAACAGAAGGGGAATAATTAGGAATTATACAATCAATAAATAAGGCAGCATGTTCTTTATTAGGATATACTAAAACAGATCTTATAGGTAGACATTTAAATATATTACAACCAGAAATGTAAAATATAATAATTATTTAAGTTATTCAAAATGGCATACAAGTATAATGACTAGATTTCTTGAGAATAGTGATTTGAATTAAATACAAGAAGCCAAAGAATAAGGATGCAAAGTAATTTTTGTAAAAAATAAAGCTCATTATTTAATTTAATGTACACTTTAAGTAAAAATTATATAAACATAAAATCAAGAAATATATTTAATGGCTTAATTATCATAAGATGTTTAATTTAAACCATATTGTTATATTTTATGTTAATCTAATGGATAAATTGAGAATATTAATTCAATGTGTATTAAAGTACTTGGGATAGATAATAAGATTATAGAAATGAAAAGATTGAATATTAATGATCTTTTTCCAAATTTCATGGATGTAAAAGAAGATTACTAAACTAGATAAGGAGATAAATTAATATACACACCATCTTCTAAATTATCAAAGGATTTAGATTTTATAAAGTATAGTTCAGAAAATATATAACTCGATTTACATGAATAAACTGTTTTTAATTGTTAAGTTACTGAAATATAATTCAATACTTTAGCATCTGAAAATATTGAAAATAGAGTGTTTGGATATATTGTAAGATTGGATTAAATAAAACCATAATCAAATGGATTATAAGTAGCTAAAAAATTGTTGTAGTAACAATTATGGTTTAAATTCATACCTTAAAATACATATTGTTTAGAAAAGGTGAATATTACAGATACTTTTGATAATTCCATAAAATTTGACTCTAGTATCATATGGGAAAGTGCTTAAAAGTAGTCTGAAGAAACGATAACTTAAGAATAAATCAAATAATAAGAGGAAATCAAAGGATTAGCATAAGGTATTAGAACTGTACGTCTTTTAAGAGATAAATTAGTTGATATTGATGATTAATAATAAGAAGAAGAAGAGGAAGAATCTTAAAATAATTAAATTATTTAATCTTACTAAGATGATTTAGATGAAGAATAAAGTGTTTTATAGTTGAATTAAAATTACTCATCTAAATCTTTAATTGAAACTGAAATCAAATAATCTTTATTACCATCAATCAATAATAAGATGTAAATATTTATAAATATAATATTATTAATAATAACAATCTGTATATTTACAGAATACTTTTTGGCTAATAAATTGAATGAAGAACTCTAATTAAGTATTCCATATTTAAGGTAAAATAATGAAAGAGTGGCAATATTTTTATTGATATAATCTGTAATATAAGATTTAAAATTTTTAAATTATTAATTTCTTCCATTATAATAAAGACTTACTAATAATACTTTTGTATAAATTTAAAGAAATAATTTTAAAATTAATTTAGCTTAAATTGAGGAGCTAGAACAAAACTTAACTTTGGCTGATGTAACATTTATTTAGGAATATGAAAATTATGAATAATAATTTAAAAGTCTTAATGTGTAAATGAAAAACTTTTACGGTGATTTATAAAACTATAGTCTATCAGAAACCATATAATAATTAGTTTCAATAGCCATAAAATTAAATAATTCAGACTTAACAGAATTTAATGATAAAAATCCATTACTATTTTATTTTGAATATAATTCCTACAATTCATTAGCACTTGCCTAACATGTATCCTAAGATTATTACTATTACAATATCTATTCAAGAACATAAATTTTAGATAGAAGTTTACATATTTTTTTAATAATAACTTCCTTCATGGCTTTTATATTGTAAGTATATTATATATATACTTTAGATTTTTGGTTTAATTATGTTACTTTTATCAAATTTATCATAATAAATTAGAAATCATACAATTATTTTTAGATGTTAAAGAAAATAAAATAAAGTAGATTTATAACAATTGCGAATTGTTTTTGACAGATTTATAAATTGGAGATGATGATGTAAAAATAATTTATAAAGAAAGATTATATCTGAAACAGAAGAGAAACCAGTTGAAAAAAATGATGATGCTGCTGTGTTAAACTTTAGACCAAAAAGAAGGAAACATAAAGATTCTAGTAAAGAATTTCAAAATCAATTGTTCATATCATTCTTATTAAATTTACTAATTTTCTTATACTTTCTCTTTTTACATTATTAAGTTGAGATTATAGTTCATCAAATTTAACAGATATTACCTGTTCTTAATATTACTAGTGCTGCAGAAAGTTTTAATAGATTTGCTGATAATGCATTACGACAATTTATCTATGATCCAAATTATTTAATCTATAATAAAAATGGATTAGATGAAGTTAGATAAATCACAGTTGAATTATATGATATAGATGCAGAGATACATAAATTACATACTGAAATATGGGATTTGTTGGAAGATTCATACAAATCTGCTTTCTTTAGCATTTTTATTAATAATCCTTGTTCTATTATAGCTTCTATTGAAAGTTCTGTACCTGAAGATGTTTGTAATACATTTTATGGTGGTATAATGTAAAACGGATTATCGATTGGAATAACTAAATTTGTTGAAGATCTAAGATAAACCTTACGAAATTTTGAAAATCGTAATATAAGTTCTCAATAAAATTTTAATTTGACTGATGATGCTGATTTAAATTCTAGAATGAATTTATTAAATACAATTCCTATGACTTCAATGAGAAGAATGCAAAAAATATTCATTAGAGCATGTTATCGATATTTAATTTNAAAACTATAGTCTATCAGAAACCATATAATAATTAGTTTCAATAGCCATAAAATTAAATAATTCAGACTTAACAGAATTTAATGATAAAAATCCATTACTATTTTATTTTGAATATAATTCCTACAATTCATTAGCACTTGCCTAACATGTATCCTAAGATTATTACTATTACAATATCTATTCAAGAACATAAATTTTAGATAGAAGTTTACATATTTTTTTAATAATAACTTCCTTCATGGCTTTTATATTGTAAGTATATTATATATATACTTTAGATTTTTGGTTTAATTATGTTACTTTTATCAAATTTATCATAATAAATTAGAAATCATACAATTATTTTTAGATGTTAAAGAAAATAAAATAAAGTAGATTTATAACAATTGCGAATTGTTTTTGACAGATTTATAAATTGGAGATGATGATGTAAAAATAATTTATAAAGAAAGATTATATCTGAAACAGAAGAGAAACCAGTTGAAAAAAATGATGATGCTGCTGTGTTAAACTTTAGACCAAAAAGAAGGAAACATAAAGATTCTAGTAAAGAATTTCAAAATCAATTGTTCATATCATTCTTATTAAATTTACTAATTTTCTTATACTTTCTCTTTTTACATTATTAAGTTGAGATTATAGTTCATCAAATTTAACAGATATTACCTGTTCTTAATATTACTAGTGCTGCAGAAAGTTTTAATAGATTTGCTGATAATGCATTACGACAATTTATCTATGATCCAAATTATTTAATCTATAATAAAAATGGATTAGATGAAGTTAGATAAATCACAGTTGAATTATATGATATAGATGCAGAGATACATAAATTACATACTGAAATATGGGATTTGTTGGAAGATTCATACAAATCTGCTTTCTTTAGCATTTTTATTAATAATCCTTGTTCTATTATAGCTTCTATTGAAAGTTCTGTACCTGAAGATGTTTGTAATACATTTTATGGTGGTATAATGTAAAACGGATTATCGATTGGAATAACTAAATTTGTTGAAGATCTAAGATAAACCTTACGAAATTTTGAAAATCGTAATATAAGTTCTCAATAAAATTTTAATTTGACTGATGATGCTGATTTAAATTCTAGAATGAATTTATTAAATACAATTCCTATGACTTCAATGAGAAGAATGCAAAAAATATTCATTAGAGCATGTTATCGATATTTAATTTAAATTATGGAGGAAACTATTTTGTAACATTTTGAAGAAACAGATATTTTAAGATTGGCAGTATTCTTATGTATAAATATTCTCATGTTAATTGGAGTAACTTTTGTTTGGATACCAGTTTAAATAAAGAATAATTAAGATATTTTAAACACTCGTTTATTAATATTAATGATACCTTTAGAATAAATTTTAAGGTAATATTATTAATATAACTAAAATAGAATAAAATCCATTAAAAATTATCTTAGAAATAAAATTTATCATTGATTATAATAAAATTATCAATTTTCAGCAGATTATTATTCTTATTCTTAGAATGCTCCATATTTTTTCATTTCTTCAGCTTATTATTTTAGTTCTTATATGCGCTTAGCTAAAGCTCTACCCTTTCGGCATAAAATGAAAACTATCATAATAAGAACAATCTAATATAAATATAAATATATACTGCTACTGAAACACAGACTCCAATAATTAAATAATTTGAATCAGATTCTAGAAGAGGACCTGATGCTTAGATAGATAATTACTAAGTGATTTAACATTATTCAAATAAATCTGTATTGTTGTGTGATTGACATTATGAAGTATTAGCTTTAATTGTATAATTCTATTCTTTTCCATATTAGAATTTACAAATAATAACTGGAAAATAATCATTAAATTTCCATATATGTAAAGATCCTTTAGATAGTCCTATATAATAGGAAGTTTCCATAAATTATGTCTTAATAGTTTCATTCATTTCAAAATATTAAAATCTAATTAATTCATCTTCAAAAAATGTTTTTACTAAATCTGTATTATTTTTCATAAAACCATTAAAAATGGAATGTCTTATAACCAAATGAACATCTTCTCCAATGATTATTGCATAATCTTCATCTATCTCAATATCTCTAAAAGAGAAGTCATCAACATATATTCTATTAGTATAATACTCTTTTGAATCAGGTAATAAGAATATTTCCATCATGTATTCTATATTATTAGGAGTTTCAGCTACAATTAAATAAGTATTATCATAGTGATCAAATGCTACACATCTTGATTATGGTATTGTTATATAAAAAGATGCTTATCCATTTAATATTTAAAAAATATATAATCCTGTATGTTCATCTAATATGCTTAATCTTTGTTTAGATAATTTTACAGATATAATATTTACTGTTGTTTAATTTAATTATTAAGCCGTTATTGTAGCTAAAAATATAAGTTGCTTATTTATATATTAATAGAGATCAGCACCATTAATTCCATTTGCAATAGCAAGATATTCTTCACAAAGACTGATTTTATTTAGATCTTAGCTTTATTTTATCACTGGTTCTAAATTTAAATTGGGACTTTCTAATTCTGTATTGGTATTTAACCAAAATCCTCCATAATTAGAGAGTATCAAACAACGATCTTTATCTATATCAAAGCAACCAAAAAAAGCATTAGTGTAATTTATTTGTTATTAAATCAGATTTGAGAGAGAGTAAGAAAAGTTCTTTATTTATATATTCCATTGAGGAATTGAAGATTAATTATATTGTAGAATGGCCTGCTTTAATTCTAATTGATCTGTCAATAAAAATATTCTTAATCAAACAAAACTCTTACTTTTATTATTATCCTAAAATTAAAATATCTGTATAATAAACATCTTCAGTATTATCTAATAAATTTACATTGAATATTTCAGTCAATTTAGGATGTTTAGGCAAACCGATACAATCTAAGGATATAAATATAAAAAAACACCATTTTCTAATTGTTAATCATCTAAATATTGATTGTCTAAACTAAGGAAAGGTGTTTCAATTTATGTACCTAATAAATTCGAATCATTTCTATAAATGGTAATGTCATATATTGCAGGATTGCTATAAAATTCAATTTCTAATTAACCTTAGTAATTTCACATGAGCCTCTTATGTAGAAAATTGAAATTGCAAAGATTCCTCATCTATCATATATGTTTAATTTGGATGACTACGGATTCGATTAGTTTAGATTGAATTCTTTAAAAGTAGTGTTGTAATTAAGCATATTTAGATTAAAAACATTAAATATCAAATATTTAACAAAATAACACAATCAAATTAATCATTTTTCCTTAATTTTCTATTATTGTTGTAACATCTTAGCATTCAGAAGAGTACAAAATCTAAATTGATCCATTAATTCAATACAATGATTTAAAGTAGTTTTATTTTTTTAAATACAAATTTTATATGCATCTAAATGAATTTAACATTTATCTCCAGTCATTTCATATGCAATTTTATCTTAAGGTAATAGATGTATTTATTTATCCATTTCAAATAAATTAATTATAATAAAAGGATATATATGAATGAGAAAATAATTAAATTCATTAAATCTTTATACATTATTAGATATTTAAAATATATAAGAATGAACACTTAGATAATATAGCTCAATTTAACAATTATATTCTATCATGACAATATCTATGGTAATTTCTAATCATGAAATCTGCGTCAATCTTCTTTTTAGTTGGTGCTTCACTTAACAATTCTTGATATCTCTATTCACAGTTATATTTTATAATAAATTCTTCTTGACTCATTTTTAAATTATCCATAGCATTTTCAAGATTGTTCAAAATTACCAATCTTTTTAATAATTAAATTTGTACCTTGGACGTAATACTGTCCAATAATCAAACTCTAAAATCTATGGAAAATATGGGGAATTCTTAATTTTAACATTCATAACTTTTTCAAAGAATTTCAATTTCAATTTTAATGTCTAAACACTCTTAACAAATAAATTAGGAGATATCTATAAAATCTATCCAATTTAATTTAATGATAATTCAAGATCTTTCAATAAATTGATTTTTGGACTTAACATATATGCTGGTGTTAAAAGTAATAGTTTATGATTATTTATTAATAATTAATGTTAAACTTCCTTATTTGGAATTAAAACATCATAATGATTAAGTAATCTATCTAAGTCATGATTTTTAAGTGCTAAGAATTCTGAAGTTTTTTAAATCTAAAATATCATTTATAAAATATTACTAATTCTTGAATTTCTTTTATCTTATATTCTCTGTTATACATAATTCTAAAATTAGGTGGTATTCTTTCAAGATTAAATGAAAATAAAAATGGAGTATTAACTAATACTTATCCAAATTATTTATCACTTACATGAGCATAAGTATTAAATACATTTCTGAATTTTCCATAATTTATTTCAAAATTTCTCATTATTAAAGGATATGTAGTTAACATAGATAAAATGTCTTCCTTATTTATTTGAAGCTACTTTTCAAATAGATCAAGATAAGTATTCATTTTGTCAATAGGATGGCTCAATATTTGTGGATCTTTGAAAAGGATAGTTCTCATTGATCTGAATTACTATTATATAAATATACTTTGCATCTGCATTTAATCTATTTTTTAATAATTCATTCAGCTATCCAATATCATTTTGAGTATCTCCTTTTACAAGAGACAGACCTCTATTCTTGAAAATTCTAAAAATCATCTATTCATTAAATCCCATAGATTCATAGATACTTAAAGCTGGTTTTATTTGAGATTCATAATTGTAAATTGTAGCAAATTTTGTATTTTATAGTTTTTCTGTAAATTTTGCATAAGTACTGAATCTAAAAATGATGGCCCTCATTTAATAAATTAATATTTATATATATTTTCATTGTTTATATACAACCACTCGAAGTTTGGTTTCAGGAATCTAAATTGTTTATATTCCTTTTATTTCTTTTATATCTATTGTTAGTTATTTTAAATGAATAATTAGATTAGCTTGATTAATTATTTTTAGGCAAGCATTCTCATTAATAGAGCAATCTCTAAAATTCAAAACAAGTTATTATAGATATTTGTATTCAATAATGATTCCCATCATTTTATCAATATAATCATCAGATAAATCTTAAGGAGATAAATTGATATTTAATTGTATCACATTTTCTCTTTTTATTCTTTCTAAATAAAATAAAAATATTTAAAGGATAATTGACTTATTGACTGTCATTTAAATTATATATTTTCTTAATTTTTTGTTCATAAAAGATTTGTCTAATTCTTCAAGTTATTATTATGAAAGTGAAGTAATCTATTTAAATTAACATTTAAACTTAAATTCTTTCAATTTTTTCTTCAAATTTAAGAAATTCTAATTGCATGGGTAAAAGATTTTGAGCAGCATTTGCAACTTCTATTAGAGAACATCCTTCTATTGGATTACGTGATAACATATTTCTAATTAAAGTTCCTAACATTTCCCTAATTTTAAAAATTATATACCCATATTAAAATGATACAAATTATAATTTATCTTCAATAGCCCTTTCTGATATCATATCAGCAGGTAATGTTAATGAAGCCATTGATAAAATAATTATTCCAATTTACCAAATATCTGTTCTAATTGCAAGATTTAAATTGTTAATAAAACCATATTAATTTATTTTTCTTATGCTTTCTGGTGCTTATAGAGCTTTATAATCATTAAAATTTTTATCATATTAAACAAAATATTTTTTTTTGAAAGCAAGAACAGGAGATAACCCACCAATTTTAAATCCTTTTTTTTTATCATAAAACAAATAACTTACAGAGAACTATTTCTAAAATATCTATAAAAATTATAAATATTATGCAACTGTCACTAAAGCAATAATTGCTTCTACAATAACTTCTAATTAAAAAAGGTTATGCGTTTAAGCTCTTAATTAAATAATCTCTTTCATAGGTTATTCCACCCATTCTTCAACTGTATAAATTGTATCATACTATAAATCATCTGTTTAATTCAATTTATTATATATAGTCTTTTTTATTTTCTTATTAAAGAAAGGTTTATTTTTTAAAATATGACCTATCTGAAAACATTTGACAATATAAGTAAAATCTGTAATTAACAATTATGATCTCTTAAAATGCTCATACTCAAATTTAGCGAAATCACTTTATGGTATTAAATATTGATGAACTGTAAAGGCTATTTTATGAGCACTAACTCTAAAAACTTTATTAAACAAACTCTTTTTTATTAAAGCTGATTTTATGTAATTGTTATAAAGCTCTTCTTTTGTTAACTTCCCAAAAGTTAATTACTTCAGTCTTTCAGGCTCAAATGTATTACAAACAAATTAATTTATAGCATCATATTTGTAGATTATAATTCTTTTATATAAATTATTTTTACTTATGAATTTAAGATAAATAAGTTTAAATAGTTTTTAAATGCTCTTATAAGTCTTCCCTGCTCTCATTACTTTAAAACCAAGAGCTGAAAATTGACTTCTCAGGAAATTAAGGTAACTAATGCTTTTATATTTCTTAATCTCATACTTGCACTTAATAATTATCATTTATGAGATTTCGAGAAAATTAATAAAGTTCTTAAAAGCGTACCCTCACATCACGATAACAAGTATAATAATTGTTTGTAATTCTAACATTGTAATAGTATTTATTCTCATAAGACTATATATCAATGATTTAAAGCTAATATTACATTAATAATTAATAATTAATAACTTTTAAATATAAAACTCTTTCTATTATATCAAATGTTATTATCTAATGTCACTTTAAATAAAATAATTATATTTCTTATACTTCATAATAAAGACTTCAATCTAAATCTATAGCTATCTATCATCTGAATATTATAATAATAAACTATTGCTTTTAAAAAATAATTAATTATAAAATCTTAAGTTCATAATAAATCAAATTTATTTTTCATAAAGTAAATACATATAACTCTTTTTTTTTAACAGAAATCTAATATTCTATAAATTAAAACAGTAATATTCTTTATTTGATTATTAATATATTTATTACTAATTTAATTAACATATTCTGTATATATCAAATAAAAAATAAAAATGAATAATAAGTTTTTAGAAAGAATTAAAAAATTCATCAACCATTAAAAGTAAAGATTAAAAAAAACAATTACTAATAAATATATATGAGATTTAAATTCAAGAATTTATAAATATTTATAGATATAAGTTTTGATTATTTTTTATTGATAAATCAAAATTTCATAATTAGGCTCAAAATAATGAATGAATATCAATCATATACTTCTGATAATCGTAAATCGAAATAAACAATTAATACAATGGAAGAGCTAAGTAAAAATTAATCATTCCGAATTCTCAAACTCTAAACATCTGGTATAGGTAAGATGAATAATAGTAGTAAAAGAAACCCATAAAACTTTGATGTTTCATAAGTCTCAACATCTATGCCATTAAGGTAATTTGGTTTCATATTATATCTATAAGTTAGAAGAATATGTTATCATTTTTGGCTCATGATGAGTCCAAGCGTCCAAATTCATATGAATAGTTATATTAAGATTTGTAACAATCAAAGCAATAAGTAAATAATCTTAGAGATGAGAATGTTCGACTAAGAACTAAAGTGTAACATAATGAAGTAAGTGTTATTGCATATAAATTAGAGAGAATTCTTAAAATATGAGAATTTAATAGAAGATTTAACTACTTAAAAGAAATCCAATAATCAAGATCTTCAGATAATTTCATTACGTAAATAGGTCAAAGATAAAAGCTAAGAATTAGAAGATAAAATGAAAGAGTTGGAAATTTTAAAGAGAAATAGTAAAGTTTGTAAATTATAAGAATTGGAGGTTATGATATTTATTTAATTGTAGATTGAGAAAAAGGTTTATTTTGAATAAACTTTAATGATGAAACATATGTTATAAATGGCTTAAGATTAAATTTAATACCAACAAAGCAAGTTAGAACAAGTGTAACAATTAGAATCTCAATTAGATGTTTGTCATGAACAACTTTTTAAATTATAATAATAAAGTAATGATTAATATGAACTAATCAATAAAAAGGAATAAAAGATAAAAGAAATGAAAATTCAATTAAAAAATTAATCGATAAAATAATAATAACTAGTCTAAAAACAATAATCAATTTAATAAAAATATGATAATTTGTAATTGCTGTATTAATCCATCAAAGGGAATAATAACATTATAAATCAATCAAAAGACTCTGCTTTAAAGTTCCCAAAAGATCTTGTTATATTGAAATTGCATTAAAAGAGAATAACAATGAATTAATATAATATTGGAATAGAAGGATTGAAATAAGCTAAAAATAAACAAGAATTTGGTTAACTTTTGTAAAAGTAATAATTTAAAATAAAGTTAATAGAGAACCATTTTAATTAAATGAAGTTGAATCTTAATAAGTTATAGAAAGGTTATCAGGAACATAGTCTTTATATTAACAATTCATTACATAATTAAGTTATCATTCCTTGGAAGGTTTAGATGAATAATAGGCACAATAATTAATAAATAAGGTATTCCAATAAGTAGCGTATAGTCTCTTTAATCTAAAAAAGATCGTGTAAGATAGTATTGGATTTAATACAAATACAAAAAAGTTGGAAGAGACGATATTATCAAATTTATTTAGGCCATGAATTTTAATTGGGATTAATAAACGATATCTTATTTTTTATTAGAAGTATCTTATTTATTTATTAAGATATTTTAAAATAATTTGTCAAATAATAATGTTACAAATAATAGTGAATAAAATTCTTAAAGTATGAGAGTATCAATAGATTTTATTACTAATCCTTTTTAAAGGTAATCTCATCATAAAAGTTCTTATGAACTCTAATAATAAGATAGTTTTATAAGAGATTTGAATGAGTAATAAAGTAATTAATAGGTAATTGAGAATTTTAATCCTAATGATGAAGTATTAATTAATTAATTTTTCCCTGCTGATGAAGAAGATAAATAATTTGATATAATAAGTAGTAATCCTTAAGATAAATTGACTTCAAAATATCAATAACAGAATGAAATCTAAGAAGTTAATGAAGAAGATATGTTGAGCTCTAAACCTTAAGATGAAGATAATGCTAATGATATGGCATATTTGGAAAGCAATTAATAAGAAGAATTACCTTAAGAAGTTAAAAGCCTTGAAATTTTGAATGATTATCAATAATGACTAATATTTATATTATTTAAACTATCTTTATAATTTTTAAATTCTATAAATTATATTTACATGACATGAAGCTTACTCTTACTTATAGCTTTATATTCTGTAAAATATTCAATATGACCTCCTTTTTCAGTTTAGGCTAAAATGACATTTTTATTATTTAGAATTCCATTTTTTGAAATTTTAGAAGATTAGATAACTGAATCATCCATACAAGAAACGAATAAAGGATTCTACTCAAGCTTATTCTTTATTTAACTTAAAATTATGCAATAACGATTGATAAAAATTAAAATTTCATTATTTAAATTTAATGATAATACGTAAACCAACAACTATCACTTTAAAACCAGAAGATGATTATTAAGAATATGAAGACTTTAAAAAAAGACAAGAGGAGTAAAAGAAAAGCCAAATGCAATAAAAAAAGGATATGTTCGCTTGGTCTCAGTAATAGCAAACACAAATTATACATTAAGTTTAAAAAATTTGAATTTTAAAATAGGCACCAAAGAATACTAGAAGATCTATTTAAGTTGCCTAAGAACCTACTATTGAATTTGAACCTGATTCATACTTTGATATCAATAATCAAATACCTGTAAACTAATTATTCAGAATGATAAATCCACCTCCTGATGCTATGTAGTAAGAGCCTTAATGATAAAATACATTTATCTAGTTTACAATATTACTAATTAATGGTTATCTTTTGAAAATCAATCATAAAAAACAGTTCTTTTATAAAATAAATTTGTGATTTTTAAAATGAAAATTTATTTTTTGATAATAATATTTCATTTATTTTAAATTTTTCAATTATTTTTGCTAAATCATGTAATATAGAAAAGCTTCTTAAAAAAGAAATCCATTTGTTATTTTAAACTCGAATATATGATTCATGTTCTAAAAATAATTTCTATTATTTGATTTATTAATTCCTTTTATCTTATTTTAATTTTTTAATTAAAATATAGATATGTTTAATATAAAATTTTTCTAGATCAATAAACTTTTTTCAAAAAAAAGGTTTATGCTTTTCTTTTACCATAAGTTAAAGATTTAAATCATTTTAAAGTATGAAGTTTATTTTATTATATTCAAAAATGTATTATTCTAACTCAATAAAATTTGATGTTACTTGTTGGATAAAATACTTTTATTTTTAATTATATAACCATCATAACAATTAAAGCTTCGGTTGTTGTTTTTTTTTTAATTAAGAGAAAAAAAGTAATCAAATTTTACAATTTTTATAATTACCCAATTTAAATGAGGATTGACATATATTATTATATTATGATTAGTCATGTGTACCCAATAGACAAAAGAGTTTACTTCAACAATTTATATTTATTATCATATTTTACACACAATATTTATATTTACATATCTTATTAACATATTACATATCCCCTGTCATTAAAATAAGGAAAATTTTGTTACGATTCTTAGAATTATATTGATGTATAAACTATTAATCATAACAATATTTAAAATAATGAATTAAAGTTACCTAAACCTTAAAAACAGAAAATACTAATGCATAAACAATGACTAGAGAATATAACTTTTAGTAGATATTTTAGTGGAAGGAATATCGATAAAAGAAGCTGCTAAGAAGAATAATATAAAATTCTCTTCAGCAAAGGTTATTTTAAAGCTTTTTAAGCGTGAGGGACGTGTTGGAAAACTTAAAGAAAATTAATTATCATAATTAGAGGTTTCTTAATAAATAAAACAATAAACTTAGATAGTAGATGAAAATGAATAACTATGCAACAATATTTTGAAATAAATAGAAGATTGTAAGGCTAGAAACAATTAATTGCAGTTGACGCTGACAATTTATAAATAAATTAACAATTAATTTAATTTAGAATGAAATTATAATTATTATTATTTAAATAATTCAGCATTTTAATTAAGTGGAAGGAATGATTTATACTTAATCATCGAAATCAGTTGATCTTTATTTATCTAATTCAACAAATTCAGCAAGTAATTCCTCTAACTAATCTTCATTTTGTTCAAACATTTTTGGATGATAAAAAATCTAACTTTTATCTATGTTTTACTAAATGATAAGAATTATAAGTTACTTATTTTACAAAATATCTGATTTCTTTCAAGAATGCCTCTGTAAGAAAATGATCTTAAAAAATTGATATCATATCAGAACCATCTGTAGGTAATTACATAGCCATGTTTCTAAGTGTATATAATGGTATGAATTCTTCTATCTTCTGAATATCTCCATTAGGTATTTTCCTTTTAAATAGTGATTTTCTCAAAAGTTATAATCTTTCCATAATTGAATCAAATTTAAACTATTCTAAGCAGTAACCATATATTTGATGATAAATTGATTTTTATTTTTATTGTGCTTCTTTCAATTGAGACTACCAACTTTTTTATCTATGTTAGGGTTCAAATTTGAAATCATTCAAATTGATTGCTACTTCATCTTATTTTGGTATTGAAAAAATTTCTGGCGTCTATTTTTTTATTTAAATGTTTTGATGAGATTATCTCAAGTTTTTTTTAGCTTCTAAGTACTCTTTAATTGTTTTTTAGGAGGTTTCATTTAAGTACCCGGGTAATTATGATTAAATTTAATTTTTTGCTTATTGAATATTCATATTTATGTTAAAATAAATAAAATGTGCTTAGAATTCTCAGATCAAGATTATTAGGATTTTCAATTCTGAATGCTAGAAATACTAATTAAACTTAATAAAAATGCAATTTTGATGATATATAATAAATTAGTAGATATGTATAAAGCTCAGTATTCATGGTAAATTGATAACACATATAAATAATAATATAATCATTACCAATGATCTAAATCTTCTAATTCAGGTTTCATTTATTGTTGTGTTTATTAAACTGATTTGTTTTGTTCACCTCCTTATTATCTTATTTGAACTTTTTATTCTGTAATTGGTTCTTTTCTGAAAGGTATTATATCATGATTCAATAAAATATGAGGGAAAAATTTATATTACCAAAATTTAACTGAATTATCTTTACTACTTGTGACAAGCAAGCCAATGGAATCAAATAATTATATTTTAGTAATATCTTTGTCATGAGCACCTAATGAATAGAGATATTTCATATTTGTAGATTCTAATATAATAACACAATTTCCATAATTAACATAGATTTCTTTTGTACTGATAGAAAATTAAACAACTTTATTTGGAATAGTTTTAAGTAATGTAATTTAGTTAGAACTTTTTTCTTTTCCTTGTTTAGCAATTTCAAATACACTTAGATATCCTTCTTTGCTACCACAGATTAGATAATTTTTTATTGGACAAAATTGAATTGAAGTTAAATACATATTAACATCCTATTTGATTTAGTGAATTTCATGTAAAGGCCCTTTTTCAAAAGAGAAGATATATATGCTTCCAATATTATCACCTACAAAAAGTCTATATTGATTGGTAGTCATGCATGTCAATTCATTAGTAAAATCCTTTTCTATTATCAAAAATAGGTTATACCTTTTAATATACAAGTTGGATTCGATAGATCTGTTGTTATTAGACATTTATCTCTACCAATACTATAACAATGACCTGTCAAATTACTAAATGCAATTCCATTTATTGATCGATTATGCTTGTGAATAGAACAGAATTCATAATATTCCAAATACTATTTATTTGTTGCAACTCTTAAACAAACAATTTAACCATCATCAAATCCAATGGCTAAAATAGTGAGTTTTTCATCCCATCTTATCATCGTACCTCTTTATTGATATTATAAAGTCCATAAACTTTAAGCAATAGCTTAACCATCTTTATTAACATTTAATCTATAGCATATCAATTAAGTATTAAAGGATGGTTTTAGAGACTTACCAAATATGCCCATAAAACCTTACATTTTGCTTGAAATTGAATCATCTGTAGTTAAAACAAAAAACACTTATGTATCAGGTTCATAATGAAAGTCTGTAATAGGAAATGTATGACCATAATGAATTTTTAGAGATGGTTTTGGTTATAGTAACCATTTGCTTCCAATTAACTATGATAACTATTTTATTGTATAAATAGTCTATACATCACAAAAATTATAAAAACTCTAGTTTCCTAAAACATCGCATCTCCAGATTATGGCTCCTAACCATTTTTCTAAATCTACTCTTCTTTTTTCAGCATCAAAAGTATTTGGTTTGAATCCAAACATTCCTATTCCTGGTAATTGAGGTAAATCAGGACATTAAACAGTTAATGTTTTGTATAAGGTTATACAATTATCATATGTATATTCAAGGTCAGATCGCTTAAATGGTTCAACTAATGTAAATTACAACACAATTCTATAATAAATTTGACCATCTGCTTTCTCTCTATAACCAGGAACTTTAAACTATGTTAATATTTGAAAATACTTTTAAATGTGCACCTAAATATTCAATTCCATTAAGAGTGTCTAAACTCATAATTAAATAAAATGTTTTTGGGGCGAAAAATATTTAGAGCATTTTGTTCTTAGACTTAATATAATATCCCAATTTTCACATCAAGTAGAGGTCCATCTGCTAATAAACATCTTGATGATGTACTTTTAGATCAAATGATCAAAGGTTTTAAGAAAGCATACACGGACAGATTTTTGTTAGACTTTAAAAAAGTTATCATTAATAAAATATTTATAGGTGGTTCTACCTGCAAAGAGAGTTAGATCACTAGATGATCATATAGTTGGATTATGGAAAAAACATGAAGTAGCAGTTGTGATTGAAGGAAGAGATGAATTTGAGGATATTGATATAGTTTTAGACTATTATTAAGTGGCAGCAGTTAAAAGAAGGATATGTGCAAATGTTGCTCCAATTTATATAAGAATACCAGGACATAATGAAGACATTCGTTGCACTTTGGGTGAAATCATCAAAGATCCTAGTAACAATGATAAGTTTAATTGATAGAAAGTGGATGGCCATTCAAAGTAACTTTGAGAAGATACATAGTAGGCAGACCAAATCTATTATATGTTCCAATTGCTTTATTGCCTAATAATTCTAATCCAGCATTAGTTAGAGGAACTGATTATGATGTACATATTGAAGGAGTTTGGATAAACTCATATAATGCCACATATCCCACAAGATTCCTTGTTGATGTAAAAAACCTTAAGACTTACAGACCTTATAAATTAGGAGATTTATAAAATACTTTCCCTTAAGGTGTTTTATTACATGAAAGATATAAAAAATTGATCCATTGGAATGTAGTAACTCAAGCTAGAGATGAAGATGATGTAATTATTCAATTCTTATTTTTGTTAGAAATTCTTTGAAGAAGCAGAATTCTAAAGATCAAAGAAAGATGATGATTTATTAATCTATAGAAAACCAGATGATGCAGGAGAAGAAACTATTGAAGGGGAAATGTTATATTAAAAAAAAAAAGTAACAGTAGAAAAGAAATAAAAAAAAAGAAGGGAAAAGTCACTCAAAAAGAAAGTAAAATAAGCCAATCAAGAATTATAAAAAGAAGTTGCTGCAGCAAAAGAGGCAAAAGATGCTGCTGCTAAAGAAGCTGCAGCAGGTAAAAAATGATGAGTTTATAGTAAATATTCATTATAATGATTATTGGTTAATAAATTTATCAAAGTTATTCAAAATATCTAAGTTTTCTCTAATAACTTATTTAATGAATCCAATTAATATATCATACCTAACTAAAACTTATCTTTTTTATGGTAAATATGATCTTGTAGATTAAGGAAGACAAGAAAGACGCTTAGTATTAATTCTGAAACCTTGTCCTTTAAAGCCCTCACTATGAAATGAAGTAAATTATCTAGGAGAATAAGTTATTAGAGATTCCATTTTCTCTAAACTATTTTTTTACGATTTCAATAGATATTAAGTCTATCTCTTTGTAAATTATTCTTTTGTTATTCTTGCTTAAACTTGGGTTTAATCTGTTTCTATATAATTTATTAAAGGTTCTAGATATCTTCCATTCCCTATACCCCCAAAAACAGCTATTTTTGAACTAAGTAGTACTGAATTATGTGCACATCTTGGTACATTGATACCTTCCATTATTACTTCTTACCATAAATTTAATGAAGGATAAAAAATAAAGAATTCACTTGATTCTAAAGATCCATTAATTATTTAATCTCTTTAACCTCCTAATATAACAATGCCTTAAATTTTCTTTATGAATTCCATAGTATGATTATGACAAGGCATAGGTGGTTTACCTCCAGTTTAAACAATTTCCCAAGCAATAGCTGTAGTAGTATTTGGATAAAAGATTAATTTTTTGATTAAATTTGTAGAATTCCCATCTTAATTCTTACCTCCAAATGAATAAACATTTTCAACTGGAATGATATCAGTCGTATTTTCACTGAATTTAGAGGATTATGATATATTAATAATGGAATGACAACAAATGGGTGTTGATTTGACATCCCATTATTTCCATATCATTTTCTCTATATTATATAAAGCAGTATCATTCAATACTTATTCATTGCTATTAACTCCTCCATATATAAGCATCCATTTCCATCCATAAATACATGCTTTATGATGTCTTCTGGGTTCTATATAATCTCCTTAGACATTAACCTTCTCCCAAAATCTAGTACTTGCATTGTAATCAAATACAGTATTAAAACATTCTCGAACTTTTAATTTTGTATTGAATTTGCAAGCTCCACCGAAATAGATGAAATGATTTCTCAAAGATACTACTGTTAATGCTGCTCTACCAAATTTTGGCATTTCTCCAATACCATTAATTACATGCCAATCCTAAAATCCTACTTATATTATATAGTTACTTAAATCAAATCTTAACATTTAATCTCTTATTCCATCTCCTGCTATTCCTCCATACAAATATAAAGAGTCTCCATATAATGCCATTGATCCACTCTCAGTAAAAGAAGGTCTAAAACTTTTTGCACTTCTAAAAAACTCTTAAGATTCTCCATAAAATGTCATCTACGGAGGATGATCTATTTCAGCTTCTACTGTTGGTATAGCCAAATTAGGCATTTAATATACTATTATAAAATATTCTTAATACTTCTAGCTCCTTCTTTTAGATTTACTTTCTTTTTTGGAGAATGATCTCTTCTTTTTAATTTTTATACTACTCGAATTTTTAATTTTTTTTGAGTGCCTTAATCTAAAGCATCTGATATAACTTCTTAATGTCTCTCTGTCATTTAGGAAATTATTTATTCACGTTAAACTTTGTTATGGGTTAATTACATCATCAATCTAGCTCTTGGGGATGGTATTCGCAATATTGTTTTTGAGAATTCCTTACTAAATCTACTTTGTTATCGTACGCTTTCGGCATTTCTGTAAATGTCTTAAATAATGTACTCTGCGTCACTGGTGTGTTTAGTAAGGTACGTTCAGATTGCAGAATCTCTATTTATGGACTCATACCTTGAGATGAAGATCTTAAATGCATAATATTTTAATTAAATCAATTAAGTTACTTTATAGAGTTCATAATGTAAGGCTCATTCAAAATGTTTTATGGTAACAGGCACAATCCATACTTTAAGAATCTAAACTTAAAATAATTTATCTAGATCCATTTTGTATAAACCATTATATACAGTAGAATTATTATTGATCCAGTTATGCAGTAGTACAATTATATTGTACTTAAATTTTCTTAGGCAAAATTTTAATTGCTATATTAGATGATATTTATGAAAATGTCAATTGTCTTTGTCGTGAATAGAAAATGTTACAAAAAAGCGGTATTAAATTCTTTCGAATTCATAAACTACTCATTATCAGTTATATCACTCAAATGCTATTATTAATTAATTTCATAATCAAAATATTGTTTTATTATTGAACTTATCTAACTAGCGACTCCCTTTATGCCAGTTTCATAAAAATTAGAAATATCATCTGCTTAGGAAGGACTTGAGTATAAATTAATAAAAGTTTAATTAACCTGTGGATATTAACAAAATGGCACTTCATAAAATAATTTCAAACAGATATCATACTTATAAATGCTCTCTAAAGTAGTTTTATCATTATCACTGATTTAATTTGATAGTGTTATTTATTCATAGATACTAATTAAATTTGCATCGAAATTCACTTCACTTTCTTCAAATAGTTGAAATAATTAATTATTTGCATCCTGCATTCTCTCAACAACTTCTTTAGTAATAATCTTTTATTGAATTAACTTATTATAAATAGATGGTAAAGATTTTGTTACTATGGCAGATCCAATCATGGCATCTAGATTAGTTGAAAATGTGATAAATTATAGAGTCATTTTTTAAAAAGGGATCATTTATTGAATCTCTTTTCTATATAAGATATAACCACAAATTATGAATACTATTAAAGTGATATAAGTTAACAATAATATTATAAAGATAATTCTTCTATTCATTGATGTGTCTTAAATTCTTGTGTTGAGTACGATTGGTTGTCGATTTTGAATCTTAGTTGTTTATAAAGATCCTCTTTATGATTTCAAATCATTGTTTGATTAATTATTAAAGTCATAGGAAGAATAATTTATTTGTCTCCAATTAAAGTTGTTTTCTTTATTTTGTAAAATTTCTTTCATATGTTAAGATTTTTAGATTTATTATCGTGCTTCCTTCTCTTTTAATCTTCCTATCATTAAAATAAGTTATCTTTGGTAGATTAAAGATTATTTCCAAAAAAAAAATTGTGTAATAATTTAAAAGAGAAGCACAATAATTATTGTGAAAGTTAATACAACAATTTTTAAACTTTAGTTGTCTAAAGTATTGCCATATAATTCTTTATACGAAGATATTAATGTTTTACTCATATAAAAAACATTATATAAATTAATTCTTAAAGACATTAATGTTGAAATTTGATGATTGTCAATCTCAAATTTTTTGTGATAATAAAATAACTCTTTTATTGTCCTTTCTAAATTTATAATAAAGTAAGTATACCCTACAATTTGACTATCTTATCCTACTGTTCTATAATTAATATCTTCTAGTAATCCAGAGTTTTCAACCTCAATAAAGGAAGAGTATAATTTATTTAATTCTAAGAATGTAGATTCTGAGATATTTTTTAATTTGTAATCAGTTTAATTAAGAAGGTAAGTACTACAATCAACAACTTAAAGCTTTTTCATAAGAAGTATCCATTCGAGCGAAAATAATTGGAAAAACTGTCTATTAAAAATTAAAGGAGCATTGATATTTTTATTGCTTTGAACAATTTCATTTGTGCCATCTGAGATAATTATAAGACTTGCAATCATATAAATTAATTAAACAACTATAATTAATAAGTTAAGAGCCATAACAATTTTTAAAGGTTTTATAATTTTATCAGAATTAATAAAAAGATGACACTCTTTATTAGTATTAGATTTTGATGAATCTAAAGATGTCTTAGATCCTTNCTATGGCAGATCCAATCATGGCATCTAGATTAGTTGAAAATGTGATAAATTATAGAGTCATTTTTTAAAAAGGGATCATTTATTGAATCTCTTTTCTATATAAGATATAACCACAAATTATGAATACTATTAAAGTGATATAAGTTAACAATAATATTATAAAGATAATTCTTCTATTCATTGATGTGTCTTAAATTCTTGTGTTGAGTACGATTGGTTGTCGATTTTGAATCTTAGTTGTTTATAAAGATCCTCTTTATGATTTCAAATCATTGTTTGATTAATTATTAAAGTCATAGGAAGAATAATTTATTTGTCTCCAATTAAAGTTGTTTTCTTTATTTTGTAAAATTTCTTTCATATGTTAAGATTTTTAGATTTATTATCGTGCTTCCTTCTCTTTTAATCTTCCTATCATTAAAATAAGTTATCTTTGGTAGATTAAAGATTATTTCCAAAAAAAAAATTGTGTAATAATTTAAAAGAGAAGCACAATAATTATTGTGAAAGTTAATACAACAATTTTTAAACTTTAGTTGTCTAAAGTATTGCCATATAATTCTTTATACGAAGATATTAATGTTTTACTCATATAAAAAACATTATATAAATTAATTCTTAAAGACATTAATGTTGAAATTTGATGATTGTCAATCTCAAATTTTTTGTGATAATAAAATAACTCTTTTATTGTCCTTTCTAAATTTATAATAAAGTAAGTATACCCTACAATTTGACTATCTTATCCTACTGTTCTATAATTAATATCTTCTAGTAATCCAGAGTTTTCAACCTCAATAAAGGAAGAGTATAATTTATTTAATTCTAAGAATGTAGATTCTGAGATATTTTTTAATTTGTAATCAGTTTAATTAAGAAGGTAAGTACTACAATCAACAACTTAAAGCTTTTTCATAAGAAGTATCCATTCGAGCGAAAATAATTGGAAAAACTGTCTATTAAAAATTAAAGGAGCATTGATATTTTTATTGCTTTGAACAATTTCATTTGTGCCATCTGAGATAATTATAAGACTTGCAATCATATAAATTAATTAAACAACTATAATTAATAAGTTAAGAGCCATAACAATTTTTAAAGGTTTTATAATTTTATCAGAATTAATAAAAAGATGACACTCTTTATTAGTATTAGATTTTGATGAATCTAAAGATGTCTTAGATCCTTCTGATTATTAATTTTCATCTATACTGGAATCTTATTATTTTTAAGAATAGACATTATGATCTAATAAATCATCATGATGATGAACTTATGCAAAAGATTAAATAAACTATTCAGATGATTGATCTAATCTTTTAGAGTCTTCTCGAAAAGAATCCATTTTGAATCGTGATGAAGTTCTTGGGATATATTTTTAATGTAATTTCATTACACTTACTTTTCTTCTTTTTGATAACAATTACTCCTTACTTCTAAAATCGATAATTTCCATAAGAAAAAAAGATTTATGTAAAGATTCTGGACCTATTACTTTATAAGTTAGAATAAATTTAACTGAATATGTAGCTTCACCAACTTCATTAACTTATTTCATAACATCTTCGATTTACTTTTAATAAGTTATAGTTAAAATTTATAATTCTTGTTTTTATGATATTTTTGGGACAGATTTATGAAATGAACTTTAACATTCAGATTAAAGTCCGCTAGTTTTAGATTTTTAAAAATGTTAGCTACCTCTACGCTCATATTATAAATATTTGTAATGAGAAGTTTAACTTAACATTTTTTGGTATTTATTTATAAAATCTGATATATTAAATCTTGTGATTAAAGTAGTTTAGTCCTCTATTTCAAGATTATGGTAACTTTTATTTGTTATTTTATGATTTCCAAAGATTTTTAAAATATCTGGAAAAAAGAAAAATATATAACATTGATTCAAAGTTTAGATTGCAGTAGAAGACTCTTAATCGATACCTTAAATCATCAAATGATAAATAGATTCAGTAGCACTTAAGATTTTACCACTTGAATCAAAAACTATGAATTCAGAACCTTCCTTTACTTTTGATATACATCCTGTAATAACATAATCATCTTCATAACTAAAATTATTATCTAGTTTCAATTATTTAGCTTAAAGTAAACCATCTTACTAAATAGTTGTGATGGAAATGAATTATCGAAATAATTAAGATTATGCACTTTCCAAATATAGTTCCAATAAATGATTATGAACATCAATTAAAAATGGAGGCAACAAATCATTTATATGTGATATTAAATGGTAATCATCACATTAAAAACCAAAATGTTTAGCTAATTGTTTTTTATTTGAATTTAAAATCTTTCCTTTATTTTTTACCATACTTATTGATAGTAAACATACTTTATCCTCTAAAAGTGTTGCATTACATATTGTATCAAGAGGAAGATTACTTTCATTAGCACATAAATTCACAATTTATTATTCATACACTATTGCTTGTTATATATTGTTTAAAATTAAAGCATATAATAAAGACATCAGTTTTAGGTGAATTACGTTTTTTTATTCGTATCTCTTTTAGTCTATATTTTGATGAAAATCCTAAAAAAATTAAACCATTACTTTTTATAAATTATTACCAAACTGACTCACTATTTATATAAGTTCTCCAATGTTCTCAACTCCCTTTATCTATAATAACCAAATCTTTATTTTTAAATCTAAAATTATGATATATTTTTTTAAATATTCCTCCTCTAGATGAAAACTTTAAATAATCTCCTTAATTTCTATTTATTAAGAATAAGTTTAATTTTATTTTACAATTGAATGAGATTATTTATCTTCTATTCTTTCTTTTAATTTAGTTGTTAACTAATTTCTGATAAATCTGTAATAAATTGAAAAGCGCTTTTTTCTAAATTCAAACTTTTTTACTTCTACATAAGCAATCAGGGGTTAATTCATAGAATCTGATAAAAAATTAACATATAGAAGCATTAAATTTTCAGATTCTTTTGATTTTTGATTTTTTCTAAATTTATTTTAAATTAGGCATTAAATTATTTTTGGTATTGAATATTGTTAATTTATTTCACAAGACTTACAATGAAAATGATGCATGCTAAAAATTAAAATTTTTTATATTATCAATTCGATTGAAGCCTTCTTTTAATCAATTTAATACATGAAATCATATAGCTCTTCAATAAAAGTAATTAATGGATAGTTGTAAGACTGATAAATTAAAATATCTTATTATTTTCTCTTATTAATAATGCTTACAACAACAAAAACTAAAGGCATTCCAAAAAAAATGTAATATGATTGCATTTTATTTTCTTTGTCAGGTGAAAAAACATAACAAATTAGCTATATGAATGTGGTAAATATTAAAAAACTTATAATAATTGTTAATTACCTATTAATGGAGGGTTAGAAAATTGTTTCAATATAAAATTCAATTAAACAAATAAAAAAAACTCCAAAACCTAAACATAGTTTGAGGATATTGGCAGCATATGAAGATTCAAATGAAATTATTATGATGCAAATTTTAAGCATAAATTTTAAAATAGTAAAATAAGTAAATTTAGGGATTATTTTAGTATCTGAAATGATATTTTAGGCTCTTAAAAAATAAACTTTAAAGAATGCAATTATTGATACTATTAAGATTAAAAGGATGCAAATAGGTGCAACATATTCAATTTTAAATGATTAGAAAGCAACCTTCTTATTATTGTAATTTAGTAATCCAATCAAAAGATATAATTCTGGAATAGCTGTAGTTTATTGGAAGAATAAAATTTCATAAAATATGAATAGTATTCCTAACTTATAAATTATTCTTGGAGTTGAATTTTCTATTATAAAAAATATGGTAAGAGTTAGCTATTTCATCAGTAATAGTATTAGAAACAAAAGAATTAAAGTAAAGTTATGAGCATAAGGTATAATGAGTATTGATTTAAAGATATTTGTAGTAAATAATAGAGAAGGTTCTTAAATTTGGTCATAAATTGGTTGAATAATAGCCTAAACTTAAAAGTATTCAACAACTAATATAAATGTTGTAAATTAATCGGAAATCCTAAATGGAAGGCTTTAATGTGATAATTTCTAAATTAAATTATTCATAATTAAATAATTGAACAAAATCATACAACAAAATTTGCTTTAAATTTATTGATTATTGTTTAATATATTAGCATGAAAAATAGAATATTAAATTTATATCTATTATAACTAATATATATATGTATTCATCATCTCCTTGTAAACTTAAATATTTATTGAGTTATGGATTGACATGGTCCACATATTCTAGATATTTGGAAACATAGTAAATGCATTTAGAATGATAAAAAATGTTAGAAGATATTGATTTACTTTAGTGAAATAAAATAATTTCGATTTTTATCAGGTTATATGAAAAAAAATACCCTATAATGTTAATTATAAATGATAAAAATATTATTATGGAAGATTGTGACAAAATGGGAATAATTATTGATATTTCACTTTTTATTTCGAATTAGTTGAAAAAAGAAGGCGATCAATGAATGTTTTAATTCATTTTTTGGATAATATTTCTAAAAGTGCTTTATTAAGTATTAGAAATATTGGAAAGATGTATGTTGATTATGAAAAATAAATTATTTTATTAAAAAATCCTCAGAATATTAATTATAATAACAAAGAAAAACTAATTTCAAAATGATATATAGATCAAAAGACTGAAAAAATTTCTGAAGGAAAAGTGAATTAATCGTGCTATAGAACTTGAATAAAGTTGTTAAAATTCACAATCAAAGGAAAGTAATCAATAAATATTTTTAAAAGGAAACAACTTTAGCAAAGTACTTAATATAGAAATATAATTAGAGACATTAATGTAAGCTTTCAAGAAGTTGGATTTTCCTAAAAAAATTTAACTTACTAGAGATAGATATTAACTCTAAGTAATAGAGTTTAATTAGTTAAGCAACAATTCTTAATATAAATAAATTTGAGTATATTAATTTAGGAAAATACAATATATCATTCTTATTCATTAGCATTTTTTATTAGCATTTCTGTAAATTCTTAAAAGTTAACAATACCATCACCATTTAAATCTAATTCATTAAAGACATTATTCCATTCAACTTCACTTAATTAAGCTCCTCCCATTATCTCTTATAATTCTTATTTACTAATTGATCCGTTTCCATCTTTATCAAATAATTTAAACGCTTTTTCTAATTTATTTTGTGCCATCAATTATTCTTTTTTTGCAAAGGCTACAATAAATTCAGTGTAATCAATTTAATTAGACCCATTAACATCAGCTTACTAAAATAAATTTTCAACAATTTCTTAACATTTAACTTCATCATTATATATTTCTCTATAACATTTAAGAAGTTCTTCTCTACTCAAAGTACCATCTTTGTTTACATCAATTTTTTTAAATTATGTTTAAATTTTCTTTTTTTCAGAATTAGACATAACTTAGGTTGTAATTAATTACATTATAGCTGCTTTCAGTTTACTTTAGCTCTTAGATAAAAAGTAGAAAAATTTACATGAAATTTAGCAAGTTTTTCTAAAGATTTTGAATTAATTTTTTTATCTTTTTGATTGATAAGCATCCAATCATGTTTTAAAGCTTCAGAGGCGGAAATTCGTTTTTCAGGATCAATAACTAACATTTACTTAATTAGATTTTTTGCATCTACAGAAATATCTTCCCATTCAGGTTCTTTTAAATTAATTAATAAATCTTTTTACCATCAAATGTAAATATGCCACTTTGAATTCTTTAATATAATTCTTATTAATTTTATCCATTAAAAGGAGGATAACCACATAACATAATGAATAGAATAACTCCACAAGACCAAACATCACATTTTTAATCATATCTTTTATTAATCACTTCTGGAGCTATATAATATGGCTTTTAATAATAATAATAAATATACAGTTCCTATTCTTTAAGATAATTTGCTTGAATCATCAATTTATTTAGCGGTTCCAAAGTCAATAATTTTTAAACTTGAATGTGCTTTCTTGGATTCAAATATAATATTTTCAGGTTTTAGATCTCTATTTTAATGAATATTTTAAATATACCTGTGTACAATATTACGAATATGACAATAGTTAACTGCTTCTAAGATTTTTCTCATATATCCTGCAGCAATATTTTCATTGAAATGATCTATCTAATTGATTTTCTCGAATAATTCTCCTCCACTCAAATATCTTTAGATCTATTGAAATGATATTGCTACTCTGTTATAACATAATAAAAAGATTCATCTTCGTACAATTCATATATATTTACAATATTTGGATGATCCAAATCTTTCAATATCGATACTTCCTATATCATATTATCTTTTTATTCAATTATTATTTTATCCTTTCGAATCTATTTCATTGCTCTTTAAAGTCCTGTTCCTTTTTATGTCACTAAACTCACCTTACCATAAGTTCCTTTTTAAATAAACCGATTTTCTTACCTTCTCCTAAAACCTAATCAATTTTGTAAGAATTCAATAGATCTCCTTTCTTTAATGTAACAAATATAGATGGATCAACTTTGAAATCTGTTATTTACTTTACGAATCTTGATTACTTTGATGAACCTGTGTTCTCATTATTTGAAACAGTTCTTGTCTAATCTTTATTTTCAAGAGTTAGTTTAGAGATTTTCTTATTCCCTTATCCTCCACATATTCCCATTAAGAATACTCTATATTTAATTAAAATATAATTATATTATATTTACCTAAACTATTATTTTTCTATTCATTTCATCTCTATCAGGAAAGGAATTAATTATTGAAGTTTAACATTTTAATTATTTAGATACTTTAATTGCCGTTTCTATTATAATAATTATACATTATCAATGATCACAATAATATTGATATGTTCAAGAATAATATTAAAAACAATTTCGCACTTTATATATTATTATATGGTTGCTCGCAAAAATTATATCAAACCCATTAAAATAAACTAATAAAGCAATGAATCATAGAATAAACTTTCATTTTTCAGTTAAGGAAATGCCAATTGTAAAAGATTTAATTTAAAATGATAATATATAAAAAAATTAAAAGCTCTATTTTATTGAAAATTCATAATTTCATAATTTATATATTGAATTAAATATTTTTAAAATGAAAGATATTTTCAACGATTAAAAAAGAATAAGTTTTCAATCTCTCCCTAACATCTTATATTTTTGAATATAGAGGTTACTTTTAAGTGCTTTTTTAAAGATATAACTTATAAATATTTATGATAAAATTCCTTATAAAATATTTATTTTAACTAGTTTTTATAAATAATCTTAAATTAATTAGGGAAATAAATTTGTAAAATTTTAGAATCATTTCTTGACCTTCTTTCGTACATTTTTTTTTTTTTTATCTTCTTCACTACTATCTTCTAATTCATCAAAGCTTGCTTCACTTTCACTTTCATTCTCTGAACTTTAAAGCTAATATTACATACATAATAATTACAATCATATCCTCGCTTGTGTCTGCCATTGAATCATCAATATCCATTTCATTATCTAAGTTCAACAATTAAGGTAAAAGTTTAAAAATAGTTTATTTATAATCTTATTACCTTTTAACAGGATTAAATGATAAATTTAAGTCCTATAAATTTTTCAAATGCTTAAGATGTACTAAATCCTAAATTTAATTTTATTCATACTGATAAATTTTCTATTTAATTATGCTTTAGATTTAGAGAATATAAATCAGGAAAGTTTTAAGCTATAAATTATAAACAATCTCCTTTCAAACTGTTGTAATCTATTCTTAAATGTTTAACTTATTCAAAATCAAAATTCAATCCTTCTAAAGATGTAAGATTGCATTATATAAAATTTACTGTTGCTTAGAAATATTTAAAAATGTTACATTCTTTTTTGTATTTTTAGAGAAACTGATTAATTTCTGGTGTGAATTTATATATTGGTATTTTAATAAAGCTCATTCCAATGAATCTGATATTATTTTTTGAACCTTTTTGTTTTTGTGCTGTCATCAATTTTACTATTTAAGTTGAATCAAGTTTAATCCTTTCTTATTACTTGGATTTATTTTTTCTTTTTTAGATCTATTTCATTATTTTATTAATTAATTAATTATAATTAAATACTATCAATTATAAAACGAGGATTTCTTTACATGTTATTTAGAGGGTTAACGATAGAATGATTGACTTCGAGGTTTGTCTAATAACTGAAGTACTTCTCTCATAAATATTTTATTTTATTAATTATATTCTTCTTAAGTTTATTCAATTTTTTTGAACAAATGTACTAATGGTTTTTCTTTTTCAAGCTTATATTTGAAATCTTTGAGTTCATAATGTAATCTTTCAGTTTTAATTTTTTCATCCTCAATCTCAGTTTTTAAATTTTTAATATTAACTTAAGTGTTTTGAGAAAGCATTGAACGATATGAACTAATTTCATTCTGTTGTTTCATTATCTTTTTATATATAATTATTAAATACAATTTATTATTTTTCGAAAAGCATACTCTTCTATTATTCAAGTGTTTTTTCCATAAATTCAATTGTTGACATTAATTTTGCATTTAATTTTTTTAAAGAATCAATTTTTTCTTAGTACATTTTTTCTATATCCTAAATTTCCTTAATTATTGAACTATTCTGGTATTGAATTGGATCTTAATTCTCTTTAATGTTTAAAATAATCTCAGATGATTTCATAACAGACGACATCTTAGAAGGTCTATCAGTATTGAGATCATAATGAGAAAATGGTTTCTTATGAAATCGTTATTGTTAATTAAAATTCATTTTAATATTAATTAATTTTATGAGTTAATTTATAACAAATAATTATTTCTAACACTTCCTTAAAAATGATTCTAATCGAAGGGTTAAAACACTCAATTCTATCAGTGATTCATGCTAATCTAAAATTAAGAAAGTTATAATTCCTAAAAATATAAGTATTGACAAAGAGACCTTGTATGAATAATTGTATTTAGAAAAGCTCAGATCTAAAAAATTATCAGTTGATAATCAATCATTAATAGGAGCACTATCGAAGATTGAAAATAATTTCAATTAAATGGATTAAAATGATTAAAAAAAGATGCTCTCATAAAGTTTTCTAAAAATAAAATAACAAGATTTAGAAATTTAAACACTTAAAGAAAGCCTCTAATACAAAATATAGGTAGAACTGAAAAAATAGATCCAAGAATTATAAACTGAATTACTCAAATACTAAATTTCTTCTAAGTTTGAAGGAGATTAGTGTTAGTTAATCGAAGACAATGTTAATTTATTGAATTAAATTGAATCTTAAAAATAATATATTATTGATTTAGAAAAGACTCGCTCTGAATACATTCTCATAAGATCAAAATTTAATTAATTATAGTAAATTTTAAAACTTAAGGAATAATAAATATAAAAATTCAGAGATAGAGATCCACTTTCAGAAATGAACCTTTTGAGAAATCCTACTTAAAAAGAAAAGTTATTGATGGATGAACTTACCATGAAAAAAGATGAAATTCAGCTTCTTAATTATAAGTTGAATTAGAGTCAATCTATAATTTAGGAAACATAAAATACTTTGACTTAATTAGATCAAGAATCAAAACATAAGATATAGTATTTAGAAACCGAAAAAAAAATTTTAATTGAAAGGTTGGAAAAAATTCAATAAGATTACTATGCTCTATTGGAAAAGCAAAAATAAATTGATAAGTAAAAATTGATTACATTTTTTTAGATATCTATCTTAATTTTAGAAAAAAAAAATATAAACTTCACCTTTTATTTTTGAAGATTCCCTTTTTCAATCTGCAACCTAACTCCCATTATCTCCTACAGTATCTCCTAATGACTAATTAATTGTGAAATAAGTAAGGAAATAATAAATAGAATAAGTTGTTCTTGAACTTAAATTAACTTTAAGAAAAAAAAAAGTGACTATATAAGAAGCTGAAAATGTATTATATTCATAATTTATATAGGTCTTATTTTCTGATGAGAATGAAATATCTGTGAATGAAATTGAAAAAAAGTTAAAGGATAATCCATTTTCCATCAAAAGCAGTACTTTATTAGCTAGATATCTAATTGAGGATTATTCTGAGAAGTAATTATTATTTTAATATTATTTAGAGAATTCGTATATGATCCTGATTTAAAAGCTCCTTAAGCACATGTAAGAAGCGTTTTTAAAAATTTGCTTTAAAATTACAAATTAATTTTCGAAGATTAAGTGATAGAGACAGTGAAAATTTTAATAAAACAATATTTATTGGAATTTTGTTAAAAGAAATCGTTATCAATAATAAAATTGGAGAACATAATTGATTGTTTTCAGTTCTCTGAAATATAATGGAATGGAAAACATTCTGATTATCTTTAACAAGAATATTATAATAAGTATAATATATTCTAAGAATTTGAAATAAGTAAATTATTAAAGTTGTTTGATGAAGAATGAATAAAAGTAGTAAAAATTATGAAATAATATAAATTAATATATAATATATTTTGTTAAAGTTATAAAGGAATAAAATATAAGAAGCCAATAATTCAGCACATATTAAAATCAAAATGATAGAGTTTGAATTAAAATAACAATGAGATTAGTCAAAATAAAGAAAACTATTATAAGTAAAATGTATATTAATACATTTGATTGATCTTGCAAACATTAACTATGATTCCTTTCATATGTTAAAATCCTCTTTCATGTGCTCTTGTATAATCAATTTTATCAAAACCATCTAAATGATCGAAGATTTAATAAATTTCTATAAGACTTGTTTTTCATTTAGAATAGCAAAGCCATTATAGAACAAGATCAGTAATTTATATGAATATGAATATGAGTATGAGTACTAATTAAGACAATAGCTCCCAATAGTGTTATAATTATTATAAAAAAATAATTAAAATATGAAAGCCAAGAATCAATAGGATGAAGGAGTTCTTGAGGAAGACCTTGCAAAAACAAAATCTTAATTAGTATACAGGGATGTAATTAATTAGGATTACTTTCCAAAATGGCAAGAATTGAAACTGCTAGGAAAGAACAATCTCGAAGATCTTATCCTTCTTGTGTAATATGGGATAATTAGTAACAAGAGGAAATATAATAAGTATTTATGTATATGGTGGATATGAAACTAATGAAGGAATTTTGGATGATTAGATGAGAATTCCATTTCCTAATTCAGAGAAACCTTTGGTGTGGACATAAGTTTACAAGAAGAATTCAAAAGATTTAAAAGGACCTAGTCCATTAAGAAATCATACTGCAGTTACTTATTAAAATAAAATGTACATATTTGGAGGAAAGAAAAACTTAATATAACCTTATTGTAAATTATGGATATTTGATTTCTAATCAGAAAGAATGGAATGAAGGAGAAGATTGCAAAATAAATAATAGTACTATATGTGTAGAAGGGCATACTAGTTGTACAAGGAGATCTAACTAAGCTCTAAACTGATATTAGATAGCATCAATGATTGTATTTGGTGGCTTTTAAGTAATGCCATTATTTCTAGATCTGAATTTGAGAAGAAGAAAAAAAAATTTAAAAGTTCATCTCCTACAACTGAATAAATAAAAAACTCTATCAATTTAATAACTAATTAAGATAAAGGTGGATAAAGAAAAATTTCTTCTCCAGTTGGAAGAAAGCAATAATAAGCATAGCTAATAGGCAAATAGCCATGTGCAAGAGATGGTCATTCAGTAATAATTGCTGGAGAATGTATGATTGTATTTGGAGGAGATCGTAATTTAATGTCATTTAATGACTTATATATGTATTAGTTCAGCATGGTTAATAAGCCAACCAAATGAAAATTCAATAATTATATAAATTTATATATTAATCATATTATTAGAATTATATCTTTTTTAGACAGAAAGTTTCAGATCAATTTTATATCTTGAATTTAAATATTAATAAAAGAAATTATACCAATAAGATAATTTAAATAATTTAAAAGTCAATGGATATTCAAAACGATTAAAATTAGGGAAGTTCTAGTTAAACCATAGAAACAAAAACTTAAGAACCATAAATGTAGATAGAAAATACAGATTAGTAATTATAAAATTTATTTTTAGGTTTTAATATGTTCCATAACAAATGTCTTAGTAAATTTAAGGAGGGGTTAATAAAGTAAAGATCTCAAAAAATGCTAACATTATGAAAGCAGATTCTTTAACAAATGCTCAAAGAGCAGAAATGAAAGATTAAACTAGAGCATAATTATAAAGTGCTAATAAAAAGTAAGTCCCTGCTTAACAATAAATTCCTATTTAATAATAATAGCCATTCTAATAATAACAATAATAGTAATTTGTGTAACAAATGCCAGTTAATAATTTTTAACAACCATAGAATATAAATAATGTCAATAGATAACAAGTTCTATAATAGTAGCCTCAGTAGTAACAATAAAATTAAGGGTTTCTTGGAAGTGTAAAGAATTATTGGAATAACTTATTTGGAAGTGATCCAGAAAACTAATTTAAGTATGAACATACAAACAATTATAATGATGATGATGATTTATTATAACAATATCAAAAATAAGGTGGATTACAATTGAATATTGAAGAAATGATTGAATTGAGAGTTTCAGCATAATATGATTATTGTAAATTAAAAAAATCAGAGTCTCAAACTTTACCAGCAATGGTGAGTATTATCACAAAAGATATTGAATAATATGCTAAAAATAACTCATCCATTGAGGCAGGTATTGATTTATTATGTGTTATTGATAAAAGTGGAAGTATGAGCGGAGAAAAAATTAGAAGTGTTTAATAATCTTTAGTTTAATTATTAGATTTTTTAAGTGAAAAAGATAGATTATGTCTCATAGTATTTGATGGAGGTGCCTAAAGACTAACTCCTTTAAAGACTTTAACTAAAGGAAACAAAAAATATTTTACAAGGGCCATTGCTGCCATTTAAGCTGGAGGATCAACAAATATTGCAGCAGGAACTGATATTGCTTTTAAGTAAATTAAATAAAGAAGAATGAAAAATTAAGNATATAAATTTATATATTAATCATATTATTAGAATTATATCTTTTTTAGACAGAAAGTTTCAGATCAATTTTATATCTTGAATTTAAATATTAATAAAAGAAATTATACCAATAAGATAATTTAAATAATTTAAAAGTCAATGGATATTCAAAACGATTAAAATTAGGGAAGTTCTAGTTAAACCATAGAAACAAAAACTTAAGAACCATAAATGTAGATAGAAAATACAGATTAGTAATTATAAAATTTATTTTTAGGTTTTAATATGTTCCATAACAAATGTCTTAGTAAATTTAAGGAGGGGTTAATAAAGTAAAGATCTCAAAAAATGCTAACATTATGAAAGCAGATTCTTTAACAAATGCTCAAAGAGCAGAAATGAAAGATTAAACTAGAGCATAATTATAAAGTGCTAATAAAAAGTAAGTCCCTGCTTAACAATAAATTCCTATTTAATAATAATAGCCATTCTAATAATAACAATAATAGTAATTTGTGTAACAAATGCCAGTTAATAATTTTTAACAACCATAGAATATAAATAATGTCAATAGATAACAAGTTCTATAATAGTAGCCTCAGTAGTAACAATAAAATTAAGGGTTTCTTGGAAGTGTAAAGAATTATTGGAATAACTTATTTGGAAGTGATCCAGAAAACTAATTTAAGTATGAACATACAAACAATTATAATGATGATGATGATTTATTATAACAATATCAAAAATAAGGTGGATTACAATTGAATATTGAAGAAATGATTGAATTGAGAGTTTCAGCATAATATGATTATTGTAAATTAAAAAAATCAGAGTCTCAAACTTTACCAGCAATGGTGAGTATTATCACAAAAGATATTGAATAATATGCTAAAAATAACTCATCCATTGAGGCAGGTATTGATTTATTATGTGTTATTGATAAAAGTGGAAGTATGAGCGGAGAAAAAATTAGAAGTGTTTAATAATCTTTAGTTTAATTATTAGATTTTTTAAGTGAAAAAGATAGATTATGTCTCATAGTATTTGATGGAGGTGCCTAAAGACTAACTCCTTTAAAGACTTTAACTAAAGGAAACAAAAAATATTTTACAAGGGCCATTGCTGCCATTTAAGCTGGAGGATCAACAAATATTGCAGCAGGAACTGATATTGCTTTTAAGTAAATTAAATAAAGAAGAATGAAAAATTAAGTCACATCAATATTTTTGTTATCGGATGGTTAAGATACTGGAGCAGCTGAAAGAATCAAAAAATAGAAAGATTTAATTGATGATGTTGTAACAATTCATTCATTTGGATATGGAGGTGATCATGATGCTGCTTTGATGTCAAGTATTTGCAAAGTTGGACAGGGTAGTTTTTATTATATAGAAAATGTTAAATTGCTTGATGAATTCTTTGCAGATGCACTAGGTAGATTATCTTCAGCATTAGCTGAGAAGATTTAAATTGATATTAAATGTGCTCCATAAAACCCTTTCAATGATGTTAAAATATAAAAAACATATGGTGATATGTGGAAACCTATTGATAAAGAAAGATTTTACTAAATTCAAGTTCCTTAAATTGCTTCAGATTCTAGGAAAGATTATGTTTTCGAAATAACACTCCCTCCTTTTACTTAATAAATTTTAGATGAATAAAGAGTGCCTTAAGTTATTCATGTTTATTTATAATTCAATAACACATTCTCTAAACAAAATTACTAAAAGGTAGCAGTCTTATCACTTAAATTATATAATGAAGATGAATAAATTGGAGAAAATGAACCTAATCAAGATGTCACCAGAGAATTCTTGAGAGTTTCTGCTACAGAAGCGATTGAATAAGCTAGAATGAAATGTGAATAATAAAAAAATGAGGAAGCAGAAGCTATGTTAGAAAAAATGAAATAAAATATTCTAACTGATTAAAAATTGGCAAAGGTTTCTGCCTAAGCTATTTTAGATATCGATTAAGCTAAAAATGCAAGCAAAAGAAAAAACTATTCCAATTTTGGAATGAAATAAATGTATCAAATGTCTGTGAATAATTATCAATAAGAAGGATTGAATGCTTAATTTGATTTTTCAGGTTAATAGATGCAATAAGTTGATCAAGGTATGTTTTAAAATAGAAAACAACTTAAGATGGTGTAATAAGTTTAGTAAAAAAAATCTTGAAAATTATTTATATTATTTTAATAATTTAAAATTTTAATAAATCATCCTCATTATGTTTAAACACTTTTTAGCTTAGTTAATAAAACTGATAATTTTTTGTGCAAGTTTTACCAATCATCTTTGTTTAATAATTTTTTGAAGTTATCTCTAACATAGCATATTTTATTACAAAATGAAAATTCTTTATTAAGATTAATCAATTTATGCTGAAACATTTTAAGATTGAATTGCATGAATTACCCAAATCTCTACTTTTTCCAATTAGATCTAGAATTAAAAAATTATAATTGATACATTTAAAGCTTCAGCTATTTCTTAATAAGTATAACTTTATTTTTAGGTTGATAATTAAATAAATTTTGCAATTCTAGTTTGGTTCAAGTATTATTAAGTATTCAGATCTAAAATTATGTAAAATATAATACTTATCGATTTGAAATATGCATCTTCTTTTTCTAATAAAGCTTAGACTGCAGCCAAATCGCCAGCAAGAACTAATTTAATAAGTGAAGCAACTTAAGTTTTTTCAATGACTTGATAATTTGAGCATTATGTGATTTCGCATAATTTCAAGAATGATTGCTTAAAGTATTAGAATAAGAAAGTACATTAATATTTTAAAAGTTGATAAATGTTTTAATGTATTATTCTTAAGGAATGTTGATGTTTCTCAAAATATATTCTGATATTTGTATAACATATTGTTAACTAAAAGTGTTTATAAATGTAATACTCTTAAGGATCGATTAAATCTGAGATTGCATTTAATATTTTCAAGATTTCAGGGCCTGTGAGAGTCCATAAATTCAAGAATTCTTTAATATTAGAAATGATTGGAGAAATAATTAATTGTTAGGTATTCCATCGCTTAGTGCATTCAAGTAATTTCAAGAAGAGATTCTAGGATAGTTATGATGAACTCAAAGTATTAAATAGCTAAGCGACGCTTTTGAATAGTGATTCAGAGATACATTTTAGTTTTAAAAATGGCTTCTTCATTAATTTGTTCTATGTGTTTAAAGAAGATATCAACAGTGATTTACTATTCCTTTGGTTCAAGCTTAGTCATCCAATATTAAATAGCAGAATAGATAGGTTGTAATACTAAATATAATTTGCTAAAAATACAGGTTTTATCAGATGATAAATTGATTATTTCTAGAGTTGATAAAATTAATTCTTTGTATTTTTATTACTCTAGCAATTCATCAAAAACAGTACCAAAATCAGAAATTTTATTATGATGACTTGATATTAAAATAACATTTGTACTTAGATGAACAATGTTTTTATAATAATTCCATAGTTTTTTGGCTACTCAATCCCTAGCCTAGATATTGAAAATGTAAGGACATGCAAATAAACAATTAATAAATTAATTTTACCACATATTATTACTAAATTCAATTATTTAATTATATAATAATAAAAGTTATATCATCTCTGGCTGGACTATTGTTTTTCCAAGAGTTAATGGCTTCCATCATCAATTTCTCTCCTGCTTAATCGAGTTCATCCTTTTCATAATAAGGAATAATGATATTCATAACCTAATAAATAAAATAAATTAATTCTTTACATCATCATTTGATAAATATTCCCAGACTCCATCTGAAGCTATTACTAGAAATTTATCATTTGTTGATAAAGTGAATTAAAATACTTCAGGAATACTACTAACACCTGCTTCTGCACCAATTTTATCTCCCATACTTCTAGTCATTGCTAATCCTGGAGCATCTATATATGAAAGCCAAACTCTTTCAGGACCAACATTATTTCCAAAAAAATCTATTATATTTTAATCTTTTATATCAAACCTCTTTAACATTGTATTCTACCACCAGCTTAAATTATTATTTATTTCTCAGCTTCATCTGATGGTTTATGATCTCTACTAATTGGAATAGATTTCCATCCATTATTATTTCTACATAATATTGCTCTTGAATCTCCAACATTAGCTGTCCATAACTAATTTTATTATATTAAAGCAAGAACTGTTGTAGAACCAGAAAGTGCTGTATCAAACTAGCTTTAAAGAATTTCTGAATTTGTTAATTCAAAAGCATTTTTAAAACATTCTTCCATATCTGGATTTTATGATTATAGTTGAAACTCCAAATAAACTATTTTCATTCATTTCATTTACTTGGCATTCTTTTTTTGATAATGTCTGAAACTAAATGTCCATTTACTCCATGACCATCACATATTCCAACTAATCCATAATTTTAACTTTTCTAAATTACTGCTCATATATACCTGTCAATATTTTATGGAAAAATTATTGCTGAATCTTAATTTGTTTTAGTTTATTTATTGGTTTAACAACCAGCTTTTGTTTTATATACATATTTCATTCCTTGCCATTATTTTCCTCCTCCTTTCTTTTTACTTTAAGTACTCTTCTTTTCAGGACTTTCTGATATCCTTTATTCAGGTGTAAAGGAAGTCTTTTTTTGTTTCTGGATTAATTTCTATTCTTCGTCTTTTGGTGTTTAATTGAATTGAATTTCATATTTAGATTTTGATATTTCACTACGTCTTTCAAGTTTAGGCAATCTATTAGGAATCTTAATTCCATTCCCTTAATTTATAATTGAAATAGGTTATGCAACTAATTTAATTCAATCCATACTATTTTCTAATGAATTAAATTCTGTCTTTCTAAAATTTGTTAATGAAGGCAATGAAATCTTATGATTTCTAGAATCACTCTCATCTGCTGTTGCTTTATATCGTTTTTATAGAAGAGGCTTTTAGGTTCTTATCTATTTTAGTTTATTTACCTATGTAATTCCATTTAATTTTCTCCTTATGGGTGTCTTGGGGGTTTTAACGAATTAAAATCTAAAATAAGAATAATCAATCAAATAGGTTCAATTATAAAGTAGTATGAATAAATTGTTTAGTAGGATATAAGTACCTATTTGTGAAGTTTATCTGGTTTTAAAATCAAATTAATGCTATTAGCTTTATGTTAACATAAATTATATAATAATTATAAATATGAGAGTTTCAGGGAGTGTAGGTCAAAAATTAAGGAGAGTGAATATAGATTATTCATAATTCGAAATGATAGAGAATTCTCTCGAATATTACTTAAAACCTTTGAAACCAAAATTAAATTATTGCAAACTTTTACCAAAACAACAATCTCCTAAAAGAGAAATAACTCATACTATTTCTTGCAGAATCAAACCCTAAATAATTACTTAATAATTAACTGAGCCAATTAATTAAAAAAGCTTATAAACTCTGCCACTTAGATAACCTATTTCTCAAAATGTTAATCGTTCTTATATTCTAAGACACAAGAAACCAAGTATTTAAGAACGATATAAATAGATGATGGTAAATTTAATTTGAAAAATAGGAATATAATGTTGAAGAGCAATTCATAGAATTGAGAAGATTAATGACTAGACAGAAAAAATCCTCCAGTCTTGGAAAAAGAGTTAAATTTTTATAATGATTCTTTTATTTATTTAATATTATTAATGTCTCTCATCGATCAATTTTGTTAAAATATACTAGAATTTAAAGGCACAATGGTAGAAGCATAAGATTTAGTCAAAACATTTTTAGCAGACATAATGATTAACATATTTGGAGTAGAATAGAGACTCTAACAATAAGTGTTTAGAAATTGTAATAAGAATTGGAAAGTTGTGGAATAAAACTTAATTGATTATTTTCAAAGTAAGAAATCTTTGTTTTATTAAAGATTCTTCAATTCCTATTTAAAGTCTTTTTAACGAAAACAAATATAAAAATGAAGGCTTTATCAGCAGCGATGATGAGGAAACCATTAAGCATAGTAAAAGAGCACTAATTAAGAGAACTAAATCTATATTTAAAGAGGCTCCAAAAAATGATAATTTCAAAGATGAGTAAATTCGAATAAGAGATTAGGTAATTCAAGATATGACTATTGGGTATTATAAGGATATTTAGCACCTTAAAGAAATGTTCTTAAGAAAAGAAAGATAACAAGATGATGACATTTTCGATGCCTCATACTATGATATTACTAAATCTTTTCCCCCTGAAGTACAATTTTACATCTAATAAAAATTAAAAGAAATGTCATAATAAGCTAAATAATAGTAAACTAAATTATAGAATTAAGTCAATTAGTAACAGATTGAAATTGATAAACTCAAAAAAACTATTAATCAATTAGTTTCATAGGCTGATATTATTTAATAAATTAAAACAATTTTAATATTGGATAGAGATTTGAATCGGTTTTGGAGGGGAGTTTAAGATGTGATAGGTAATTAATAAATATTTGAAATCTTTGAAAAAAGACAAGCTGGATATGGAATCGATTACAAGTAAATAGATGAATTGATTCACCAATCTTAAGCATAATTTAGATTGTTTTAAGACTATAAATAAAAGATTGATGGTAATGAAGGTTTTTTATTAAAATAGACTAATATCTTTTATTTACAGCTTAAGTTGACAAAGAATTATAATCCTTAAGAAATCAAGTAAAGTTATTAACTGATAAATAAAATGGATAAGAATTAGATAAAGAAAAAGATTTTGTTTAAATAAGATAAGCATTAAAATCTGGAATTGATGATATTTATGAAATGAAAGTAGCAGATAGTATTTTTTCTATTTAAAATCTTAGTTAAAGCCAATTTTGTTTAAAAATTAGAATATTACTCTGAAACCATAATGCAAAAAGATATTTTATCTTAAGTTAGAAGATGTATCAAAAGTCATGCTCTTTATAAATGGATGTATTTAGCAAAATGCGAAAAATTGTAAAAGCATAAAATTCTTCGAAAATCTTAATCTGGATCCATTAATTTTTTTGATGTTTCTTCTAATCCAAGAGGATTACTAGATTAAAGAACTGAGAATATCAAAAAAAAATTAAAACTTTTAGAGTATAATCTATCTGAAGAATAATTATAATCTTAACAATTGAATATTGAACTAAACTAAATGAAAAATAAATACTAATCTATTTTAATAAATTATGAAATGTAGCTTCATAAATATCTTTATTTGGAATAACGTTCACTATATTTAGAAAATTAAAATAAATATTTTGAAAAAATATTCTCTCTATTAATGAGAAGGTTGGGATATCCTCAATTCGAAGTAAATGAAAGGAATATTAATATTTTATTAGAAAAAGCTGATTCTCAATTAAAATAGTTTTTTACAAAAATTAATTAAATTTAAAATAAAGACATAGAAGATATAAATGAATTAACAACCTAACTTATTAAAAAAACAATTATTAGAAATAAACTTCATTAATATTAAAAATCTACATCATTTTGTTAAACTGATATATTTGATGTTTCTATAAAGATTGAAGAATGTGTAAAATTAATTGAATAAAATTAATTACAATTACTATAAATCTAGGAGTAATAACGTATTCAAGCAGAATTAGAATATTAAAAAGAATAAGAATATTAATAATTAAATAATGATGAAATACCAAATATATTACTATCTGATAATGAAGAAGAGCCAAAAGATTAAATGCTTGTTTATAAAATAAGTTAAGAAAGATCAACAGAAATAGATACTAATAACATGAATTAATCTGATTTTGATACTAAATTAATAAATCCTCCAAAGACTGCTGATAATAAATATAAATGTTAGAAATAATTCACTTTTTTTTAAAAAAAAAAAAACTTATGTATGTCAACAAAGAATAAAGAAATATAGACTGAGATTTAAGTAGATTGCAGAATGAATTTAGTAAATAAAATATTTATAAATGAGTAAAATTTTGATTTATCTTTAGTTTAGATGAATTTAAAAAGAATGTTAAAGAAAAACCAATAATTAAAGAAATGAAAAAAGCACCTTAATAATCAAGACCTGATTTATAGAATACATTTGCATCATTAGTCTCCTAATAGAATGTATATAAAAATAGAAAACAAAATAATAATCTATTTTTACAGTCGATAAATCATAAGCCAATTCAGATAAATTGTTAGTAGAAATTAAAAACGGATTCATCAGGTCTTGAAATTGATTAGAATATAACTTTTACCAATGATAGAATAAAAGTTGTATATACGCCTAATAAAAAGAAAGTAAGAAGTGTTAGTAAAAATGTTTGATTAAATATTACTTTATTTATGTATAGAATTGCTTTAATATTAAAGTGTTTGCTTTGGTTTCTAGGAAAATGGGATGTAGATTTAACTTGGCTACCCTACTTCTCCAATCCATATACATAATATAATAATATTAAAGAAGCAAAATATTTGATTGCTAATAACTACAATCCATATAGTTCAGATGGAATATTTTAGAAACCTTTACTTATTTATGGATTAATTATTATTGACAATGACTTAGTATTTTTGATAGCTGATATTTTAATATGCTTTTTAGTGGCATACTTATTTGGAGCAAAGCAAGGATATAGAAAGTCTATTTTGTTATTTTATCATTTAAATCCAATTATTGTAAATATGCATGATATTATAGTTTGCAAACATTATCCTAAAGAATACAAATGTATTCGATCACTTATTTATGTTACTGACCATATTTTCAGCACTTAAAACTAAATTTTTATCACCAATATTATTTGGATTTTTATTATATTTAAATCCATAATATTTTATAATATTTGCTGCAATTTCTGTAATCTTCAGAAGAGAAACCGAAACAACATAAAAGTTTGCTCTTAAATTAGTAGGATTTTTATTATTAAGTGCTTTAACAATTTGGTGTTTATTATATATTTCATATTAAATAACTGGAGATTGGTAATTTATTGAAAAAACTTATATCGATTACTATTTTCCTAAAGATCATAGACCTACAATTGGATTTTTATGGGCATTATTTTCAGGGGTAAATTTAAAATTTTTATTTAAAGTTGTTTTCTAAATATAAGTCATTATATCATGCTTTTTTTATTTTGTTACCTATTTGTTATATTCTACCTTTATATAATTTATTTGTGAAGTATGCAAAAAGAGAGAAAGAGTATCTTGGATTTATGATTGGAGTTTCTTTATTTGTAATAATGAATAATAAATATCATAGTGTAGTTTTTTGTACTTCTAATATGTTTCAATATCAGATTTGGTTATAATATTTATACTTTTATTCTAAAGATATGATTGGTTATTTAATTCTTTACCAACTATAGTAATAGTTCATGCTGGATGTTTAATATTATTTTTAGGAGGTGGGTTATAATTAATTTGGACTGATTCTTTTACAGGAAATCCAAATTTTACATTTTTTTAAGTTTTTGTGTCATATGTGTTTTATGTGATTTTAGTTTCTGAAGGAGTAAGAGAAATGTTAAAATTCAGAACAATATAAAAAACAGAAGAGAAAGAAAAAATTAAAGATAAAGGAGAAGAAGAAAAAAAACTTAAAGATGAGAAAAAGGAAAGGAAAGTAATTGACGATAAATTAAAAGAAGATTGAAAAAAAGATAAGTTTGATCATTATTGTTTTATTAATTTATAACATTCAAGACTACAGGCTTTTTATTGCATTTTCGGAATACGATATTTTGCTATATTAGAGCAGTTCGAACAATATTTATCATCCTCTATTATCATTTTTGATGGATTAGGATATTATGAATTTATATTTTTTGGCATAAAGATAAATGTACCATCTCTATTTGATTTATATTTGATTTTAATATCATCAGGAGGTAGAGATCTATATTTATGAGTATCTTCTGTTTTTTTGTCTTCTTATTATTATCTTTATTTTTATTTTCTACCAATTTCATTTAAGATCTTATCAACTGTCATTTATTTTTGTTCTTCTTATTATTTTTATATTTTTTCTTTTCTTTATAATTCTTTAAGACTTTTGGAGATCATTTCTTCTTCTGTAAAAGCTAAATCTTTTTTGGATTTATTTTTTTTAGTAGGTAGTTATAAGAATTCATTTTCATCTAGATTTCCCATACTATACATATGCATTTATCGTTTAGTATATTTCTTATCTTTGGAAGAGACAGATAAATTGATATCATTTTCAAGATCCATTTCTTCTTCAAAATCATCATCAGGTACATCATCTTCACCATTAGAAATATCATCATCAATTGATTCTTCAATAATTGGAGATTTTTATTTTGGAGGTCTACCAGGACCTCTTTTTTCAATAACCATTGATACTTTTAGTTTAATTTTATTGCTTTCAAATAAATTTCTATATTTATCAATCATTTCTAAGGAAGGTCTTTCAGCTTCCAATTCATTTAAGATATCATTATTAAGAACAATTTATACCTTAAATTCTTTTGGGAAGTTGATTTTCATAAATATTATTATATTAAATTAATCAAATTTCAACATATATGAGTAAAATTGTGATATCATCTCTAGCCGAATCCATTTAATCCCATTTAGTGTATGTTTCACCTAATATTCTTTAGATTGCAGATTCTACATTTATTTGGTTTAATGGAGGATAGTATATCTATAGTATTTTTTAAATACTTTCATAATCCATTTTATCCCATAAACCATCACTGCCAATCAAAATAAATCCATTATATGGTATTTTATATCTTAGTATCTCTGGTTCAGCTATTACTCCAACTTATTTAGCTACTAAATCTCCAATAGATCTTGACATAGCTAATCCTGGTATTTCATCATGAGATAACCATACTCTATATGCACCCTATCTTTTACCATCAAATATACATTATTCTACCCTACCTCCTTAACCTATAATTCTCTTATGTTCAATTAATTTATTTGGTTTATGATCGAATGATAAAGCTCTATTAAACCATGTATCTTCTAATTTATAAAAGAATACTGCTCTAGAATCACCTACATTAGCACAATATATTTTAGATCCCATCAATAATGTTATAATTGCTGTTGATCCACTATAATTACAAGCTATATTTGAATTATCTACCTAAATTAAATTATACTATTACTAAATCATTTTCTATATGTTTATAAGTATTAATTAATATTTATTTTATATCAATAATGTTGCTGTTCTTATTTTCAATTAATTTATATTCTAAAACTTTAGGTATCAATCTTGATATTAATTAAGATATTGTATGTCCATTCTATCCATGACCATCAAATACTCCAAATAAATGCCAATCAATTTAATTACATAAATATTTCTTTACTAACAGAGTGTCTTAATTAATCTTCAATCTCTTTCTATTTGTTTAACCTGCTAACGTTCTATTATATTTCATAATTAATCAAACTTGGCAACCACGTATTTCACACATTACTATTCACCTTAGAACTCAGTCTGTATATATTATTGAGGCTATGGATTTATGGGAGGTAATTTATCAACAATTGTTTACATTGATTAGTTATTCAATTTCTTTATACTTATCTTCTAATTTATTGTACTTATTGAACGAGCAATTTTGACTTATTTTAAAATTTCTAATTTTTAATTCATATATATTTTTAATAATTATAATCTCATTAAAATGGTCCTATTCTTTATCCTTATAATTACATTTAAGTGCTCCTTACATTAAATACACCTTCTATTATCGTCTATTATGATTCTCCAGTCACTTATTTTTCTCCTAAATCTATATTAAAGTTTTTAACAAATAAAGGATTTGGATTTGATAATACATCATCATTACATGACAATCCATCCAAATATTATTTTAGTAAAGATTAAAGTTAATTGCTTTCATTTTATAAAGCTTCCTTCTACTTTTAGATAGCTAAAATATCTAATAAAACCTTTAAATTAAATATTATCATTTTACCTTATTATATCTCTTGTAAAAATTATTAAGATAAGCAAATTCTTCATAGTGTTCTTTTTCTATAACTTCAAAATCATTTTTTAAATTCTCAGGAATTTAATCCATGTCAACTGTATCTTCATAAAATGGCAGTACTTTCTCTCTTTCTGTTTCCAATCTCCTACAGAGTTCTGCTGTTTTTAAAATCTTTTCTCCTAATTCTTTATATTCAGTTAATTTTAAAACTGCATTTCTACTATTATTTACTAACTCTTTTAATAATCTTTGTTATTCTTCTCTAAATTTATTCATTTTTAATTTTAAATCTTGATAGTTTTTTGCAATATTTTCTTTTTCTTTTTTCAAAGCTTAATTCCTAGCATTACATTCCTTTGTATGTTATAATATCTTATATTTAGTTAGATCAATCTTTGCTTTCTTGCTTGCAATAGATCTAACCAATCTTTCTATCTTTTTAGACATATCTTTATTAGCATCATAATATTTAGTATGATCTTCTGTTTTCTTAGCAGTGTCTGATTAATATTTTTAATGCATCTATTCTAAATCATTATAAAATTTAGTTTGTTTATCTTCTAATTATTATTTCATTTAACTAGTGTCTTCTACGTCCTTATTTTTGGTTTCTTCTCTATTAGTTTAATGTTGATTCTTTGCTTATTCTGCTTTTCTCTTTTCTTCTTCTTCAACTGTTTTAATCATATCTTCTAACTCTTTAACTTATTATTTATGAGTTTTTGTCATATCATCAAATTCAAGTTAAAATTCTTCTTATAATATTTGAATATCTCTTTCAAATTCTTCCAACAATGCTCTATTTCTACTCTCTTATAATAAATGAAAATTCTCTAAATGAATAAGGTGGTTCCTTAATGCAATTTGATATTAATCTTCAGCTTCATCTAAATTCTTATCAAGCATTTAAATAAAAGCTTCTTTTGAATCTAATTCTCTTTTGTTATTTTATGAATATAATTCAATGTCTAGTTTCAATTATTCAGTTTTAACTGCTCTCATTGTTCTTCTCCAATATGCCATAAGTTTCTTAGTATTAAAATTTACAATTTTCTATTCTTCTCTAATTTTACTTCGCAGTTACTCTTTTTTAAACTACATTAAACAAACTAAGTTACTTAAGCCTACTTTTGACTCTCTTCAAATTCTTATTAAGATTTAGTAATCTATCTAAGTTTAATATTTCTTTTCTACTCAGTACCTCCTGGTTTAGTAGTACGCCCTTTTAAAGTTTTACCTAATAATGCCATTTATTTATAAATTAAGAAAAAAATAGTTTAACATAATATAGCAACTCATCTTTTAGGATTAGGACTTTCCTTACTAAATGTTCAAAAGTATGTTTATTCCTAATCCAATGATTTTTATCTCTCTTAATTTCTTGATCTCTTTTTAAATCTTCCATAATACTCAGCATATATATAATTTCTACAAATAGGAGTCTTTAGTTTCAAAACCTTAACATCATTAGATTATTATAATAAACTAGCATCAAAAAGTGTAGTCTTCTGAAAATCTAAAGTAACTTTTCTTTTCACATCAACTGATTAATTAATTAAAGTAGGTGATTATTATTGCCATATGGTATTTTAATTATTGACAGAAATGTTTAATCTTGGTTTTGTATCAACAAGAGAATCATTTATTTTATGTTAGCCAACAATGAGTCCAGTTGGAATTTTTTACTTGTCTTAATATAACTTTATAACATTAAATTAATACAAAAATGAAACCAACAATGTTAACGAATATCTGCAATGGAATATTTTTATAAGGATCAATATTAAATATATTCTTAATTAATTCTTTAGCTTCTTATTTATATACTTAGGGAATTTAAAATCTCCAGTCATTATCTTTTTGTATAATTAAGATGTATTTTAATCTTCAACTCGTAAATATCCTGCCAACATTGCAAATAATATTACACCAGAATTCCATATATCAATTTATAAACCATTATATTTTTTACCAGCAATCATTTCTGGAGCAGCATAACAAGGTTATCCACATGCTGTTTTTAATAATTAATCTTAATTATAAAAATTAGATAAGCCAAAATCAATAATTTTAATTTTTGTTTTTCTTTCAATTATTAGATTTTCAGGTTTAAGATCTCTATAAACAATTTGTAATTTATGCATATATTCTATTCCAGATATCAACTAACTATAAAATCTGATTGCTTTAACATCTTTTATACGTTAATTTTAAACAATAAAATCAAAAAGTTCCCCTCCGTCAACTTATTCCATAACTAGAAATAACTATTTTGGTGTTTCTATTATCTAGTAAGAACTCAAAAATATTACTTCATACAATCATACTAAATTTGGATGGCGTACCTTCTGTAGTATTCTTATTTCTCTATTAACACGTTCAATATCATATTAATAACATATCTTCTATTTTTCTAATATTTTTATAGCCACTTTTTCACCTGTTAAATTATGTGTAGCTAGTTTAACTTTTCTAAAAGTGCCTTATCCTAATGTCTTACCTTAATTAATGAAATAATTGTTTTAGTAAATATATATTGTTCCTATTGAATTATTTTTAGTTATTTCATTAGACATTTGTTTTATGTTTAATAATATTAGTCTAAGTTTCCCCCCATAATATATTTTTAAATTAAATGAATTTTCATTTCCCTGGTACATATACAGAATTGCGGGAACACCATTTCTTAGAAAATTATAAAGTAAAATCTAAGAACTAAGTGACATAAATGGACGAAAGACTAATATTAATGCGCATCAATTAATTTTAAGATGGGTTTAATCAACTCACAACATTAATTGAAGACTCCTAATATTTTGATTTCCTCTACTATTTAGTTGAGTAATCATTTGAACTAACCTTAGACATCTTGATTCACATCCAAATCAAAAAGTACAATTATAATTGGTCGAGATACTCTCATTTCAAATTCAAAAATTATACCCAGATCATCCTTAATCCTTTAAAATGACGCTTTTCTTATTACTAAATGTATTACAATAAAAGCAGATTTAAGGTTAATAAGTGAGAAGAGCATTAAAGATTTTATAATAATTATTTAATTTGAATGCTTTCCATGATCTAGGTAGAGAAGGAAGTAGATATATATTTGATTTAATCAAAATGGCTTTAGAAATTAAAGATGCTCAAATAAGGGAAGTTTGGATAGATATTTTGATCTAAGCAATTTCTTTATGGTAATCATATGATTTAAACCTCAAAAACAGAATTGTTCATTTAATGTATGAATAAGATAGTGTTGTATCCAACATTTCTAAATTTCTATTAGGATGTAGCAAAAATGAAAAATTGAAATAATATACTGTTGATCAAATTATTCTACTTGTTAATTATATTACTGAAAAGTCAACTAATCAAACTGAAAGTTTGGCAGTTAAAAATCTCAAAGAACTACTCTCTTAAACATCAAAGGAAATGCCAAGAGTTTATTATCAATAATTATCTGCTTTCATAGGTTTATATGATAATGAAAATTATCATATTAGAAATGGATTATCAGAATTAATTACAAATGTCATTGAATATTTAATCAAGGAATCCAAAGATTAAGATAGTGATGAATTATAATTAGCTAATGCCAATAATTTAATTAAATAACTTATTGATAGACATATGGATAAAACAGCACTTTGTAGATCAAATGTACTTTAATGTTTATCACAACTCCTAAATGCAAATTGTGTACCAAAATAACATTTATAAACTATATTTGCTATATCATCATCTAGATTAAGAGATATCTCTGGATATGTTAGAAAATCCTCTTTATAATTATTGAAATCTATTGTACGTTATTATAGATTTTTGTATGTTTAAAGTTAAGGAAGATAAAATTTTTGGTCATTAATTGAAGTTGATGAACAAATTAGTAGAAATAAAGAAGAATTATAGAATATACATAAAGATTTCGAAGAAATGGATAAACAATTTTAAAATGGAGAAATCACATAAGAAGATCTTAACGAATCTGTTAAATTTATTAAAAAGAAAGCTTAAGAAACTATTAAAATATAAGAATATTTAGAAGAATATAGATAATTTTTATAAGGAATGAAAACTGTCATTACTCAAGTATTATAATTATGTTAAAGTAAAATGTAAGCAGATGTTATTCATTCTATCAAACTCTTTTCTTATTTGTAAAAGTATCATTATGAATTTGCTAATTAAGGGTTAAGAAGAATGATCTTACTTGTTTGGTCTTAAGATAAAACTATTTAATAAGAGGTAATTAAAAAGTTTTGGAAATTATTCTTAAGAGACACTAAAAAAAATAAATAAGTAGTCCTTTCAATTATTGAAATAATTAGTAAATCAAATTTGAAGGAATTAATTTCATTAGAAAAAATAATATTATCATATGAAACTGAATAAGCACCTAATTATAAATTTCCATCCAAAATTTTTTATACTCTTTGGGAATATTTTGGTAGTTAAGATATTGATTAAAGATCTATGTTAATTTTTGTTAGAATTATGTTAACTAGAAGTTCATCCTATTTAAATTTAGAGAAGGTTGCTTAAATATATAATTTATTGTAAAAATACAGCAAAAAAAATCCTGACTGGATCATAATCAAAGAACTTGCAATAATATTATCTAAATTGGATAGAACTTAAGGTCAGAATCAGGCAAATTTTAATAAATCTATAGATTTATTAATAATATTACTTATTAAATATTAGAATTCATAAGATATGAATTATTTTAGTGCTTGTGATTCAATAATATAATTAGTACCAAATGCTGAAAACCCTGAATTGATATTTGAAACTCTTTTATAAGACTTAGGTTTTAAATAAAATAAAATGGATTTAGAAGTCGAAGAATAAAAAAAAATAGAAGAAATACATTTAGCTCATGCAATATATATAGCTGGTTCTGTATCTCTTTAATTACTTATTTTTATTGATGCAACTCATAATTTATTAAAGAATTTAAAAAATGAAAGAGAGAAATAAATTGGAAAGGAATAAGAAATAGATAAAATTTAAGGAGGAGTAGAAGGAGAATTTGAAAAGTTACATGGTAAAGTTGATGAAATTTAAGATCTAAAATTAATACAATAAAATTTATTATCAGTGTTTTCACCAATGGTAAAATAAATATTAGAAGAATGTTTAAATTAGATGGAAACTGAAGAAACTATATCTAGATAATAACCACCAATAGTTTAAGTAAGTTTGATTACAATGTGTAAATTTATGTGCTTATCTGAATCATATTGTAGAGAGAATATTTAAATGTTATTTAATATAATGAAGTAAGATATATATATATGAATAGATCTCCTCTTGTAGATTAAGTAATGAAGAATAATGTAATTATTAGTATAGGAGACTTACTACATAGATGGCCTAATACAATCTAAAAGTTTCATAAATAAATATATTCAAATTTATCTGATACTAGTGCTGCAGTAAGAAGAGTTACTTTGCTTGTTTTAACTCATTTAATTTTGAATGACATGGTAAAGAGCAAAACATCATTATCACATATTCCAATTTTATTAAATGATCCTCATCCTTAAATACCAGCTATGGCAAGATACTTTTTAAATGAATTATCTAAAAAAGAACAGAGAGCTATATCAAATGCTATACCTGATATAATCTAGAATGTCCAAGATTAGAATGAGAATGTTCTTTCATAAATATCCTAATATATTGATAAATCACAAGTTGAATCTATTGTTGACAAATTAATAACCATTCTTGGAACTAGTAAAAGTATTTATACTATATTATTAATTGTAGATTAATATGAGATTAAAAATATATCTATACTATTTAATTACATCAATTTAACTTAGAATTCCCTATAGAAATTATTAGATGGTTGGGAAGAATACAGGGAGAAGTTAAGAGATGAATTTGTCTTCAGTTAATTTATCAATTTGATTAAAAAGGTATATTATTATTTTTATCAACTTTAATTTAGCTCAAAAGAACATTACCTTAAGATGCCAAACCATTAATTGAAGAATATGAAATGAAAGTTGAGCATCATGATAAAGAAACTTTTGAAAACAGAAGAAGAGAAAAAATATCAAAGAAAAAGAATGTTAAATAAATATAAATTGAAAATAATAATGATAAGGAATAATAAGAAAATAAAGGAGGAAACAAATTATAACAATAATAATTAAAAAAGAAAACTAAGAAAAAAAGAGAAGAGGAATTTATGGAATTAGAATCAGATTCAGAAGAGATTAGCGAATAGTCATTAGTTATCAAGAAATAGACAAGTTAACGTAGAAAAAAAAATATGACTAAAGATGAAGAAGAATGATTTTTATACACATTTTATAATAGTTTATGAAACCAATAAATAATAATTAAAACTATGGAATAAGCATCTAATTATTTTTTTACATCCACTTAAAAATAACAAAAGGCCTTTTGGGATCGAAATTTTCATATTTTGTTAAATCAGCATGATAATTTCTAAATTTCAAATGATAACTGCACTACCTTCTTCAAAAAGGGAAAATTATTAAAAAAATGGATACCTAGACTCTATTCAGTCTAAGGAAATTATATTATATATGGAGATACTGTAAAAAATATGATTTTATTCAGAAAATGAAAGGGTTTAGGAAATTAGATTGTGTTTACTTGTAATACAGCTTACTAGATATTACATATAGATATCATTTACAATTGATATATTGTGGATTTATTCTAGATCTCTATACTGATCAAAAGAAAGATTATGATAATTTCAAAGAAATACTCTAACAACATTGTATATTAACTGATTTTCATACATAATTTAGTTTATTAAAACAAATTGGCTTTGGCTCTAGTGCTTAAGTATTTATTTTGGATATAAGTTTAGGTATATATTGCGAGAAGCAATTATAATAAATAATACTATGCAATCAAGAGGGTTTAGAAAAATTATTCAATTAAATAGAAGAAATTTGAATAAGAACATGCTTTAAATAATGAAATTTAGATAATGAAGGAATTAAATCATCCAAACATAATATCTTTACATTAAGTTTTTGAAACAAATAGTAATTTATTAAATAAATTTATAAGAACATATCAATCTTGTTTTGGAATTAATTTAAGGTGGTGAATTACTCAAATAAGGATAATATAAAAGCATCAGGGATGCCAGAATGGTTGCAAGGTAATTGGCTTTATGTGTTGATTATATGCACTAAAAAGGCATTATGCATCGAGATTTGAAGCCTCAAAATATATTATGTAAATCTAATACAGCTGAAGTCTTAATTGCTGATTTTGGTTTGGCAACCTACATAAAAGAATAAAAATAATAATATTATAGATGTGGCACTACTGGATATGTTGCTCCAGAGATATTAATGTATAAAGAGGGCTCTAAGATGTACAATGAAAAATGTGATATATTTAGTTTAGGAGTCATTTACTATTAACTGTATAATTTTTATAAATGTTTAATTTAAGAATTTATCAGACACATCCATTTAAAGATGCTTAAAAAGCTGGTATTTTAAAAAGGAATATGGAGGTTGATTATAAATTTGAAGATAATATAAGAGTGCCGTAGAGTTGTAAGGATTTGATAGCTTCAATGTTAAAATTAAATCCAAAACTAAGACCATCGGCATCTTAGATATTGCGTCATGATTTTTTTAATGAAAATTTGAATGAACTTTCATATCCAAGTTTAATCAGTTCAATCCAGGAGTACATAAATAACAATGAATAATTAGTATAAGTGAATAAAAGAAATCAGGACAATCTTTTAATTCATAGATTGGTGAATTGAAATTTTCAACATTTTAGAAGAATGGTTAAACTGTCTTTGAGAAAATACCCTTGTATGGAAATTATGAGATTCCAAATAATCATGGTAATGAATTAATAGAGAGATCTCCAATATGGAATAAGAGAATTGAATTATAGAGACCAGCTAGTTAACCAAGATCAAAAGCTTAATCCTTATATTCATACAAGAACTTAGAGATTAGAGGTAATAAAGTTTCTATATTTCGATAATAATCTAAAAATTCCGAAAATGATTTAGATTAATCTCATTAATATCCTTACGAAAGCATTATCAATAGATGCAAAATAAAAAATAAATGAATTTTATTACTATTTTTAATAATATTATTTTTATTCTATTCATTGTAAATCATATAATTATTTTTATTTATATAGATTCCAAAGTCTATATTTAATTTTAATGTAATTATGATAACAATATTATAAATTTGAATAAATGTCATCATTATTTTATAATATAATCTTATACAACAATTCACGACTAAAAATTAGATATATTACTATAACCTTCCAACAATCAACATCCCAGCTTAAGCTACAAATCTAACTTAAAATGGATGATGAGAAACTAATGCAATAAAATGTAAGCTTTAGCACAAATATAATCTAAATTAACATTTAATTTATTGATGAATATTTCTAATAGTACTGCTACATAATTTAAAAACAAAATTAATCTCAAAAAAGTTCTTGTAATTGATTCATAATCTGTATTTGCATCTAATTGTGTTCCTTTAAAATGATCATAATTTTCTGAATTGTATTTGGCTACATCTAGGAAATTATTATTTATAAAAAAGTACCCATATTCTTTTTTAATAAGATATATTAAATGAGAGATACATGAACTTTATAAAAATTCTTTAATTTCTTTCAATTATATAAGATTTAGAAATAATGTCTTGGAATGCTGTTTTAAATATTGTTTCCATTTACATAAAAATCTGTATAATACTCATATATTAAGTTTTGTTGTTTCTGTGGAGAGCTCAATAAAGTTGAAGTGATATTATAAGTATTATAAATCATAGATTATGTCATCTTATAATCATAGAAATTGTTATAGATTGAACTAATCTTGTAATTAATTCATATTATCTTGATTTCATCTTTTATTATGACGATATCAAAAGAATTTTAAATTAATATATGAATCATTCAGATGGTGCTCAATCTCCTCCATTATTTGGAATGTATCCTTTACCTTATTGGCCAACAAGTTCATAATTATTGTTAATGATGAACTTCCAAAATCCTTTGATGAGTCCTATTCATAATCTAGGTTCTCCTATTTTAACTTCCAACATTAATTTCCCTTAACCAACTATCAATTATGATATCAAATGTGAATAATGTAAAATTTATCTATTTATCTCTAGCTTAAATAATTAAGGATGCATCATAAATCAAGCAGCCCTAACAATATTTCAATTAAATATAAACTATACAGTAATAAATTGAGGAAATGAATTATGATGATATTACCATTGAAAATTTAGAACAAATGATTCATTTGCTATTTGCAGATTCTTCCAAAATAAAAAAGATAATGTAAAAACTTAAAGAAAGAAAATGTGTTAAAGTTATCAAAATTTTAGAGACTTTGACAAAGAAAATTAGATCATAATAAAAGAGTAGAGAAGAATTAATCAAATTTTGTTTAAGAAAAGCATTTCGAGAAATTTTCCATCAAATCTAAGAGAAAAATACAAAATCAAGTAATTCTAATGTAAACTCATAGAACTCAATCTCAAGGCTGCATCTAAACTATTTCAGTAATCTTATCAAGCAGAAAAATCAAAATAGATATCATTACCTTTTAGAAAAAATAGTAAAATTAAGACAATGAACAATCATTTTTTGCATGAATTATTCTAATCTAAATAATTTATAGATTAGTATAAAACATTCTTAGGTATTATTTTAATTTATTATTAGATAATCTTGACTCAATTATAGAAAATGATAGAAATAAAAAAATTAAAGCACTAGCTGAAAAATCATGGGAGTTTATTACATCTAATAGAAAAGTATCATATTACAATACAATAACTTTTAGTCATACACTGTAAAAAGATTGCCATGGTCTATAAAGAATATAGAAAAACTTAAGGAAACTGCTAATGAGTTGCTAAACTACTGTGATGAATAATAAAAATTATGAATTAATAAATTAAATCAAAATTATGAAATTAGAAATTTTATCATGTCCTATTACGAATTGTAACCAAGTAAATTATTAACAGATTTACAAATTCAAGTGAGCTTTCCAATGATTTCAACAATTTTAAAAATAGTTACATTGGTATATATATATATTCGATTAAGTTTATTTATATATCATTATAAAAATTTGTTTAAAAATAAAATATTATTTTAATATAAAAATTGATATTATAATATGTTAAATATTCATTATACTTAATTATATTGCTACTATCCTTTGTATGATTAATTATATGATGAAGTTTATTGTTGTTCTCTTACAGATACAAGCTTATAACCCTTCCCGCTTTTTATGGCTTCTATAATGGCTTGAGTCATTGCAATATCTTCTACATTACTTTGATGTTTAAAATTTAAAGTGTTATATTTTTATCTTAATTACTAAAGTTCTTATTCTTTATACTTAGTAGTTTCATCTGTAGGATCTTATCTATATATCATGACATTTAATTTATTTCTTAAATCTATGCTTGTTTTTTATTTCCCTTTTAATTAGCTTTCTAATTAGATAATTTCTTATTTAGTTTGTTCAACCTAAAATAGTTTTATGTCTAAATTACTTTGAATGTGTCTTCTGTGTTTTTTTTTATTTATGATCCAGTTCGTTAATGTTATATATTCCCTTATTTTTGAAGGCTAATTTAATTCATTAATTCATAAACTCTTTCCTAAAGTTCATATACTTTATATCTCCAATAATTTTCAACTTATTCTTAAGCAGTTATTTATTATTCTTATATCGTTGTAGTGGTCTCTGATATAATTTATGCTGGAACAGAATTGACCTAATAATTCTCCACTAGCACTTACGGTATTTATTATGCAATATAATTTTATTATACAACTTAAGGAATGATTTGAGGTTGTTATACATTATATTGTAATACAGGAGACTATTATAATTATTATGTGTTTGTTTAAATAATCTATTAAGTTTGAGGTACATTTAGTTGTATATTTTAATTTGCAGATTACTAATATTATTGAGAATACATCAAATCATTTCTAGGAGGACTATTGATCATCTATGAGAAATTTTAGATTGTTGTTGTATTTCTTGCAGTCATTGGTTAACCAATAGTTTGAGATAATATCACTTCTGGTGTTTAATATACAACTAACAAAAATACAAAATAACTTTACCATTCTCTTATACAGATGTGGCAGCTTCTTTTCTATGCAAACCATTTTAACATAAATAACATTACTCTTCGTATTATCCAGAATAAAACGTTTAAATTTATTATTAATTTTTAAGTTTTGCTTGATGAATTCCTTATTGTTCTTTAGGTGTTATTTTTGTTTTATATTCTATTGGCTTAACTTGATTTAATTAAGTTTGCTAAGTTTATACTAGTCTAGGACTAAATTGAATTTAATTTTCTTATGAAATCTCTCTCTAAGGAATTGTACTATAAACATTTTTTTGATTAGATTGAGTGATTCCTCTTTTTACTGGTATGGGTTATCCAAATGTTTAAGAAACAATTACATCAGGAGTTTAATAAACAACTATATTTAAAATAATTATGAATTTAGTACCAACAGGTTCACCTACAATTACTCCATTAGATTATGTTTAAAGTTCAATACCATGTAATCCATGTTGACAGAGATGACATGATTATTCAAATTTAGGTGAATAAAATGTTGCTATTGATTCTTATTTAGTTGACATAATTTTTAATTAAAATAAAAAGAAATAAATTTTATCATAATAATTACTTAATTTTTTTTAAGAAGTTTTTAAAAATTATCAAAAGAAGGAGGTTAAAATTATAAATTTATATATTTACAACATTTCAATAATGATACAAATTTTGTTTCTTTTTGATTGTTCTTTAAATTATTATTTCTTGATTATTTTTTTAAGTTAAAATATTTTAAAAATGAGAGACGTTACTAAGAAAGTAAGTAACTGAAAGAATTTTTAATTTCGAAAATTAGATTTTGAGAGAAAGGATTTAAAAATATACTTTGTAAGGAATGAAAAAAAATAAAAATCAATACATTTGATCATTATTAATTATATATTCGTTTTTAATGTCGAATATCTACTTAACTATAGGATTATTCTTGATAATTTGCAACCTGGATATTGTAATAACTCAATGGTTTCCAACTTATGAAGCCTTCAAAGATGAAAATATCGATGACTTAAATGGTACAATTTTATGTCATAAATTATAGGATGGGTGATCTAAAACCAATATGAAGCAACTTTTGATGTTGTTACAAAATGTGGGCCAATATAAATTTTAGGTGGTTTAAAGTCTTTTGGTTCTTAAGCAACATTAACGAAGATGATAAAGATTCCTCCACATTATAGACTTAAATTTATAATACAATTATGGAAGTACTACCCAACTGTTATGTAGAATAGGCGATTGGGAAAATGATAAAATTTAAGTGTTTGTAGATGGTGTGCCATGGGAAATGAAATGGGGTTTTACAGAAGGTTCAAAATAATTATGTGGTGGTCCAAAAATCCCTAACAGTGATAAAGTTTATGATGTAGAATTTGAAGTAGCCCATAATTCTCCTACAGCTACTATCGTCATAGCTAGTACTTAGGTTTAAAAAGCAGATAAATAAGCCTGGGGCATGAGAAATATAAAAATCTCTTTTAAAGAATGTCCATCTCAATGTGGCATATGTCATAATGACAAAGTTTAAGAATGCAAATTTTGGAAATAAGTAGATTTGAGTTGGTTTCGTACTGATACATCATTAGAAGGATGGAATTTACTAGAAGGAAAATAAAAGTCTTTTTAATGTTCAGGAATAGTTATGTTTGGAGGTCCAAATAATGTTGGTAGTAAAGCCGTTTTGACTAAAACAACTAGTAACTTACCTCCTCATTAACGAGTAATGATTAAATTTACCTTATGGAAAGTAATTTTCAATAATTTATATTTAAGTTTGGATAATGGGATAATGATTAATTTTATGTATAAATTGATGATGAACAGGTGTATAAATAAACATTTTAAAAATTGGATGGACTAAGTATTTGTGGAGAGTAAATTTTATTATAAATTTTTAAAGTTCTAAACCTGGTTTTGGATAAAAATTGGTTAATATTGAAATAATTTAGAAGCATAAGAAAGATTAAATGACAGTTAGATTTACTTCTTCATTAAAGTAAGGTACATATAATTTAACAATATTTTAGATTCTGAGGATCAATCATGGGGAATTAGAGATTTTTTTGCTTTTGTTGCAGAATGCCCAAATTTTTGTAAGAGTTGTTTTGGATCTGGTGAAAATGAATGCTTAAAATGTGAAGAAACACATTAGTTGATTGAAGGAAAATGTGTTAATAAAAATGATTGGTTTATTTTATCAAAAGAATTCAATGATCCTTAAAGTTTTAAAAAGATAACAGAATGGTAAATTGAAAATATTGATCCTATTCAATCTGAAGTTGAAACATCTCCAATTACATTTTGTGGCAAAGATGTAAAAATCTTTGGAGGTTATAAAGTATTAGCAAAAGTAATTTATATTAAATATATACAAAGAAATCAAAAGTTTCAAAATTGTTTAATAATATTCCAGCACATAATTTTTTAAGATTAAGAATTACAATGTATAAAATAGATAGATGGGATGGAGAAGAATTGATAATTTTAGGAGATGAAAAATAAATATGGAGTTAACTTTTAGGATGGAATGATCCTGGATAATCTAATATTTGTGGTGATCCTAAAAGTCCATGGAAAGAAAGAATAATGTTTATAGATTAAGTTATTCAGCATAATAGAGATGAGTTTAAATTAACTATTACATCAACTTTACAGGCAACTGCTGATTTAGCATCTTGGGGATTTAGAGATGTAATGTTACTTTATTCTCCTATCAAAGAATGTATTACTATTTTTAGTGAATGTAATTATTAAGGATTAAAAGGATAAATTTGTGATAATGTTGAAGAATTAAATAAGGTATATATTCATTATTTTATGGATAGTTTGATTTTCAGATTAAATCTATATAGATACCTGAAGGATTAAAATTTGTTGGCTTTAAGAATACTTAATTCAAAGGTGATAGAGTTGAATACACAACAAATTAAAAATGTCTTGAAGATATTCAATTTTCATTCATCTAAAGATTATGAGCCGAACTAAAAAAAACAATAACATTTATATATTGATAATTTTCTATAAGATACATCTTCTGTTGTTCTCATTCAATCTTTTTTTTCTTATATAGAATTTTATTAATTACTTATAAAGCATTTATAAATAAATATATAAAATAATATATAATGAGTAGCAATAATAATGGATTGAATGATTAAGAATTATTAAGATTGATTTAATAAGAATTTCAATAAGATAAATCTCCAGTATATGATGAAATTAGTAATTAATATTCTTCAGTTAGTGATGATGAAGAAATTATTATAAGTTATCCATCATCATAAATAAGTAAAATTAATTATTATTAGTTTTAGCTGATGAGTCATCATTATCATAAAAATAATAAGGGAAAACATAATAAGGTAGATGGAAATATGTAAAATATAATTTTTATAAGTATGAATTAGTGTTGTTAATAATGTACTAAATCTGACAAAGGTTCTATTAAACCAAAGACTTGTGTTTGTATTGTACCTGCTTCATAAAGAAGAATATAAATTGGTGAATCAGGATGTTTATCATGTCATTGTACAGGCTGTTCAATAGAAGATGAAAAGAAAAAATAAAAAAAAACGAAAAAAAAAAGAAAATCTTCTTCAGATTCAAGTTCAGATGAATCTTCTGATTTTAAAACAGTAAATGGATGTTGTAAGAAATGCATGAAAGCATTTTCTAAAAAAGGAAAAGAAGCTAAAGTTTAAATATTTATTATTAAATAAATAGTCTTGTTTATGTCAAGTTCCAAGAGCAGTCAGAAAGAAGCCTCTTCCTCCACATGGTTGTTAATATTGCGGATGTCATGGATGTAATCCTGAAGATAAGAAAAAAGAGAAACCTAAAAAAAATAGTCGATAATTATCTCCTGTGTCTAGTGATTTAAATGAATAGAATCTTAATAACTTCTAAAATGCTCGTAATAATCGGTATATGATGTTAGCTTTAATTTAAATGTTAAATTCTTAGAATATCAATCCAGGCATTATAGGAATAGGTATACCATAAAGGACATACTCATATATTTATGGGAAGGAATAAGGACGTTGAGAATAAAACTTATTAAATTATTATTAATCATAAACTCTTTTAATCAATTCATGAACGTAGTAATTTTATTATTTCAATAGCAAAACAATTAATAGAACTTAGACCCATCAATACTATACAAAAACTTCACATATTTCCATAAATATGATCAAATGATTTATTTATACAAACTATTAATATTACAAAGTAATTTAAATATGACAATCTTCAATCAAAAATCACATCTTTTGTATCTCAATGATAACATATAAAATGTTGAAGTTATATAAAATTAAAAAAAATGGATAATCTTTAGTTTTTTAATTGAATAACAAAAATTTATTATTTTTTATAATTACCACTTTCATTCCGTACAATGGTTAGCAAACAATCTTAAAAAATCTTATCCTAATGAAGTTTAAAATGGAACTTTAATTGGTTCATCGCTTCTTTAAATAGCAGAACTATTATTATATTTTATAACTATTTATGCTTCATTTCTTAAATGTGCAGAAGTAATTTGAGAATTAAGAGGGGACCACAATTAATTATGTTTAACATTTGCAGATTTAGGGTGTCTTTACTAATTATGCTTATCTCCATCATCTGTATGATATCCTTAAATTTCTTTTTAGTGAAACTTTTTAAAATTCATCTTATTATTCATTTTAAAAATATCTAAATCAAATTCACCATCATTTTCTTCTTCAATTTCTATAATTCAATAAGATTATATTACTTTCATCATTAATTTGAGCATACATATTTTTTATAGGGATATCAACACTATCTCTTTAAACATTAGTAACACCATTTTCTAATGGCAATTCTAATCCAGTTGCTTTTGGAGGAGTTTTATGCCTTGATGGAGGTCGTTCTTCATTATTAGTTTCAATTAATTCATTTAAATCATTTTATTTTTTCCTATATCCTGATCGAATAGAAATTAATTCCTATTTTTATAGTCTTGATTACCTTCTTAGGAGATGCTTTAAAATTGATATCAAAAATATCTTAATTTTCTTATTCTTCTAAAATTATATTTGCTTCGTATTCCAACAATTCTTGTTCTGTCTCTTTTTTCTTTTCATAATTCTGTTAAGTTTAATTTAAGGAATTCATAAATCTCTTTCTTCTCCCACCTTCTGAAGTCTAAGGCCTATTAATTTAATTATTTGTTTTCCTTAAACTTGTAATTGGTTCTTCCCTAACACAAGATTTATTTTAACTAATCTAATAAAATCCTTTTGATACATTTATTCATCATTTTAAATTGGCAATTATAAATTTTAATGATCTTCACTATCTGCTTCATTAGATTCATTTGAGAAACAATCATTAATTTACTAGTTCCCTCCCTAATTATCTATTTCAACATCTTCAGTATCATCTCTTGGAGTCAGTTAATCTAATTATTCCTCATCACTTCCTAAATTATCATAACATAATTTGTTTTCAATTAAATTTTATTGAGTTTAAGGTCGAGCATCATTTAATCTTAAGGGTCTTATTCCCTGTTATGTAAAGGCTCGAGATTATTAAGATTATGATTTCAAATCATACTGTTATCTTTCATACTCTTAACTTTTTCTTTTAGATAATTGAGATTGTTGTGCATATATCTTAGAGATTTATTGAATGTTACTATTTGTTTTTGGTGCTTGCCTAAAATTTGAGCAATAATTACATAATTCTATTGTAAGGATTAGGTGCCATATGAATAACAGTTGTCAATGGTTATTAATATGGACTTTTTAGTTATAATCGTTCTTTACGAGACTGTTATGGAGCTGTTCCTCCTCTCTTTAAATTTTCCCTAAACTAATGTACATCTTATGTAATACCCTTAATTTGCAAACCAACTCAAATAAAATGGTTATTATTATTGTTGTTATTATACCTTCTTTGGTTTAAACATTTTATATAATATAATCGTAAATACTCAAATAATATGTCATCTTTAACCACTACCCAAATATTGACTGAAATTATTTAATGGAAACTGTTGTCCTTATCTCTATTAACTCATTTGTACTTATTGTATAAGCTAAAAATTAAGAATGCACTTACATGTTGGCTGACATTGGAGAAATATCCATCTTAACCTTAAGGTTTTTTGATAGGAACTTAATTAGATTTTATTTCATCTTTAGGAATGATATCCATCAAAAAATCAAAGATTTCTGTGTTATAAATGCATGTTGCAATATCTGTCTTTTAGAGAGTTCTTCTTTTGCCATCTTCAGTGAATTACCAAGCTCTATGTGTTAATTCAATAATAAAAATTTCGCATGCTTTTGCAAATAGAACTGGGGTTTCTTATGCTATCATCTAACAATATAGATAGAAACCAATACTCTGACATCTTCATCTGATTTCATTATTTTCTTTACTCTTGCTAATGGTAATTGGTGATTTTTAAATAGCTCAGGATCTATTTCTAAAGCAAACTTAATACCTTTAGGCATCTACATTATTTCCTCTTTCAATTCAACTAATTTCTCTTTCAATTTTTTCATGTGTTCTTATTGATGGACATCCTATTAGATTATTTTTATTAATCAAATACTACATAATGGTTTTGTATGTCAAATTATTCATTAGGTTATTACATTTTAAATATAATTTTATATATATTTCATTCATTCGAAATATTATTTGTAATATCAATTTCATCTACTCTTAAGATTTGATTATTTTTGATTACTTTAACATTTCCTAGTATTTCAATTGTAAATGAATCAAAACTTCTGTTCATTTATTTTAAATTAGTTGATGAACTTAAAGATAACTTTTAAAGAGTATCATGATCATTATTTAATGATCTACTAATCTTATCACATTGTCCTTATTGAATTTAATTATTCAAAGAATTAGATAAATTTCTTAATTTCTTTGCTTTTTATTATTATTAATTATCAAGGGATTATTAATTAGTTTCTTCATCTTTTAAATCCATTTTATGAAATACATTTTTTAGTCTATTTAAAGTATCTAAACCAGAGAATGCTCCAATTAATTTATCATTATCATCATCAGAGTCTTCATTATTATTTAGACTATCAATTGGAGATTGTTTATTTAAGCATTCTATAAATATATTATTTTAAGGCTCAATTATTTCATCAATACATTCATCATCTACTGCTGATACAATAAGAGGATAATCAATTGAAGGTGTTTCTGAATCTTCACCTAATCTATATTAATGTTTTTCTTCATATTTTTGCATCTGATCCTTTGCAGACTTCCAAATTTATGATTTTCTTAAAATATTTTCAATCTATGTTAATTCATCAAAATATGGTAAGAAATCTTTATCTCTTATTAATTTAACCTACAATTGTTATTCAAAAATAAATATTAATTTATTAAATTACATTATCTACTACGCATACAATTTATACTTAGTAAAAATTTATACACACCAAAAAGGATGAAAATCACTAATTGCTCTATCCAGTATAAATGTTATCATATTGTTAACATATGTTATAAAAATATCTGAACTTTTAAACTTTTTAACTAAATTTAGAATCACTTCCATAATGTTTGAATTATCTATTTTATTCCATAATTCTATATCTGTAATTCTTACTACATTATCTACTATCTAATTATAGTCTAATTTCATACTTCAATTAATTTAACTGCTAACAAACCTAATCTAGAACTACTTAATAACACATCATTCAAAGTATTTTTTATAATTTTGATATCAAACACCTTAAAAAAATCAGTCTACCTAAAAATACATATTCTACTGTCATCATTAGATTCATCTAAATAAAGATTTTGCATATCCAAAGAATGATAATTAGATATTAATGAGATAATATGTGCTGCATTCTTTCTTACTCTATAAATATTAATAATTTAGATATTTATACATAAAATTCAAATTATTGTTTTGTAAGATTTAAAGTGATTTTTCTATAACAGTGCTTGATAATAAAAAATTTATTAACTCTGAACGAACGATTCTTGTAATGATTTCATGAATTAAAAATGTAAAATTAATGGCTGTGCAAGGATCAAACTCATCAAATTAGGCCATACCTTATTTCAAAAATATCAGTTATTGCTCATGATATTAGTTTTCAAAAAATAACAATATGATTAAAGCCACACTCTTATTATGTAAATGAGCAAATAATTGTATTAATAAATGCTATTTTTCATATAAAGTTTTTATGCTAAATTACTATGATCTTTATTGAATAAACTATAACAATTTATGTGCTTAAGCCCATTACACATCTGGGATTTCTGTGTATTTTAGTAATTCAAACACAATATGTGAATTTATCTAAATATTATAAAGAGTTAATTACTTCAATTTATTATTAAAGCTCTTCAATATTAAGTTCTATAATCTCCCATACTTTTGAAATAAGATCTGAATATAGTTAATATTAAGATCTTTAAATGAGATCATAATTTATAAAAAGAATCTAAAGTAATTAGTTGACATTTTAAATCAAAAATTTAATAGCTACAACATCTGACACTCTAACATATTTCATGAATGTATCAAATGATAATAAAGTTGGCAAATCTGAATTGGCATCTTGAATCAATTATTCAATGATATAAATTTTTTAATCGTTGTACATTTATTATATATAATTAAATCAATAATGTTATCGTTGTTTAATTCATAATTTAAATATTAATGAAGAATAAAATCTAATCTAATGAAAGAATTCACAGGATATAAATTCATTCATTGTGATTCTTCCTTAATTTTATAAATTAATTATTATATCATCTAAAATTGAGAAAAAAATAGTAATTATAATTTAGGTTATAATTTATGGATGATATGTTTTTAATTTTTAACTATTTATTATAAGTTTGTTAATAAGCAACTATTATAAAAAAGATTATGTATATTAGTTTATTTTTTTGGATACATTTTTTTCCTATTTTTGAGATTATTACTACATAGTTTTAATTTCTTAAAGTTTTATTTATGAATATGATTAGAATAAAAGAATTGAAATTGCATATGAGTTTATTTAGGAATTAAGAATAGAATTTATATGATATGTAAATAATAGGATGGAGAAATAAATAAATTAATAGCTCATTGATAAATACATGTTTTCTTGAGATGAAAATAGTATTTAAAATTTTGATTTTATATTTATGAAAATAAAAAAGAATGTAAAATTGAAATATTTTGATAGTTTCTGATTAGGGAGGAGAATAAAAATGAATTTTAAATAATTAATAAATTTAGGAATAATTAAATAAAAGGTTAAATAAAATAATGTAAATAAAGTCTAAGTTTAGATTCTTTGATATTGCAGCAAACTTAACAGATGATTAATTTTATGGAGTGTATCATCATAAGAAATAGCATTAAGCTGATTATAAAGATGTAATGAAAAGAGCATCAGATATTGGTTGTGAACATTTATTAATTGCAAGTGGATGTTTAGGAGATTTAAAGAAAGCAAGAGAATTATGTTAGATGAGTCCACATTATTATACAACAGCAGGTATTCATCCATGTCGTGCAGCTGAACTTAAAAAAAATTATTATGGATATATGGGTGATTTGAAAGAATAATTAGAAATGGCATTGAAAGAAAAGAAATTGGTAGCAATTGGTGAATGTGGACTTGATTATGATAGATTGGAATGGTCTACTAAGGAAGAATAAATGATAGCATTTGAACCACATTTTGATTTAGCTGAAAAACATAAATTACCTATGTATCTACATAATAGGAATACAGGTGATGATTTTTATAATATAATGCAAAAGAATAGACATAGAATAGTTGGAGGAGTTGTACATTCATTTACAGGACCTTAAGATGAATTATAAAAAATTTTACATTTAGATCTTTATGTTGGAGTTAATGGTTGCTCTTTAAAAACATAAGACAATATTAATGTTGCTAAATTAATCCCTTTAGATAAGCTAATGTTAGAAACTGACTCACCTTATTGTGAAATTAGAAATACTCATGCATCAAGCAAATTAGTTAAGACGTAATTCTAAGCTCAAAAACACGAAAAATGGAAGGAAGGATAACTTATTAAAAGTAGAAATGAACCTTGTAAAATTATATAAGTACTTGAAGTGATGTCAGAGTTATTAAACATAGAATAAGAAAAATTATCAGAAATCTGCTTTTAAAATTCTTTAAAGTGTTTTGGTTTAGCATGATTTTAATTATCTATAAATTAATGTAATTTATATAAAAATAACATATACCTAAAGCTCTCAGTTTAATTTAAGCTGTTGAATTTCTTGCTGAATATTTAGGTAAATCATAAGAAAGTACGTATTTATTATAAATGAAGAGCGTATTTATCAATATTTCTTAGCCTTAGAATTATTGAAATTAATAGTAAAACTAAGAAAATGGTCATTAGTGGATAAATTTGGATTGATGATTTCAGAGAATAATAACTATTCTGAAACAGATCATAAAGAAGATGAAGTTGCTACATAATTTTAGGAAATTCTAGGTCCTTTAGAATATAATCCTAAAGCTGTCAATTAAAAGACTATAAAAGAAGAACTTAAGTCAATAAAGGACCCAATTCCTAAATTCAATTTAGGTTACTATGACGTTGTTTAAGATAAACAAACATCTTTATTAACAATGTTACCTATACCTAATGATATTAAGTAGAAAGATTATGAATCCAAACTTAATTAATTTAGAGTATTTTGTAATTTGCAATTGTTTAGATTAAAATTGGAGAAATATTGCATCTCTTTCGTCCAATAATATACTGCTCTTTGATTCTAAAGTATGGTGGAGATAGTTATACTCCATATGTTATTTCATTCTTTATTGATATTATTAGATTTTTAATAGAATTCCAAATTAAGATCTATAGAAAAAGTTAAAAAGAAGAACTCAAAATACGAGCTAAAGAAGCTACAGTATATAATTTTTAATCTAATCAAGATTTGTTATATTTTAAGAAATCCTTTCTATAGTACAATTGTCAAACAAATAATCTTAAATAATACTATAGGGAAGCTATTAAACCAACAAGGATGGATTTATCGATTTATCATTGCATTAATCGAGTTAAGATCATCAAAATGTCTATTATTATGAAGTTATTGTTGTTTTATAATAAAATTATATCAATAAATCCTTATGCAATTCAATACTTTTATTACTTTATTACTTTATTACTTATTTTCATCTTTAATCAAAGTATCATATATTTTTAGATATTATTTTTACTTTATTAGAATTGGTCAATTTTAAGTTATGCATAAATTAAGAGAATTGTAAGAAAAGGAATCAAAATTCTCTTCTAATGAATAGGATTTCATTCCCTTTATCAAAGAACGAGATAACATGGGTAAATTACCTAATGCCTTTAGAAGTTTGAAATCTCAAAACTAAAATAATAAAAGGATTAGGGTTACAATTAGTAGTAATAAAAGTTAAAAAAGCAAAACAAAAGTTAATTTTTTAAAGGATGTTTATACAATTAATCATAATACATATTGGGCAAATCTTACAAATGTTTCTAAAGTTGAAAAGAAATTCAACTTAAAAATTTAGACAGAATATGTTGAATAGAAGTAATTAATATTACTTAATCAAAAATTACAATTGAATGATGGTACTGTTTAACAAAGGATGCCTACATAAATTAATTATTCTCCAAAATTAGGTAAAAATCTTAGTATGAATACTATACCTCCTCTTGGTTATTATTAGACTAGAGATATCATTATAAAAAAGTAACCAATGTTTGTTAGAATGAAATTAGAAAAAGAAAGTAAGGTTCAAGAATTTAAAACACTGAAAACAGAACCTTGCTAATAAATTTAAATACCTAGATTAGAACTCTCGAATATAAGAATTTAAAATAAAATTCCATAAGAATTATTAAATAAAGCATATTAAACAGAAAGATAATCAACAGAATATAAATAAAGATATACACCTCTACATTTCGACAATGAGGTAATAGAGTAATAAGAAAACAAAATTAAATAATTAAGAGAATTTTATAAAATTATGAAAAGCAGTTATGCTTGATTTTTTTATTGTAAATATTATTGATTTTATCATTCTTTAAGCCATTTACCAATAAATTATTCTAATAATTTAAAAGTAAGGAAAGAGGTTTCCCTAAATTTTTCAAAGAATCCAAGACATTCAAACCAATCATCTAATGTAGCAGTTTAAGCTCCACAAATGAAAAAGCTTTTAGTACCTTTTTTATGGAATATTCTCTTGAGATCTCTAAATAATAAGAAAGTGAATATACTTGAGATGTTTTTTATATAATACATCGCTTCCAGTAGAATAACTATAGATATATTTCTTTAATAATTCTTCATCATGTGCTAATCTATAAGGTAGAGATGAAACATGTGCCAAGGAGGCACTTTCCAATCCATAATATTCTAAGAAATTATATGCAATTTCCCAATTCAATATAGCATTTTAACCATCTTTATTAGCTTTAGCTAAATCTAGTCTATATTAGACATAATCATTAACTTGATTATTTTTACCATTAAATTAGAATACTCTAAAAGATGGATTTTAATATGAAAAAGTAGTACCAGATGGAGCAATAAATAAAGTTTTAACATATCTTCCATCAATTTTCGATCTAATATGTTGAACATGATCTTAATGAGTATGACCTTAATTTATGATAATAATATATATTACCATAAAAGATTCCAGTAACAACATGTTCAAATCTTTCAATTACAACACTAAATCTATCTGCCCATTATGAATTACAAAAAGTATCGCCGGGTGGTATATGAGCAAAGATAACAGCAAATTAATTTTTAATTTCTGAATCTTTGAGTTCAGAAATCAACCATTTAAGCATTCCTCTAGGATCTGTTATACCATCCATTAAATGAAAGTTTAATAAATCACATGCTTAAGAATTTAAAGCAATAAATTTTAAATTTCGAGATTCTTCAACTTAAGAATAATAACCATTTCTTCTTAATTGATAATATGATTCTTAAGTTAAATATTATTTCCACATATCAGCTACTTCATCTCTTAACCATTAAGTAGATTCACCTATCATATCATACTAATCAGCTGGATAACCTTCATGATTTCCATATATAGCATATAATTATGAATTTGGTAAATGTTTCTTTATTTCATCAGTAATCATTTTTGTTGGTAATGTTTGATTCCATTTTTATTGATGCCAAACATCATGTGATGTACTATCTCCTGTCCATATTATAAAATCTGGTTTTATATTCTATCCTGTAAATTAAATCAAATCTTATATTGTTCTAAATGGTAAATCACATTAAGCATAAGTTCCCCAATATTAAGCACCTTTACTTGCATCTTTAGGTTTTCCATTCTCTTCTCTACAACAAAATGGTGCTCCACAAAATGCATTTGATCCGACTGTATATTCTACATCTATATGTAAATCTGCAAATTAAGCAATTGTAAAATCATCATGGTTTTTTATATTTTATTCAGCTATTATTTACCATTATCTTTGTTCCTCTTTTGAAAGCTTATCAAACATCACTTCATTAATATATTCTTTTATTGTTTATGCTTCATGTTATTATTTACAGGCTCCCAGATTTGAACATGCATTTTAAGGTGATAAATAATTGCTATTTATTTTTAATTTACATTATACTTGAAAAAATGAATAGAAAATTAATCTATAAATGTCTAATTGATTCCTTCACAAAAAGCTGGATCTTTGAATTTTGGACAAAGGAATGTCCATTCTTTTCTTATTATTGATAATAAAATTGTTGATGAAAATTTTTAAATTTGTTTCATCATTAGTTTGCATGGCAAGCAAAGCAAGTGTAAACTAAGTATTGATATATAATTTTATACTCATGTGGCATTTCAATCCCAGCATATTCAACTATTTTAGTTAATATTTCCCTTTTCATTAATTCCTCCCCCATATCTACTGTATTAGCTACAAAAAACAAAAGTGCTAAGATCAAGATTACATTCCTCATATTTATAAATGATTTGTAAAAATTACGTAATATATTTAAGTAATTAATTTATTCATTATTGATTTCAATCTTTTTTCTCAAATTATGATATACATATTGCAAATCCTTATAAAATAGATAAAGGATAACAAATATCCAATTGATAAGTCTTTTTTGCGCATTTTCCAAATTGTAATACAAACTTATTTTTATCATTACAATTAATATCATGTAAGATGAAATTCTTTACAGATGGCATAGTAACTCGATCATTGAATTGTAATTAATATTTCTTCTTTTCTTTATTATAGATTGGAGTCTTGTTCATAAAATGTATTATTTGATCTTTATATTGCAAGGAATAGAATGCTTTCAATAATCCATCGGCATCATTCAAAGGTTTAAATTCACAAGCTTAACCATCTTTAATTCTTGGTATTATAACACTTTATCTCACTTATCCAGTTTATTTTGAATTTTAAAAATTAATTAAACATAGTTCTTTTCTGACTTTATCTAAAAATTTCGCTTCTTTAGGATTATCACCTGTGTCAAATAATTTAAATATCCCACTTTATCCTTTAATCTTTCCTAAACAAGATTTATGCTTTCTATCGAATTTATCTTAAAGAATTGATAAAACATAATGAATTTACTAACTGAAAGCTTATCGTTTTGCTGAACATAAAAACATTTTCATTTAGTTACTAAAATACAAAAGAAATTTAGGATGAAATTTATTTATCCCACTTTTATCTTTAACCAATGTCAATTACATCAAATGTTCTAAAATATTATTATATCTCTTACATTAATCGATTGGTTTTGATAAGAATTCTTTCATGTCAATAATATAATCTGGTTAATAAATCAATTAACTTAAGTTTTCTTATCTCTCTGTCATTGCATCAATTTGATTTATTTATTATACTTATTAGTCTTAATCATTTTGTTTATTCTCATCTTTCCAACTCTAAAAGTCTTCTTCACGATGTAAACTTCCAAAATTAGCTATTCTATCATGTTCAACTTCCTGCTTAAACTACACTATTTCTTAAATTTCCTTTTATTTTTATATCTCTCCTTTCTAAACTTAAATTTAATCTCCGAATGTGTATTATATTTATTAGTTCTTATTATTAACAGCTATTATATTCTCTTCTTCATCCTATTCAAATTAATCAAAATTTATTATTTCAACGTTTCCATTGTCAGACAAGATTTCATCATCATTCTAATCTTATTGGCTTAACATTTTTTAATTAATTATAAGTAAATTGAATTGTATAATTAAATTTTACTAATTCATCATTTTCATTATATCATCAACATATTGTCTATATATTTCTTCTTAAAAACTTAAAAGGTTTTTTTCAAGACCAATCTTTTTCATTTTAATTAATTAATATTCTTTATTACAACGATATATCAATATAATATTGAGTAAAACTCTTCTTTATTTATTTCTCCTAATAATTTCCCTTCTTATTTTTGAAAATAATCAAATAATACAATTCATCTTCTTTTTTATTATGACTCCCATCAGTTTTTCTTTCCGTTTTTTACAATCGTTTCAAAATTTTATTTTAATTTAACATTCTCTATATTAATTTGAACTTTAATTTTACCTATTTTTTAATATTTTTTTTGAAGATCTTTCAACATCTTTTTAATTAGAATATCTTTTAATTTTTCTTAATTGATTTCTTAAGGTTTTTGAGAGTAAATCTTTCTTTTAAAAATATCGTAGATGTTATAATTAAGATTTTGTTCTTTAATAAATTATTCATCCATACATTTTTTACTAAAAAAGATTTTTCAAGATTCTTATTGTTTATTATTTTAAATTTAGCTATTTTCTAACCATATCTTCCAGTAAGCACTCATTTGATTATAAATTGAGGATTTATTTTATTTTCTATATTCCCCTTTTCTTCTGTAATCCTGATTGAACTATCGTTTTAAGTTTCTATTTCTTATTAAATTTTTTCCTAATTATTTTTTAACACCAAATTTTCATAATAAGAATTATGAGGAATTTGTCTAAAATTACCCTTTTAAAATTTAAAGTTAGAATCTTATTTGTTTTAATTTTCTTTAATTCTATAATTTTATCAATCATAATTTAAAATACATTTAATTTATATTTTTCAATTCTTTTTTTAAAGAGAAAAAATTTCATTAAACAATAATAAGGATAATTTAATGATGTCAAAAATAAATCATCAAATATTTTATAGTTTGGCTGTTTGGAGATCATTGGTTTTAATATTTTTTGAAATTCAGAGAATAGTATAAATCACACAACTTTCTTGATTTTAGATAAATAAGGCTTTAAGGACTTAAATTTTTATAAAATTTTCAATTTTAATTTTAAATTATTAAATTATAATTTAAAAGACAATTAATATCCATAATTAGTTGATTCTATTCACTAAACATTTTATTATTAACTGCATCCTAAATTCAAAAATGAGTTATCATGTAAATCGTTTTATGTTAAAATTTTTGAAATGATACTTTCAAAATATTTAATATTCTTTTTAACTTTAAGAAATATTTCAATTTAAACTTGATTCAATTTGTCCCAACTCTATATCATACTATATCTGATTAATTTTAATTCAAAATAGACTTAATAACTTAACCGATCTAAAACAAAGATAAAATAGAAATATTATAAATAAAAATTGTTTTCATCGAAGCTATATTTTTTAACAAAAAAATTTCAATTACACTCCTTTATTTAATCAAAAGTGAAAATAAAACAAAATAATCAAAAGTGAAAATAAAACAAAATTGATCAATAATATAAATTAAAATTTTTTATATATATCTTTTTTAATAGAATTATAAAATTTAATTAAATATTAATTGATTAGTTTAATATATAAATAGAGTTTCTCAAGCATCTCTTAAAATGGCAGAAATCAATGTCAAAATGGCCAAGATGAATTTGAATTTGAGGAATTTGGTTTTGAATATTTAAAATTCCTTAATTATTTAGAAGTTATGGAACCTTAAACAATAAAGAAGAAATTATAGATTTCTATATTTTAAAAAAGCCTTCAAAGAAGAATAATATTTACTTTGTCTAGAGTCATCTGAAGAGTTTTATCCTTTAAAATATAGTCATACCTATTGTTTTTATGATATAAAATTTTGATAGAAATCTTGAAATTATGATATGGTTTTTTGTAGTGTTCTATTTGCAGAGCTTATTAGATTTCGTGATTCTTTTGATGATAGTTTTTAAATCATAAAATTAAAAATCCTGAATTATTCATAAATTATGTCTTTAAATGTTTAACTCTAACTAAATTTTTGTCCAAAAAGAATAATGATTCAAAAAAGCTCCTATTCTTTTATTATACACTTATTAGTCTATAAAATCAAAATTGTTTTAGAAAATTTATTAAATAAAATTTCATATTTTTTTTTTTTTAATATCAAAAAAAATGCAAACCACAAATTAGTCTAATGAGACATATAATTGCAATTTCTGCTCAGTTTATGTATTAAAGTAATCCTTAGAAGTTCATCAAATAAAATGCTTGGGAAAAAATTAAAAATTTTAAACTTAAATCTAAGAGCAATAGTAAAGTAGCACATTTTAAACTTTGGAATAATTTTCAGTAATAAATTAAATTTAGTTGATAGACTTCAAGCAATTTAATAAATTAATCCACAATTTTAAATACTTAATCAAAATAATAGAATGAAAGATTACAATTTCCAAATCAGAATAATATTTAATAGAATTAAATCAATATTTTTACAACATAAGTGTTTCAAACATTGAATCAGTTTAATGGAAATTAAAATAATTAATTTAATGTAAGTTAGTAATTTGAGAGATAAGGAGGAGATTCAGCAAATATATTTACTTAAAATTAAAATGCTTTTTCATAAAATATTATTGAATAGTTTCCCTAAAGTTAAAATAATGTTGCCAATTAAATTAAATAATAATAATTATTTAATAATAATGCTCCTTCACAACCTAATTAATTCTTCTTTTTAAATAGAAATGTTTAAAACTAATAACAATAATAATAACAAATTAATTTTAGAATTGATTAAACATAATAAATATAGTCAAGGTAGAATCCTTTTATAAATGATTAAATGAGGATTGGTTAAATTTTCCCTCCTTAAAGAAGTGAATTAATAAGGGCTATATAAAATAACAACATAATATTGACCTAAAATTAAATTGAATCGAATAGAACAAATAATTCGTTTTAATTTAATACTCCATCTTATTTTAATGCAATAAACTAAGCTTAACTAAATGACAAGTAAAGTTAGAAATAAGGCTCAACTTTATAATATGATATGGAAGGATTAAATAATTTTGATTTATTAAAAGAATATACAGATGAAGAAGTAAATTTAATGAATGATGAATAATTCTATCAATATTTTATACACAAACAAATTTAAGAAAATCACAAAAATGAAACTGATTCATAGATTTTAAAAATTAGAGCAGAATAATAGCTTCATGAAGAGGAAAATTAATGTGTTATTTGTTAGGACATAATAGAAAATGAGGATGATACTAAGACTTTGGGATGTAATCATAAATTTCATATTAATTGTATATCTGATTGGCTTAATCGCAAATCTGTTTGTCCCATTTGTAAATCAAGAATCAAAATGAATGAATTATATTATTGATATTTAATTTGAAAATGTTCTAGCAAATAAAGATTATAATAATTTATTTTTTGAATTTTTATGTAATAAGTGGCTCCAGAAGTATAAACAATATTTGATGAATTACTAAAACCTGTTTTAGAGAGAATTGAAGTATTGAAAGAAAGAGATTAATCTAATGAATTACAAATCAAGAATCTATTTGATTAAATGAGTGAATTGAAAAAATTAATAGGAAATCTAAAACCTATAAGAGTGGAAGAAGAAAAGAGTAAAAATAATTAATATTTAATAGAAATTGTCAAATAAGATCTTAAAAAAGAGAATCATTAAAATAATGGTATTTTGAAATTAATATATTCCCACCATATGTTTAGATGTAAAAAATATTGATCGCCCATCTACTGCTGTAGTAACAAAAAACCCAGCTCCTATTAAAGTAAAAGATCCTAAACCTACAACTGCTACAAAACCTTTAAGTCAAAGTACAATTGTTGAAAAGACTACAACACCTGTAGATATTGAAAAAAGTATTTATTGCTTAAATCATCTTTTTAATAGATCAACCTAAATCTCCAAAAGAGGCTAACCAAAATAAAAATAAATAACAACAACCATAACAACTATAATAACCTCCACAACCTAAACCAAAATCTCTAATTTAATAATAATAAAAATAATAACAAGTCAAAGAAACCAAAGAGCCAAAAGAAATTAAAGAGCAATAAGTTAAATAAATAAATTAATAAAAAGAAGAAAAGAAAGTTGAAAAATAACCAACTAAATCAAAAACTGCCTAACCAACTTAACCTATATAAGTAGAAAAAAAAGAAGAGAAAAAAGATTCTAAAAAAATTGATAATAAAATATCATAAAAATAAAACATTAAATAGCCTGAGTAGAAAGTTGCTGAAAAGAAGACTGAGGATAAAAAAATAGTGAAAAAAGGAAAATAAACTTTAGAAACCTAAAATAAAAATGAATAATAAACTGATGAATAATTTTAATAATAATAAAATCTTCCTAAGACATAAAATAACAGCGAATAGAAATAATAGGAATAATAACCATAGTAATAACCAGTAGAATAAAAAGAAATTGTTGAAACTCTTACTTAAGTTCCTGAGCTTCAAAATAATGAGGCTAAAGAAGAGTCAATATAATAATAATCCGAAGATTAAGATTAATTAATATAAAAATAACAAGAAGTTAACGACCTTTAAGAGAATCTTGAAAATCAATAAACTTAAGTAGTTTGATGTTATAAGAATGTCCATTAGAATTTTAGATATTATTCTAATAGAAATAAAAATTATATAATTCTTCTATTTTTCAATTATAATCTCTCAAAATTCTAAGTATATATGTTAATCCAAGACCTTAGAGAGCATTATTATATTAACCATATTAATTTTAAATATTATGATTGTTATTATTATTTGCTAATAATTAGATAAGATTGAAGCCATCTTATATTTATTGAGCTCTTGTTTAATTTTATGATATTCTCTAACGCTATTATTATTATTATTATTATTATTATTATTGGTTGTGTGGAAGAAGATATATACATCTACATTCTTATCCTTTTTACCATTATTTACCACAGACATAACAAAATTCATATCCACATGGACAAGATATATGATTACATCCAAAGGTTTTCTCTATCCACCTTTTACAACTAGAACATTAACTATAATTTTATTCTTTAGCAACTTTTACAAAACTCTGTTCTCCACAAATTCCTTCGTGGTATTGTTTTTTGCATTTCGTGCAAAATATTTGTTGGCATATCATGCATACTTATGTAAATCCTTCTATCTCATAAACACCTTTACAGTTTTGAGTTGGACATTAAAAAATGTTTGGATTTCTTAATAAATATTAATTGAAAGCAAATTTATCTAATTTATCCATTATTTATTTTGTAGTGATATTTTCTAAATCATCTCTCAAGATTTCTTATTTACATTCAAAGTTAGGGCATCTAATCGGAAGATCAGCTTATGCTTTTATTAAGTTTTCTAAACATTATTTATGAAAAATGTGTTAACAAGCCATAAGTACATATTTATTGGATTATATTTACTCTAAGCAAATGTTACATTATGTATTTTAATAATTTTATCTTCTCTAATTTCTTTATGAAAAAATCATAGATTTTTCACTTTCTTTTTTTCTATATTCCTCATACTGTTGCTACTTTACTTTTTATGATTAATCAATTGACATTAAATAAATATCTTTAATTTTGGGTATCTAAATATCTATTTATTTTTAGTTATCCTAAATTAAGGAATTGTCAATTTATCTATTTTAATTTTATAACTCTGCATTTAATCTTTAATCTTCTTCTGCAGCTAAATTCCCTTATTTTACTTCTTATATTGAGATTTTTTTTTTATTTTCTTCTTTTATTGCTTCTCTTTTTATTTCTTATTGGGGTTCTTCCTTTTGTTATTTTATATTTGGATTCTCTAATTATAGGTCAAGTTTTTTTTCTATTTATGAAAAAATAGATGATGATGAATCAATATAAAATTCACTTTCAAAAGTAACATCAGGAACTTCTTGATCAATTCTTTTGTTTCCGTTTATAAAGCCATCGTATAATTATTATATTTCTTACAGAGATATATTCTTTTAAAGGTAAGCATTTTAAATTTAGTTGATAAAGTACTATGATTTATTTAAAATCATAGGATCATTATTAGATGCTCCTGCTTGAAAAGATAAAAAGACCAAATGCAAAAATTAACTGCTTATCTAATAATATAATGGATAAATACATCAGCATAAGGTTCTTTCTATATTTATCTAATATAACCACTAAAATCAAAATAATTTTTCATAAAATAAAAATATAAATGTACTCATCAACAAGTAATATTGCTTGTTTACAATTTAAATAAAGATTTGCCAACTTATACTTCAAGTTCTTGATAGATTTACAAATCCTCTTTAATATGAACTAGAGTTCCGAATTTCGAATTGTTATCTAATAAAAATAATGAATTTTATTATTAAATATTCTCTTTCGATAGAGTAGCATGAAATCTGCTTACACTTGCTTCACAGAGTTTTACCCAATTTTCTTTAGCTCTACCTAAACTCATTTTCTCTCCAAGTTTGATGACAATTACACCATCAGATTTTGAAGTGAAACGATCTCCTAAATTTGCTTATTTAACTTAGTTTTCTTTTTTTTTTGAATAAAACTCTAACATCACATATGGATATTAAGGTTTTAAAAGATTGAGCATATGATATGTAATCCCGTCACTTTAAAATATTACTTTATATGATTCTTAACATATTTCACACTTTAATTATTTCCATAAGTAGGTTTCACTTTTCTCAGATGATCTTGATACTGATGTAAATTCTTTGAGCCTAAGTATTTATTGAAGAATACCATCTTTTCATACATTCTAAATGAATATACTTTAAAGAACCACTACATTTACAAGGATTCAATAAAGGATTCAAAATCTAATTGTTTCCTAAGCAAATTCGACATTATTCATTCGAATCTGCTCTACTATGATTTAAAAGTTCAGGTTCATTTTGAGAATTAAAACTCATACTAGAAATTCTAAATGTAAGTTTTCCAAGCCTAAAAATGTCATTAATATTTAATGGATATTTGTTAACTGACCTGACTGCCAACCAATTTTTTTTTAGCTTAAATGGAAACTTTGTATTTGTTAAAGCTGTTGAATTTCCTTTTTGTTACTATGTACCAGCTACAATTGTATTTTTAGCTGTTATAAACAGTAATACTTCGCTATGAATTTATTAACTATCATACCTATTATCCTTTGGTATTTCATTTACAAGTTAAAATGTCTCTTTATTACTAATGATGTATGAATCTTGATTTTGGATTGTAAATTATTGTTTTTTGTTGTCAATGCTCTCATAATCAAACAGATCAACTGAATCATTATTCCAAGTGTGGCAATGTATTGTAATTCTGAAATCAATAATATATATTACAATTTACCTTTCATTCGGCATTTAACATTAACCCATTTCGATATATTATTATATTATTAATATGTATCAAAAATCAAGAATCAATAATTTCTCTTTTAATCTTTTTCACTACTTATTCTATTTATTTAACTAGTATCTCTTTATTACTTTCTCTTAATCTTTAACTTAATATTTAATAAAATTATGGAATTAATTCAATTATAAATGCATTGCTAAAATCTCTACTAATTTATTTTGAGTTTATAATTTATAATGAAATTCTTTCAATATTTCTATTATTTAGTTAATTATGATAAATTTAATAAAAGAGTCTTTTTTTCTGTTTCCAATTTTTCTCAAATGATATAATTAATTTTTTCATTTTCTCATTTTACTGATTAGAATTTTCTTTTCTTTATCAAGATTTAATTTTTGTAACTACACATTTAATTATAATAGCTAAACTTTTCAGCAATACTCAAAAATCTTTTATTTTTTTATTATTAAACACCTCTATTTGGCAATTAAACATTCTCCTAGTAGTGAAGAAATTGTTTTAATTTTTTTATTATTTCTCTCTTCCAGAGTTGTTTTCAATCTACTATAATTTTCCAAAGATTCTTTGATCACTTATTTCTAATTATTCTATTGGATGATTATAAAAATTTTACCAGTCATTTTTTAAAATTAAATATTAAAAATAAAAATTAATATATAAAACAAATATACAATAATTCTAAATGAAAACATCTTAATTACTTTTAAATAAGATAGAAGAAGGATATAAGATTTGAATATAATTCACACTGAGAAATAGATGTAATTTCCAAAAGATACACCTTACACCATTATACTAAAATTATATAATCTTATCGTGATATACTAAAAAAGTGTTTTAAAATGTTAATAATTAAGAAGAGTTGAATAAAATCATTCTTTGATAAGTTTAATAGATTGAATGTATTTTGTTATATGATTAAAATTACAAATTATCCAATTCACAACTTATTTTCAGTTAATAAATTTTTTTCAATTAAAATCCACTATTTTGTCATTAGAAAAATAAATTTAATGGAAATTAATTTTTACACATTCTTCGCTTACACTTTTACAAAAGATTATACTAATATATAATAAGAATAAAAAGAATGAATATTTAAGTCTTTGATTTGATGAGGCAGCAAATTTATATTTATTGACATAATAATTTATTTAACTTTTAAATGAATCCCAATGATGAACAGTAGAGACTATACTAAATGTTCTAATAAATGGCAGGTCCTGATACATATGGTAGAATGATTTAGATGCCTAATTCTCCTTATTATCCTTGCTGGGGACCTCCATTTCCTTAACCAATAATGGGACCATCTCCAAATTAAAAATATCCATTTCCTGAATAATTTGTGCATGATTAGGCACTCTAAATGAATTCGCTTCCACCAAATTAAAGCGGATTAAACCTAAATGGTATACCATAAGGTTTACAAAACATGCCTCCAATGCCTATGGGTTTGCCACCAGGTTTTGGAATGCCTTCATTAGGTCCTGGTCAAATTCCATAAGGACCTATGGGACCTCCATAAATGGGTAATATGGGACCTATGGGTGGAATGAGTGCCATAGGACCAGGTGGTATCCAAATACCTGGAATGGGACCAATACCTTAAGGACCTCTTGGTTAAATGCCACCTTTTGACTTTTAATTTAAATAATAACTTCCTTAACCACCATCTCTAAACCAGAATCAAATGATTTCTCCACAATAGCAATAATTATAATAGTAACACTAAATTTAGCAATAACACTAACAATAACAATAACAATAATAACAATAATAATAATAATAATAATAATAATAATTATTATTATAATAATAATAATAATAATAATAATAATAATAATAATAATAACAATAATAATAATAATAAGTTTCTTTATAATAATAATCTTCTGGATAATCAACTTAGAATAATGGCGTAGCTCAATAAAATTTAGAATAAGGTAACTTATTTTATTAATATGTAGGATTTTCACAAGTTGTTAATGAATTTTAACTAAAAATTTTAAACATGTTTGTTATGTAAAATTAAATGTTACTTGATTTCAAAAATAAGAATGCAAGTTTGGAAAATACTATTACATCTATTTTAGATGAAATAACAAATTTACAAAAAATTGTAGAATAAAAATTTGATAATGGTCAAGCTGATGACTTTATGAGTAGATGTAAATCAAACAATTATATCTTATAGTATCAATACCAAACTAAGAAATGACACAAAACAATATTTTATTGAAGTCCTTATAATACAATTAGACTGATTTTTTATATCAATTAGTTTTAACAAATGATTTAGAATAACCATTATTCAAAGATAAAAATTTTAATTTAGATATTGCTCTTAAAGATATGAAAGGAATGAATATTAAAAATAAAAATAAAATAGAATTAGAAGTTCAACTATATTCATCAGATGATAAACCAGTGCTTTTGTTATCAAATTCTTAAAATTAAGCAATTCTAAGATAACCTGAAGATAATGTTTGGTTAGAAGATGGTATATCTAATATTGAAAAACTATAAATAAATGAAGTTACTTCTCATTATCAAAATGGTTGGATATATTTAGTTGTTTATCCAATAAAAAATGATACTAAGATTGTATCAGAGGAAATTAATCCAGCTTAAATTAAACCTTTAATATACAAAGTTAGTGTAAAATCTAAGAAAACCTAGAAAAAGTATTTTTAAATATTAAATTAGGTCATCTCGTTCAAGATCAAGATCACATGAAAGATTACGTAGACTAGAAAAGTTAGACAATAAGTCAAGTTCAGAATCTGAAAATCCCATTTAATAAGAAAATGAGAATTGTTAAAGAAATGTTGAAATGTAATAGGAAAAAGAAAATAGAAATAATGAAGAATAGTAATCACTATATCAAGAACAAGAAAAAGAACAACAACAATAATAATAATAATAAAACCAAGAATAAGAAAAGGAAGAGATATATTAAAATAATGAATCTGAACCTTGAGATCTGTAATGTATTTGTGATACTTATTTATAATTAATCATTTCAGTCTCCATGTTTCTTTCATTAATACTATAAAATTATCATCCTTTTCAATATCAGCACTAACAGCAGCATAATATTCTTTCCATTCCTAAATAAATATATTATATTTATACATTTAAAGTTATATGGCCAGACTTATTTCCTTCCTTAAAATACTATAATAATTCAATATAAGCTTAATCTTCAGTCAATTCACCCCTTGTAACTTTAGGATGATTTTTTGCGTTAAATATTCCTTTGAAATCATCAGCCACTATATAACCCAAATTATCTTTGTCAAATTTTTTAAATGCTTAGACTATTACTTCCATTCTATTTTCATTTGGTGTTCCCTATTTATTTATAAATTTATCTTTTACTCTAATTAAATAAAAAAATTCAGCTACATCTATTGATCCATCTCTGTTTCTATCTAGATAATTTAACAAAAACTAAAATTAAAATAAATTATTACATCGGTTTAGAATTTTGTTAATACTACTCCATTTTACTTTAAACCAATAAGGAATTCATCTTTGTCTATTCTATTATTTTTATCAAATGACTCAAATCCTCTGAATGTTTTCCCTAAAGTTCTTATAGTGGTTTGCTATTTTCCTAATAAAGATTTTGTAATCTTTTTAATAACTTATTATAGTATTCTGCTTACTTATATCAAGTTATTCTTGAGGAGTTATCATTTTATAATTTATTTTATTTATTTATCAATATTAATTATTTTATTTACCTCGATAATTCAGATTCGAACTAAAAATGTTAAAACTGTACAAAAAAGGAAATATGTTTACTTAAAAAGATGCAAGAATTTTTTTATTTCGCATTTTAATAAAAAAGATTGATTTGATAAATTAATATCAAAAGATTCTGAAAAAATATTTAATAAATATCGATAATTTAATTATGCTTCTATAATTTTAATGCCTTAGAAAGCATTTGATTTTTGATAAAGTGTACATACTTTAATGTTTTGAAAAAGAAGTTTTCATTGTAGAAGTATTTCTAATTTTTGGAATATAATAAGAATAAAGCAAAACCCAAATATTATTTTGAGTTGTCACTCAAGAGTTTTATAGTATTTCACGTTGAATAAGATTATTTTGGATTTTCTATTCCATATAGAGGGAAACTAAAGTTATTTCATGCCAATTCTTAAAAAGTTAGAGAATTTAAGATGCTTTTGTCTGGAAAGGTTCTTTTTGGAGACTTGAATTAATTTTATCTATAAAAACATCAAATTGGACAAGGAGCATTTTCTTATGTAAATCAAATAGTAAATTATAGGTATTTATGTTGTAAAATCTAGAAACAAAAGAAATGGTGGCAGCTAAATATTTAAGTAAAAATTGGAAGAACAAAGCTAATGCAGAACGAATGAAGGTATGAATGTGAATATAATTTTAAGGAAATAATTAAAGAAAATAATATTGTTTAATCTTTGAATCACCCTAATATAGCTAAAATAAAAGAAGTGTATGATAAAAATTAGGATATAGTTATCCTATATGAATTTATTGATGGAGATAATCTTGAGAAATATTTACATGATCATAGTACATCTCTTAGTCATTTCGATGTTTAATCTATTATGCGTGTAAATCTTTTAAATAGATATACTAGTAATTAATACTGGCATTATTTTACATTCATTAGTAATAGCTTATTCATAGAGATATTAAACCATCTAATATAATGATTTAATCAAATCATAATATAAAATTAATTGATTTTGGCTTGGCTGCTAAAATTGGGACAATTAATAATGATATATGTGGAACCATTGGTTATATTGCTCCAGAAGTTTTATGTATTACTACTGCATAATCAATTTATTCATTTAAATGTGATATGTTTGCCGTAGGAGCTATATTTTATAAATTGTAAATTATTTTGATAACATAGAATAACTTCGCATACTTTATTAAATGATATAAAAGATTATTCTAATTTTTAATTGAAATTAGATCTTTTAAAAAAATTAAATACTCCTGAATCAGGAATTGATTTATTACAAAAGCTATTAGATTTTAACTACAAAACAAGATTAAGTGCAAAAGAAGCACTATCCCATTAATATTTTACTGAATCATTAAGAGTCTCAGCCAAAAAATCTTTGTAATTATCATAAAGAAATATTTTTTTGGCTAATACTTCTTAAGTTTCTCAAATTGGTACTTCTGAAACCTAAATCCAAAATGTTAATATTTTCAATCAAAATCTTAACAAACGATTCAGATTTTCAATTTAATCAAATAATTGATTGATTGATTGTACTATTTCATTTATTTATTGATTTATATATTTAAATCACAAGATTTAATTTTATAATTTTGTTGGTAAAAATTCTAATTTCAGTTTAAAAAAAAAAAGAAATTTTGTTTAAATTTATTAATATGTATTTTTATAATATTTAAGATAATAAAATTAATTCAAATCAAAATTCAGTAGTCTAAGTATATAATTATTCTAAAATGTTAGAATACCCAGCGGATCTTTGTGAATTTGTATTAGACCTATTTGATTTTTAAGATTTATTCTTTGATCCAAAAACTCTACGTTTCGTTTCACCTCTATTAAGCAGCTCTTCAAATTCTTATAAAATTTATTTATTTTCTTAATTTAATCCACATTTCATTAACTAAGTTTATTTATTTTTAAATATACTTTTTAAATAATTACTTAGAAATATTCTTTGATTTATGGATTTTCTAATCTTTCTTGATAATATGAATAACAATCATAAAATTTTCTGGCTAAAGATTCTTTCATTTAAAGTTTAGATAATGTAAAAACTATATTTTAAACTTCGTAATCATTTATATTTTCTTTTAATCTTTTCAACAATTTTTCAACTAATTATTCAGTTTATTTATCTAAATATTTCAAAGTATTCATTAGAAATATTTTGTATTTTTCATGACATTCTTAATTAGACATACTAAATATGATATCAGGTAGACTATTTAAAATTCTTCTTGAATCTTTCTTTTATAATTGGAAAAAAAATCTTTTTGCTGATTGCTAAATATTTTCATCAGGATCAGTTAATAAAATTGCAATATCAGTAATTTCTCTTTTAATTTTAATCATATCATTTAAAATTAGATGTGATAGCATATTTAATGAAGTTTTTTTTACAATAAAATCTTAATTGCTCAATCCATCAAAAAGTTATCTGCAATAAGATGTTACTGTATTAGGCCATCTGTGTAATAAATCTCCAATTGCTACTATTAAATTATTCTTAAAAATTCCATCTGAATTAGGATTTTAAATTAATTTAAATACTTTTATTATGTGTTCTTCACAGAATTATTCAGATAAACACATAAATTTGCATAGACATAAACCTGCAGATTTATGTATCATTGTTAATTATACATTTTCTTCTTCTAATTCAGATAAAATATCTAAGATTATTGGAACAAAATTTTAATAGAATCCTTTTTATATGACACCTATATTATATTTATTTGAAAATACTAAATTTGCATAAAGCTTATAAATATACACAATTATATTCGTATTCTTCTTCACAACCACCTTAAATTTTATCTAATTCATTTTCTTTTGCTTCTTCTACATTTCTTAAATGTGTCAATTGATTTTCTATTTCATCAATATGAAGAATAATTGCCAAAGCAGATTAACCAACAATAAATAATAATTGGCTCAGTTAGACACTTTAATTATTAAATACTTAAGTTGATTCTTCTTCTAGAAAATCTTAATTACTAATAGAATATAAATTAAATTTACCTTTTTTTAGGTGTCATACCAATTTAAAATATCTTGAAACTAAATTTTTTTATTATATAATCATATATACTCTCTGGAACTGGCAAAAATTAAATTAAATTTAAAATGTCTTAACAGGCTACAAACCATAAATTATTAGGTGTTCCAAAATAAAAATATAAAATCAATGCAAATTATTAAAAATATTTTTTAACTAATAATTTATCTTCTAAATAATAAATTAGTTTAGCTAATTCTATAACTACAGTCCAATTAATATCTTTTTTTTACCCATCAATTATTTTAGTAATTTAATCTAATTTTATCTTTGTTAAAAGATTAGATTATAATCCAAAAGTGATTCGAACAAGTTTAGAATATTAATTTAATTATTCAATTTAATTTGATGAATAATTTCTGATAAAATTGATCCATATTATTTCAATAGTTGATTCACTTATCATTTTTTATTTAATCATGTATCGAATAAGTTCTTCAAGATAAATTTATTCTTTTGAAGATGAGATTTTCAATAAATGAACTAAATTATTTATAGGAACTTAATCATTTTCATTTTCTATAAATAACATATAAAATTTTTTAGCTAATTTATTTACTATTTATGGATTGTTAGAATGAATAAGCATTTTCATAATTCCAACATCTGTATTTTCTATTTTCTATTTAAATAAAAAACTAATGAGAGATATTGCTTTATAAACATCAGTAATGCATTTACTATTGAGTAACAATTCAATGTTAGGCAATAATTTTTGTAAGAGTTCCATAAATTCTTAATATTATATAAAAACTGATTATAATTTTTTTTTTTCTCTTAAATTAGAGACTACAAGATTTTCTTCATCTTCTAATTCTTTTAATTCTATTTCAGATTATGCATTTGCTTTATCTTCTAGTATTTAATCTATAGCTACCAAAGTTTTATGAATTTCATTTCCTAAAGATTAATTTTATTCCTAAATATCAGCGATTTTCATAAAGTTTTACATTTATAACCCATCAACAAATAGGTTTTTCATAAATCTAGTTTAATTCTATATATTTTAAGATTGTACTTTGTAATTTATTTAACAAATGCTAATGCAGCTTTTCTCACCATTGAAGATACATCTTATACTCTTGCAATAACTAAAGGAAAAATCATGAGTTAAATATTCGGAGGAATTAGATTTTATGAGCATACTACTCTAAGCATTTTTAATGTGTGAACTCTGGCATATGCATTTTTATCAATTATTCTTGATGTCAATTTTTAAATTAGAAATAATCTTTAATTTAATTAATTTTCTTTCATTTCAACATCTTATTCTACTTTTGATGGATTTAAATGTTCTGTTAAAATATTTGTTATTATAGTATTGATAGCATTTCTAAGGTAATAATTCTAATCATAAAAATTATTATTACTTCACTATCATAAAATTATAAAAAAACAGGTAAATTTTAATTAAATAAATTTGGCATCTATGCACTTATTCTTTCAAAAACTTTAGATACCTATTTTAATGAATTACTCTCATTTTATAATATTTCTAAACTATTTTATGCTAGAATGGTTATAAATTAAGTAACAAATGCAGTATTTTCACAAGATATTAACAAATCTGAGAATTATTATTCACAATCTTCTGAATTAAATACAATCTAAATCAATCTATTTTTTATATAATTATGAAGATTTTCTTTTCTTATTATTTTTTTCACTTAACTTTACAAATATTATTTAACATCATTCTCTTTAATTTTTGATTTATAAAATTATAATATTGTTTCTATTCCCATTTAACCATGTTTATCATATTGACAGAATGATAATAAAGTTTCTTTTTATAAAGAATAGAAATGCTCTTTCTTATTTTTATTTTAATCATCTAAGGAAGCTTATAAAAATTTCATTTGTAGAATCTCAAATTCTAAAACATCTTACCGCTTAAGAACTTCTTTATCTAAAAATTCTACTATATCATCTTTTTATAACTAATTTTAAATTGATGATATATACCAATTATACACCATAATAAAGGATTGTAAAAGTTTCACTATCAAATTGCTTATTACGATTAAACTCTTCTATAGCAGATCTCATTTATCTTAATATTAATCTGCTATCCTTAGCCTTGAGTGAATTGTAAAGGGAATTATCAAACTATAATTTAAGTCTATATTACTTAAACAGTGGGATACTCACTTAGCTCGTTCATAAAACTTTTTAAATTCAAATAATTTATGCGGCAATTTATTATAAATATATATAATATATCAACCTACATTATTGTTTTCCCAATAATAACCTGAATTTCGTTCCTCTGTTTTAGATTGTTAAATCCAATAGAAATCAGGATTTTAATTAGGAAATTAAATATCATCTTGTTTTTACAAAAGTGGATCTTTTAAATCTATTTTAATATCAAAATTTTCATCATTTTCATCTGTAGGATGTTAAATGGCCCATATTTCTATAATATTGATTTACAATTTCTTAACATAAGATAGAATTAAAGGACCATTTTCATAGGAATCATCAATTTAAGTGCAATATGAATTTTGCAAATTTTTATCTATCCAAATTCTACATCCTTCCCCATTTTTACCACCAAATCCAAATCCTTTATTAGAGTCAAGAAAACAATAATTTTATTCTCCTCTCTTTTTGGATCTATAAATCTTAAAATATGGATAGAGACTAAAAATGCAATCCTTTTTTGTTCCAAAATATTATTTAGTATCATACCATCTAAGATTAGTGAGAGCTCCAAATATTTATTATTTAGTTTTCTATTCATAATTTTCCTCATGTTAAAAAAACATAAGAGTAGGTAGTTTACAATCTAAATTCTTATTAAGAAATACCTTTAAGGGATTAAATCATTTGATTAAATCCACCTTAATGTGCAACACTTGAATACAATAGACTTAATTAATTACAATCAGTGAGTACTGCTTATGTACTCAATAATAATTAGAAAAATAATTCATCAGTTATAAAATATGATGGAGTATTGATTACTGGAATAATGTTCTTAAAATAATGATATATATTACATTAAATTGTTTACCCATAAATTTAGCTTAAAAATACTTTTTTATAAAGAAACTTGCTTATGGCATTTATCTTTAGATGAAATCCATGAGTTAAATCCAAGACAATGTACCAAATTCATTTTCTAATTATAAAATATATTTAATACTGTATAGTTAATCTATTAAAGTTTTAATATATTTCTCATTAGTTGTAGCATTTTTTTGATTATGTTAATACATTTTAATAATATCCTAAAAGAGATAAAATAGATTTGAATACTTTAATAACACATAGAGTATCTAGATATGTTAATTACAATTAAGCTAACTCTTCTTTAGATTTCACATATCTATAATTCTGCAAAGTAATCAAGGACATTAATTCAAATCTTTCTAGATTTTTAAATGTTGGAACCGATGTTTATACATCTTTGACTAGTAGCTCCACTAATATTTTATGATAATGATTATTATTACAGAATTCAAACAAAGGTTCTTTCTTTATAATACCATCACTCCCAGAATACAATTCAAGGAACTTAAATAACTTGATACCAAATGTAGGATTTTCTAAAAATATATCTTCAAAGGATCGTTAATTAAGTGCTTTGATATCACGAGTACTAATAATAATATTAATAGTATTAGTTACTCACTACTTAATTCACAATAATATTGAAATTATTAATTCAATTGTATATATTCTGCTTAATCAAATGCTAAAATTATAGTATTCTTTCTAGAGTGATAGCAATTTCCCATTAATTAATAAATATAAATATTAAAATAAAACGATAAATTATTTAATTTTTCATTAATCAAGTAATTTACTTTAAGTTACAATCATTCTTATCATAGTTGTATTCTCAACTAAATTCATATGAGCAGCTCTTCCAATAAAATTATCCCAATTCTTTTCATTCTCTGTTTATACAAAATTGACTTCTATTCTTGTGCATTCTGGTAGTTTAATATTTTCAAGCATATTGTTATAGATCTATAATTTATCTTAAGGAACTCTATTAGATTTTTCAAGTCTAGCTATTTCAAATGGTACAAAATCATCTTGCATTGAACTAACTAAAATAACTTTTTAGAACTATTCTAAACATTAGATTGTTGATAAATAATAAAGGTAAGTATTTTAAGGTATTGTAGCATCTTGTAATAATAATTCAGCCATACTTTAACTAGATGAAAAAGTAGTCATAAACCATAATCCAGTTTTTATCAAATTATTTTATTTTATAAATAATCCTATATGAGGTGATCCAAGACTGATATAAAATCTCATCTTATCTGAATGCATACTTAAATTACATAGAGCTGATCTTGTTACAACTCCACCTAATGAATGACATATAAATGATAATTCATCAATCCCATCCATCAATTAAATATGAGTCTATATTTCTATACTTAATTTATGTCCCATCACTCTTATTGAATCTTCACCTTATCTTTAATTACAACTTGACATCAAAGTAAAACAATTAGGATAATAAGTTTTTATAATGTTTCTCCACCTTCTCATATCGAATGGAGAACCCTTATATCCATGAACAAAAACTATTAAATGTTTACTATATTTTTATTAATTTATTTGATTATTCTTCTATTCATTTTATTAGTATTTTATCAATATCGGAAGATTATCCAATAATTCTGTACAAGTAATTGGAACAATTGGTAGATATCTTTAATCTAATTATCTTAAAGAATTTAAGAAATTTTAGTTTTTTTATGTTTTCTCAAATTGATCTAAATTATTTATCTTAATTATAAAATCTTCATATAAGATTTGGAGTTCAGAAATATATTGAAATTTTAATTTTTTCATCATTTTAGAATAAACTTTTGAAATTACATCTATATAGACATACCAAATCATATACAATTATAAACTAATTGAATTAATTTAGCGTTCTAATTCTATGTTATTGTATTCAACTTCTCCCAAACAGGCTAATTAAGACTAAATTTATATTTAATTATTTTAATACGAAATAATGTGATAATTTTGATGGCTCACTCATGTATTCGGCAATTGTCTTTTTGTATAACTGAATGAACTATTTCAAAATTGATTCCAAATAATCTAATGTTTTCTTTTATAGCAATTCTAATTATCCCTTTTTTTTATATTTTTCAATATACTCTGTCAGTGTTAATCCATCTTTTGTCTATTAGAACTTTATGTCTATTAATCACTTAATTATACTCAAAGGCAATGAGAACACTAAACAATTTATGACACATGCCGTATTAGGATCAAAAGTTATAGGTAAATAATTATGATTTATTTATTTTAGAGAACGAATGACGTAGGTCTAAGAAGAAATTTTGTTTAAAGTCAATTCTTATTATTCTTGAAGATTTTCAACAGATTTAGCATCTAAAAATAATAAATCAACCTGTAATTCTACAGAATTTAATTAAGCAAATGTATTCTGTTCTATTCTAAAAATACATCCTTCTTATAAATTTATCTAAGTTTATATTAACATTTACTTCTTCATCTTCATATCTAATTACAAATGAACTTGATAGAAAATATTAATCTTTTATGTCTTGCCCAACTAATTTTTAATCTCTAGGTTTTTTTTATTTATTGATTCCCAATTAATCTAAAGTTAAATATGGTAAATGTTTTTGTATTCCTAATTATATCCTATAGATTCCTTATTAAAATAGATCAACATTTCGAAAATTTCTAATAAAAACTAACAATTCAATTTATGTTACGAAACTCATAAATTTAATATAATCTTTTTTTATCTACATTAACTTCNTACAAGTAATTGGAACAATTGGTAGATATCTTTAATCTAATTATCTTAAAGAATTTAAGAAATTTTAGTTTTTTTATGTTTTCTCAAATTGATCTAAATTATTTATCTTAATTATAAAATCTTCATATAAGATTTGGAGTTCAGAAATATATTGAAATTTTAATTTTTTCATCATTTTAGAATAAACTTTTGAAATTACATCTATATAGACATACCAAATCATATACAATTATAAACTAATTGAATTAATTTAGCGTTCTAATTCTATGTTATTGTATTCAACTTCTCCCAAACAGGCTAATTAAGACTAAATTTATATTTAATTATTTTAATACGAAATAATGTGATAATTTTGATGGCTCACTCATGTATTCGGCAATTGTCTTTTTGTATAACTGAATGAACTATTTCAAAATTGATTCCAAATAATCTAATGTTTTCTTTTATAGCAATTCTAATTATCCCTTTTTTTTATATTTTTCAATATACTCTGTCAGTGTTAATCCATCTTTTGTCTATTAGAACTTTATGTCTATTAATCACTTAATTATACTCAAAGGCAATGAGAACACTAAACAATTTATGACACATGCCGTATTAGGATCAAAAGTTATAGGTAAATAATTATGATTTATTTATTTTAGAGAACGAATGACGTAGGTCTAAGAAGAAATTTTGTTTAAAGTCAATTCTTATTATTCTTGAAGATTTTCAACAGATTTAGCATCTAAAAATAATAAATCAACCTGTAATTCTACAGAATTTAATTAAGCAAATGTATTCTGTTCTATTCTAAAAATACATCCTTCTTATAAATTTATCTAAGTTTATATTAACATTTACTTCTTCATCTTCATATCTAATTACAAATGAACTTGATAGAAAATATTAATCTTTTATGTCTTGCCCAACTAATTTTTAATCTCTAGGTTTTTTTTATTTATTGATTCCCAATTAATCTAAAGTTAAATATGGTAAATGTTTTTGTATTCCTAATTATATCCTATAGATTCCTTATTAAAATAGATCAACATTTCGAAAATTTCTAATAAAAACTAACAATTCAATTTATGTTACGAAACTCATAAATTTAATATAATCTTTTTTTATCTACATTAACTTCTTATTTATAATCTAATTTCTTAAACTGAAGGAATGGAAAAAATTGCAATAACTAACATTCTTAATAGCTATGGGTAGACATATAAATTTATCATCTAGTTTTAATGGCCCAGAACCATAATATAAAACAATAAATTACTCAATCATCCCTAAACATAAAACCTTAGAAGATCATATTGAAAAACCTTAACTAGAAATTCTTTAGTAATTAAATGAGGAAAAAAAGAGTCGAGAACTAGTTGAAGTATATGGAATTACATTAGAAAAAACTAAATAATTTTATGCTGATAAAATCAAAGAATACAACGATATTATAGATTTGAAGCATATAAAAAAAAAAAGAATTCAATCATAATTTGTTGAAAAGTAAAACAATTAAACATTTGTTCGATTTGCAGGAGATGAAGGTAAAATCACTAATTTTCACATCTCTATTAATTCTAATAATCTCATACCCTTATTTAATGAAATTAGTAGAAGAGCATCAAATTAAAAGTCTCAACAATAAAGCCCTAATAGTGGTTTAAAGAGATCAAATAGAAATTAATAAAATTCCACATCAAAAACTTCAAATAATTATACAAACATTAAAAATACAATATAAACAATAAATTCTAAATAAATTTGCAACATTACTTCAAGATTGGAATAAAAATTTAATAATTTAGATCGTTTGAATTTGAGTTAAATAAATTAGGTTAATTTTATAGAAGATCCATCTTTAAATTTAATTAAAAAAAGAAACTCTTTATCAATTAATCTTAAATTTAAAGGAAGAAATACTGAAAGGAAAAAAACTAATCAATTCATCAAACATCCCATATAAGATTTTCCTAAAGTAATTATATGATTATTTTAAGATAGATTTATCATAAATGATATTGGATTCCTTTAGATAAAATTAATATACTTCTTGTTAATAAGAAGAAGACTCAGAAACTTCTTAAAAAAATGTTAGAATAAATTAATATAATAATTTAGAAATAACATAAATATAGTAACAATAATTGGAGTCTTAAAGTGAGTTAAATAAAACTATTAATTTAAATCAAGTTTAAAAAGATTATCTTCCTGATATCTATTAAGATATAAGTATAATTATTAATTCATATAGGAATTAATTAAAATATTGATATGGAGCAAAGAAAAAAGATCTTACAACGAAGGAGATAAGTTGTACATGATATTTTACATAAATAAAAACCTAAATTTTTGCATATTTGTGGATCGAAATTTCCCGTTGTGAATAATGAATAAAATTGGTATAATTATGAAAGCCTCAGAACTAGAATTATTTAAAGAGAATTAGAAAAAGAAATTATTAAAATGAGAAATTAAAAAGAATAGCAAAATGATTTAGAAAATTTATCAATATTATCTGGGCCTCCAATTAATTCAAATTTTAATACTAATAATCTTTAATCTGATTATTAAGATGTTAAAATTACAAAGATAATGAAATAGCTAGCTGCTTTAAAATAATGAATTTTATACATAAATCCTTTATTTTTTTAATTGCAAAAATAATATTATATATTATTAAGTTATTAAAGTATTTATAATAAATGTAAAATAAAAATAGAAGATCAAATACCAATGATTTAATCTTAGAAAATTAATTAGATAATCTAACACATCATTAAAGAAATTCTTTAACAATAAAAAAACCTTATCATTTGAACAGACAAAAAAAATCATTCAAAGCTTAAATTTTTTCATCATAAAAAGAAGAATAAATAGAAAAAGATACTTTTCAAAAATTTAATGATTTTGGAAGTCTATCAAAAAAAAAACAACAATCTAAAATAAATTCAGAATCAAAACTACCAATAATAAATAAAATTAGATCATATTCTTCCCAACTTCAAACCTACAATTAACCAAGCTCCGATTCTACTGCTGAATTAATCAACAATATTAAATAAGAAAAAATATGTAATTTTATATAAGTATTACTCTAGCTATGAGGCTAATATTTAAATCTATAAATCAAATTTTAAGTAAACATTCATAAAAACCTATTTAAACAAAGAATACAGGAGAATTTCAAAATGAAAAAAATTTTAATAATTAAAACACATTAAAGTAACTATCATTATTATTAAGACTGTCAGAATTTTTAAATTAGAATAAAAATCATATGATTGATATAGGAAAATATATTTAAGATAGAATAGAATAAAAGAGAATTAATAATTTTCAATAATAATATAAAAATGCTGCTAAATATCAAAGTGAAGAAGGTATTTTCTATTTTAGATTTTAATTAGATATTAATGGTGATGTTTTCACTAGTAAAGAATTATAAAAAATTGAAGAAATAAAAAATAGAAGAAAAGTTATTATCCAAATGGCTCAAAAAAAGTCTCCAAAGTTTCTCTATCCTTTGGGTCCAAAAATAAGAGTTCGTAACTATTCTTTAGAAAACCAATATTTTTAGATTTAATAAGATCAAATGAATAGAGCTAAAGGATGTTAACTCTATCATAACAATAGAAATATATCTAATTAGGAAGATGAAATTTCTATTTAGAAATTAAACAGTCCACCTAAAGATAAATTTTTTCCGACTTCATCAATGTAAGAGGATTATCTAAATATTAAAATTTAATAAATATTGAGATCTCTATTGTGATTTAATTTATTTTTTATGTCTTTGATTTGATAAATTTAAAATTGGAAGATAAATTTGTGGATAATGAAAAAGTTTTTATAAAATAAAACTTATAATATAAATTTAAGAATTAAGTTCTACTTAATTATATTTTCATAATATTGTTGTTTTTATTATAAATGTTTATGTAAATTTATGTTTCTAAATATAAATATGCATAATTAATATCAAGGTTTTTTTTATTTGAGTCAATTTCTTCTTAGCTTATACTTTCATTTAAATCACAAATATTACCTTCAATAAGTTAATTGCTCCCATGATTCCTATTTTTTATAATTTGAACAATTGGTTTATATAAACCTGAAGAACTTTAAGACATTTTAAGCTCTAGATTTTCCTAAAAAATTCAACAATTCTTAGTGTGAATGTAAATTTTTGAATAATTAAAAATAGCCATTCAAAGAACTAACTTTAACTCTCCAAAATTAAATACTTTAGGTATGTTATTATTATGAGTATTATAATATACTAGATGTAGAGTGAGTTAGGAAGGTAGGAATAGATATTTAAAATGTTTGGAAGCCAATCTTTACTTTAAGAATTAAATTTAATTTACACTCTTGTTACTTAATATAATTAAAAAATAAAAAAAAATATTCTATTTTAAAAAATTATTAAAGATAGTTTAAATAAGTAATTTATTTTAAAGTTTATTTAACTTAAATAAATAAAAAATAGAATTTATTAGGGGTATGGATATTGATAAAAGAATATAAGTAAGTATTTTGATGTGAAATAATATATTAATATGAATTAAAATTAAAAGGGAATGGAATGGTTTCTAATAATTGTAACAATAGCAATGGCATTTTTATTGCTAGTTGTGAATTTTTACTTACTTGTATTATATTGTCATCGTATGAATATGAAATTTAAAATATATAGCAGATGATAGTGGTTGGGGTTCATCATTAGTATGCAACAATTTTTGTAATAAATGGAATGACATTGACATGGGCTTAAGTATTGATGTTGCCATTAGATGCAGCAAATTCAAGGTAATGAGATTGATAAATAGAATTAGAGGACTTGGAGAAGGTTTGGATATGGATTTCTTTTGGAAATTTATTTACATGTTGATCTTAATATTTGGAGCCCTTCTTATACCATTTGCTTAATATTATTATGAATCAGATGATGAGAAATCACTAGGTTAAAGATGCTGTACAGCACTTTATTAATAATTATGTTTTGTGATAATAATAGCTCTTTTGTTATTTATTTCTTATGCATTTTTGAGATTTGCAGATATTCCAATATTTATATCATTAAAATCTTGTTCATAACCAACAGTATTTATGAATTCAGATACACCATTTACAGGTGTTGCAAATTCTTTATAAGAAGATTCTGAAGATACTTTGGAATATGAAGTAAGTTTTCCTGTTTATGTAATGGCATTTATGTCATTATTTGGATATTGTTTATTTTTGCTTTTTGGTGGAGTTGGTTTAACAGCATTGCCAGTAGATCTTATTTAAGAATTTATAAATAGACCTAAAAAATTAACATCTGCTGAAGGAGCATAGAAAAAGGAAGTTTAAGAAGAAAAGCATTTGAATTAATAGATGAAGGCAATAAAATTAAGGATGATTAAAAAGATGCAATAATATAAAATGGTTGATGGGCTAGATATAGAGAAAAAAGTAGAGTGAGAACATAATTTACTAAATATAAAATGCTGTTTTATGTTTAGATAGGGACTATGAAATATTTAAATTAGAACTTAAATATTTTGATAAAAATCCAATCATATGGTATTTTAAATTTATTATTGGAATAATAATTTGTGTAATTTCGTTTATATGGTGGCTACATATGTATTTATATTTAATAAATAATTTAGATTATTATTTATTGTTATAAGAGATTCTGATGGTATATCAGCAAGCCCTTTTCTTTACAAAATATTGTTTGGTTTAGAAGAGGGAAATGCTGGATTTTTATGTGTTGGTATATTCGGATTTCTTTGTGTATATTTATTATGGTGTACATAAAAGGGAAATATTAAATTTGGTCTTAGAATTCCTTTTCTCTTTTCTTTACATATTATGAAGTATATTATAGTGTTTAAATTTTAGAGTAAATGAGACTTGGATGAATACTTTTCTTTTTAATGTATAACTTATGTTAATTTGTTCAGTTGCAGTCACTTAATTCTGAACTAAAGCCTTTTCCTAATATTAGACTTAGCACTATTAATAGTAACATATTTATTTACAATAATATATAGTGCTCTTTAATACTTAAATTTAGTATCTACGTTTCTTTACTTATTTATATTCAAACAATGTTTTTGAAATCATTTTATTGGTTTGGTCAGTGTTAACTATGTTCTATTTACTTATCAAAAGATCAGATAAACCTAAAATACTAAAAGAAATTGAAGAAATGCAAAAATAATAATTCAAATGAACTTAATAATAATTATTAAATGTTTATACTTATATTTATTACACAAGTATTAGGATCATGCATTTCTAGCATTGGAAATTTAATGGCAGATACATTAACAGATCCAAAACTTGAATTAGCTTAATTAGCACCCTACATCTATTTTAGTGGCAAAGGGTATAAATCTTCATTCACTTTTTTAGGATTAATGATTTTGGATTGTATGAAGATTGTACTAATCAATATCAATATGCTGTCATTCAATTCTTTGTTCCTACTACTCCTGCATCCGTTAACGTTGGAATTTGTTTTACTAAATCATGTTCCATTACAGATATCAACTCATCTATATAAACAGTCAAAAAATGGATCTTAGCAGTCGCATAAGAAATTACACAGGTCTTGATTTGAAGTTATATTTCAGGTTGATCTTACTGAGTATGAACTCAAATTCTTGGATTCACAAATTATCGCTACGCCTTAATCATCTACTTATTTACTCATCTCATTTTTGATTGCATTCTTTTTATTGTAAATATTTGTAACATGTTTTCATAAATAATAATAACCTCAACTTAATTAATAATAAATCTAATTAGAATATTAATCATAATAAAGAAATATTTAAGAGGTTAGCACTTATTTTGATGAAGAAGAATAATTTATTAAACATATTAATTAAAATATATAAAATAATAAAAGTAGATAATTAAATGAATTTTATGAACTTAATGTAAATTTCAATTTAAAAATTAATTATTAAGAATGTTTAAAACCATAAGAATCTAAATATTATTCATTAAATGGAATACGTCTTTTAGGATTTTTAATGTGTGTTTTTGGAAACACAGGAATTTCAATGTTACTATAATGTGATTTTTATTAAGTTTAACATTATAGCAAGCATTATATTTTATTGATAGTTTTTGGATGTCTCTATTCAGTAGAAATATTCTTATGGCTTTCTGGATTTTTTGCTGTATTTTCACTTATAAAATTAAATTGTGTTTATCATTTACTTTTAAGGATATGGAAAATCTGGCCTTTAATGGTATTGATAATTCTAATAAATACATAAATAATTCCATACTTAGGAGATGGTCCAAGATGGTTTTATATTGATAGATATACAAAATGTGGAAAATGGTGGTAAAATATATTATTTATCAATAATTTTGATGATGAAAATTATTGTACACTTTGGTTATGGTAATTATCACTTGATGTTTAATTGACTATCATATGTGCAATAATCATAGTTTTATATAAAAGAAATAAAAATATTGCAATAATATTAACAATCATCTTACTTGTTGTATCATAATCATATGTTATATATACTTGTATACAAAAATAATATGGGATTCCTTATTTTGCAGCATTTACAACTGATATATATAAATCATTTTATTATAGACCTTGGTTTAGAGCACCTCCTTATTTTATAGGAATGCTTACTGCTTTTTTTGTAATCAATTTCAAAAGGAAATTAAAACTTTGGTTTCAAAATACTATTTAAATTATTGGGTTTATAATAATTGTTTACCTTACTGTAGGTTGGTATGATACTATGTAATTTGGAGCAGACTTTTATCCAAAATTATATTCATAAATATATGAAGGTATAATGAGAACTGTTTATGCTATTGGTATCACTTTATTTGTTTTGCCAAATTTATTAGGAAATAATAATCTTATCTATAAATTATTTAATTATACTCCAATTAAATATATTGTTAAATTTACATTTGCAGGATATCTTTTACATATGTTAATAATTGAGGTTATTATAGCATCATTTTATAAAAGTTTAGATTTCAATGTTCAAAGTATTGGATAAGTATATGTTGGATGTATTTGTATAATTGCAATTTTCAGTTTCCTTTTCAGATGGATAATTGAATTACCATTCCAAATAAAACATTAAATAATAGAAAAACCTTAATTTAAATAATATATTTAGAAAAAGAATGTTGATTTGATTTGATTTATCTAAATTTTAAAATGTTCTGTAGAATTTGAAATAAATATATTTTTATAAAATATTTTATTAACTAAATACATACATTTTACTTAATCTTATAATGTTCAAAGCAATTATGAAAACTGTTAAATAAGAAAAGACTAAATCTTCACTATCTGAATAATAAGATATTGCTTAAATACCCAAGATTTAAGAAAAACAGATTATAATTGAATTCAATAGATAAATTTTTGATTATTTACCCTATTAAATCCCAAATGCAATTGATTCAATATTTTATTTTAAAGAAATTCTCACTAATCAATAATAGGAATTTTTGATGAATGAAATTTACAATCAACCAAAAAGATGGGTTGATTTACCTCATTCTTAAAGAAGAGTTCAGAAATATGGTGGAGATGTTAGAGATGAAGGTTTAATTAATGTAGAACCATTTCCACAATTTTTATCTTAATTATCTGTATTCATTTAATTTTATATATTTAGAATTTATGTTTTTTAGATGATAATAATTTAAAAATTAACCATGCCTTAATCAATGAATATGCTCCAGGAATAGGTATTCATCCTCATTTTGATGGTCCTCTCTATCATAACTTTGTTAATATCTTTAGTATTAATAGCACTTGCATTTTTAAATTTACTAAATAAAATGAATGTTTAAAACTTCTAGTAGAACCAGGCAGTCTAATTATTTTTACTAAACAAGCATATACAGAATGGCTGCATGGAATTGATTATTACCATGATGATACAATTCTTTTATAAATCTAAGATAATCAAATTTGCAATTGCGATTTAATTAATTTTAAACATACACTATTCTATTCAAACTTATAAAAAGCTCATAATATTATTGACTATTTAAATAATCAACCAAATTATGAACTTTGCTAAATTTAAAATCATAATTAATTCACTCATTCATTGATTATTAGAAGATTACTCAGAATTTCAATTACATTAAGACATGTACCTTATAGCAAATGAATCAATTTAATTTATGCATTTTATTAATCGATTTATAAAATAGTCTTATTCATTTTAATATAGTTTGAATGTATGCCGAATTACTTTTTCGAATATTAAATTCATTTAATTATTGTTTTATTTATTGTAATTATCTCGCTTAAATCTGTTATTTTTTATACATTTGAGTTTGACAGTTGGCAGACTTCTTATTACTGCTCCTACATTTTAGTAATTAAACTAAATCTGAAGCATAATAAGAAGTTAGTGTTTTTTATCTTAAATTAGACTAATATGAATCATTATTTTATTTCAGAATTTTCAAAGCATTGATAAAAGACTCTTAATCTTAGATATATATTACTTGATTTAGATAATTAAATTGAACTAATTTTAGGTTGGTTTTTTATATTTTAGATGAAATAACTTTAACCATGAAATGATTCTTATCTTTTTTGAGATTAAATATTTTGCTGTGAATTCTTAATACAAGATTGAAATTGTTAATTTAAACATCTTTGTACACATTAAGCTTTTGTTTTTTGCATATTCATGATTGGATTCACAATTTCGATATGATCAAAAAAGCTATCCTCCATTTTGAAAAAAAAATTAATTATTTAACAAAATTTATAATTTATTTAATAAATA